AAGTAGAGATCGGTCTCGGCATCACACCCCAGACAAGCGTGCAGACAAGCATGCAGCCAAACTATCAAACTATCAAAAAAAACACAAAACGCCAAAAACGCCACTGTCTCGGCCCCCACACCCACACATTTCGGTCCCAGTGTCGCATAAGAGCTTACCGAAGAGATGTAAATCTGCGGTGCCGAACCGGGGTAGGGGGGTGAGTACCGACCCGGACGGAGGTGGGACGGGAGACGGGGGGAGATGGGATAGGATGGGTACGGGGGGAGATGGGAGATGGGGAATATTGGCAGGTATGGGATGGGTATTTGGGAGGGATGGGGAGTGTTGCCCATGATCTCCAGTTGAGCAGAAGAATAGGCAACACAGCACCCAGCACATACACACAGGCTTGTAGGGGATTTGTTGGTGTTGGTTGCCTAAGGCCTGTTGCCTGATGGAGATCTACTAGAGGAGGAGGAGGGATCCGGGGCGTCGATTTAACTCTACTTTCGTACCACCAGCGACAGGTATGGAGGGAATGAGGGTATGAGGGTTAGGTTGGGTGGTAACTCTACAGAGCATCTCCCACACACACCCAGCATCGATCAAAAGATGGCGCGCTCGCACGAATCGCCCGATACCCCCTTCTTCTCCCCTCTTCTCCCCTCTTCTCCCCTCTACACACGATCCCTCCCACCCCTCCCGTCCATCTACCCATCCATCAATCCATCTAGATTCAGCTGCCCAGCTGGAGGGTAGGGTATCCTTCAAACTCCCCCCCCGTCCTGCATCCTCCTTCCCCCCCGTCCATACCTACAGCACATCCCGGCTCCCATCCCAGCAGCCCCAAGCGCCCACACCACGCCCATCTTCACCGGCCGCGCGGGCGTCGCGGACCACCTCCACCACCACCACTCCTCTTTCTCAGCATCCAGCCTATTTCCCCGCCCTCAACCGCCCTATCCCAATGCAGTCTCAACCCAGCCAGTCCGTGTCTGTTCCATCCTGTTCCAAGCAAGCGGACGGACATACCGATATATTGGTTTGCATGTTTCACACCCGCATGTGGCCAGAACGGGGGGGAAGGGGGGTGCATGTGTAAGTACGTCCTATGGATAGAAATAAAAATAGAAAAAAGGCGGCAGAGAGACGCGGGGGGGCACGCGAGACGGGATGGGGATGGGGATGGCGGTTCGGGCGGTATGTGTGTGGGAGTGGTGGGAGTGGTGGTGTGGTACAGAAACACCAGACTGAAGAAGAGTCACAGATCCCCCCCTTCCCCTTCCCAACCCCTCCCGCTCACTCACCGGGCGGCCACCTCGTGGCCGCCCCATCCCGCACCATTGCGCCCTGCGTGTATGGGAGTGTGTGAGGGCGGCTGAGTGTTGGTGCGGTACCTGGTCTGCACCACAATACACCACCCACTTTCTACACACTTCTCCATTCTCATCACAGTACACCACACAACCTACTCAAAGTACACCACACTACCCTGCACACACTCCACCGGTTCTACGTGCGCGCTGTCCGTCCCGTTCGCAAAATCGTACGATGAGCGGCACACACACGTGGTGAAAAAAAAAACGCGCGCAGGGACACACACTGACCGGGCGTTTCGTCGTCGTTGCTGCGCTGGCGAGGCGGATCGTTGCGCGGGTTGCGTTGCGGATTATCATCGGTGTCTAGTTGCGGTTATAAAGTTGTAGGGCGAGTGGATGAGTGAGTGGGGGGCCGGGATTTCCGCGGGGATCAACACATCATCTCCCCATCTTCCGGGCGCGAAACCTCGCGCGCACACCACAGCGCACCGCACCGCGTCGTGCTCCTGACTAAACCACTACTAACACTACTAACACTACTAACAATACTAACCACACTACCAAAATCCGCCCTCTGAGACAACTCCCATGTCGTCGCTGTTTGGTTATGCACCCCGCCCCGGCCACCTCCCACTCCCAGGGATACCTCCATCCACCATCCATACATACAAACACAGCACAGCACAGCCCCGTGCGCCACCAACAGCACCACCAACAACCCCCCATCCCGCAATCCCTCAGCCACACACCCCCTGCCCCTAGTCGCACCCCTAGTCGCACCCCGAAAGAAGCCCTAGCCGCCCGCGCCAGCGGTTTTCGCCAGTGGAGTTGCTAGTGTAGACTTGTCTGAACTAAACTAATGCAGGGAATTGGGGTGTACAGTAGTAGTTTAGTATGGAAGTATTATGTAGGCGGGTGGAGTGAGCTCCTCTGGTGGGTTAGGTTAGGATGTTTGAACTACTGCACGTATGCGTGTAGGGAGCGGGGCGGGAGGGAGGCGCGGTAGAAAGGGGGGGGGGATGACGATGATGGGTTATGGAGGCGGAGATCATGGCGGGACGGGTGTTACGGCATGACGGCACAGTGAAGAATGGATGCGGGTTATAGGTTGATTGATGGATACTGGTATGGTATGTATGTAGGTTGGTAGAAAACCCCGTGAGACGCCTGACACCGCGCCTGGGAGTCTGCGGCAGAAGGAATAAACCAGCCACGTTTGGATGCGCGATATCTGTTGAGGTCATCGGTGGTGTTGTTCGAGGTGGTTCGAGGGGACGTTGTGGGTGGTGTGGAGGGTGCAGGTGCGTGAGGAGAGGTTGGAGGGGTTGTGGTGTAGAGATGTTGTGATGTCGGCTTGGAGGGGTCGTAGTATAAAAGCGATGCGACGCCGAACTCGGAGGAGGTTTGTAAAAGTTGATAAAGGTCGACGCGCGAATGAATGCCTCGAGGTGAGAATCCAAGTAATCCAAGACAACTCCGATGACACACGCCCGCGCTGTGTAATAAAACACCAGAGTAAAGAATAAAACATACACCGATGACAAGATAGGGCCAGAACACGCCCGCCAATCGAGACGAAAAGTAATAACACGCCGCCAATCCAAGTGAGAAGGAAGCAAAACCAAGCCTCCGCCCGCCGTTACACGATCGATATCGGAAGAAAACAAAACAAGCACTGCCCCAAACGCCACACTCTATCCTCCCTCCCTTTTTCCCGATCCCAAATTTCGTCACACCTCCGTCACTTTTCCCCCTCCTATACTCCGTCACACCCGCCTCACTTCATCTCTTTCCTCAACGATTTCCTGCGCACACGTCAGCCCCGTCCCCTATCCCACAACCACCACCACAAAACTCACGGGACACTCTTCTTAACCCCCCCCCATGCCCTCTTCACCTGCCTTCCCCCCTCCTTCGTCACACTCTTAACCCTCTTCTCCCCCTCCTGCGCCGCCCTCGCAAACCTCCTCCTCCCCTCCCTAACCAAATCCCTCCCCCCCCTAATCGTAACCTCCACCCCCCTAACCACCTGACTCGGGACCCTCAACCCCTTTTTCTTCGGCCCCCCAACCTCCAACTTCCCCTCCACCTTCCCCTTCGCCTTAACGCTCGGCACCTTTCCCTTCGGCACCCTCACCCTCCTCCGTCCATGCTGCCATCGCCACTTGCTCCCCTCCTTTGCGCCCGGAAAAGTGGTCATCGAGGTGGTCGAAGCGGGCGCTCCAGTCTGCTTGCGCGACAGAACAGGCGCAGAAGCCGCAATAGAAGGTGCGCGGGCAGGGGGCGAGGCAGCGCGCGACGGTGGCGCTGTCATTTAGTTCCGTGGAGGCGATCTGATGAGTGCGTGAGAGGTGGGATTTGAATGCGTCGAGGTGGTAGGAGATGTGTTTGCATGCGCTAGGTTCGTGGTCGTCGCGGTTTTGAGAATGTGATTGTGGTGTCTGTAGGCTTTGTAGGGTCGATGTCATTGTGCCAGAGGAGAGGTGACAGCGCCAGGACTCGTAGTGGAGGTGTTGTGAGTTCTCGTGCCGACGCCAGTCGTTCTTGCTGCCGAATGTTTTGGCGCAGGGAGGGAAGGTGCAATGGTATGGGCGGGAGTGGCGCTTCATGTGTTTTCTGGAAGGTGCGGGTTAGGAGGGAAGGTGCGATCGGAGGTGGGGGAGGGTGGACGTACGCCATTTCGCTGGGGCGGCGGCAGGTTTTGAAGCAAACGCTACAGGTGAGGGGGGATTGGAACTGGGTTGATGGAGAGGGGGCGGGGGGTTCAAGTAAGTGAGTGGTATTCCTTCGTAAGACGAATCCACGGCTTTTCATGTCTTGTAGGATTGTGGCTGCGTTGTCGTCGTCTTGGGAGTCTGTGTGGCAGTCTTCATCTTTAGAATCAGCTGTAAGGAGGTCCCCTGGATTAAAATCTTCCTGGCTGGATTTGTTACGGCTGAACAAAGCTGATGTATTAATACGCCGGTCCATTGGATCCTTTGGAGTTATTGGCTTTTGGCTGGCGCCAATTCCCCTGGATTTCCTAATATCCTGGCTCCGTTTACTGGCAAGTGCGCTCGCGAGAGCTTTCTGTGCGTAAGAGTCGGTGGAACCATGTATATATGATCCATTCTCTCTCTTCGGGGTAGTCTCAATCGCAGCTGCAACTGGTGTTGCACTTTCAGATATATCCAACGTTGGGTCCATTATAAAACCCACAGGCTCAAAAGTCTCAACGGGCTCCATCCCAGAGAAATATTCCATATCCAGGGTTCCATGTGGCCTGTACTTGGTTTCCACCTGCATATGGGTAGTCTTATCCTCTAGGTCACGGCTTTGGTCCTCTGGCATGTAGAAAGTCATATCCTCTGGACCAGGGCCTTGGTCATCATTATCATACATCTCATAATGGCTTTCATCAGTAACCAGAGATTCATTGCTCTGTTGCATGGCATGATCGTTGGAAATCTCCTGGCTGGCGTCCTGCATTGAAATATCTAGATTCCTTTCTTGTGGTCTGTCACTAGGTTGGATCCTAGGGTCCTCAAGCCGATGCTGCTCTTTCTTCCTTCAACCTGGATGTTAGTTAAGCTCACTTAATAGTACCCACTGTCACTAACCGTCGAATAATCCCCTTGACCTCGTCCCCATTCAGACTATGGCATCGATTTAGATGGACCCCAAAGTTATCCGATCGAGTAAACTTCCTCCCCTTTTCTTGGCATTCACTGAAATGGCAAGAGAACACCTGGATGGGACGTCGTCCAGAAACTTCGCCCTCTGGGTGTTTGCTTCGAATATGCCGGTCCAGGTCATTGACAGTCCCAAAACCCTGTCCGTGTCCACTGCCTGGGCAATCAGGGTATGGGCAGGTAAATGGCTTCTTATGGCGCAGATAATGTTTTCTGGAAACTTTCAGCACAGTCTTCAACTTCTCTACAGTAGTCATACCTCAACACAGATGGTGTCCTGACTGCTTTATTGCAGGTTGGACAGCGCAGTAATGGAGGCACAGCAAGCGATGCTTCGGAAGAAGCAAGTTTTGGTCCAAACGTGGCATCCGACTGTTGGAAGCCATGGCTAGGGGCGGAATAAATCCGGTTTCCTGTGGCCTGAAGTCCAGTATCAAAATTGCTAATCGAAGGAGCATATGCGCTTTGCAGCGATCCATACCCTGAGTCCGATTGGGGCTTTCCAAGTACCACACCGGCTGCGGGGTCACCCTCGGTCTGGAGGCGGTTCCCATATGGGTTATGATGGTTCACGGGAAGTTGTCCAACTGGCTGGCTCTTCGGCTGTAACCTACCGTCAAAAGTAGAAGGTCCGGCAAAAAACCCTTTTTGTGACCATGGATCATCGTCGTTGTAAACATAGGAAGCCAATGTGTGGGTATATGGAATAGTAGATGAAACACCCACCGACATCTGTGGTGTATTTGTGGTATTGCTGTGCCATTTCGGCAGCGTTCTCTGCTCCGGTGTTCCGGAAGGCATGGAGTTATACGCAGCGTCCAAAGGATTGGATCCCAAGTTCCTAACAATTATGGAATCTCCTGCCACCGGTTGAGACGGATACCTCATGTGCATTAGGAATTGGCCTGAGTCTGACGGTCCATCATGGCTGAACGGGTCCCAGTTGGGCAGCGACGTGGCAGCGCGAGAAAATCTTGGTGGCTAGATCGACACGAATGTCAGATTATGTCTATATCACCCATGGAATCTATAGCTTCATACATTCGTGTTGCGGTGACCGCTATTCGAGTCCATCTTCGCCAACTCCAGAGCCTGTGTAAAGGCCATCAGTAGGTACGCACGCCGAGCTGCTGAGATGTCCTCCACAGACCAGCTTATTGACAGTCGGGACACTCTCGACTTCAAGCCTTGCGACCCCGATCAAAGTAGAGTAGGACACAGCCAAAAGGTAATAATTAACTCTCTCCAACATCCATGTTGAAAAGAAATATATTATGTTCCCTTGCAAAAAGGAAAACTAGATATGGCAAAATGGCGCTCGAAGCATCATGACGTTGCGAACGACTCTGGCCGGGCGTTGATGGTTCGCAAAGGATCAAAATCCGCACCAAGGCAGATTCGACCGGTGTGTGCTTTGGGATTAAAAATGAAGGTTCGCAAGATATACAAGGCGGAGGTGCTGTCACATCTTATGAAAAGACGGTCAGAGCAGGAAGCGGTAACAAGTGGCAACCTTCATCGCATCAGAGGTGCCAGGCCATGGATGTCAGGCGTTGAATTGAGGAGATTGAGGGCTGAGTCTTGTCAAATCAGAGTTATTCTATGTGGCATTTTGAAAAAGTGAGGCTGCTTACCGAAGGGCCGAGTCGTTTTAGGCAACAGTACACCACACCACATTGGCGGGCGTGATTGACAGGCCGCGAAACGTTCTCCTGTGTACAGCACCAACCAGGTATCACAATCATTTCCATTCGAGAACGTCGTGCTTGTAAATTATTGTAATATTATCAAAGTTAGAGGAGTTGACCAGTCACATGATAATCATGTGATCAATGTTTTTCAGAGTCACACAAGGGAATCCATAGCGCTGCCAATCCTCCCTGGCAACAGCCACCCCCTAGCACCGATCGCAAGAATGGTTACACGAAGAAAGATGATATTCATGATTGAGCAAATGATACAAGCATGTCAACGATAGCTCTAGAATCCAATGCAGAGCGCTACCAGTAGCACGGCCGATGAACAGAGCCCTCAACCCTCGATGTTCCTAGAACATTGCGCCTGCCTCATATCTAACGAGGCTTGGACACCAGAACCTGTCGAGAGGAGACAAAATATCAGAAAAATCCACTAGGAGGCCCTTGCCTTCCCAGTTATCTGCTTTTAAAGACTCAACAGAAAATCCGATGATATAGAAGAAATCTAATTGTGCCTGTATAACGCCGAGCTCTTGTTTTGATGGAGGGACGAAATCGTAAATAATCGCATAAAAATCCAAGCTTGGATCAAAGCCTAGATGTGATAGAGTTTTGCCAGGCACTTTCATCCACCCATGGCAATTCGTCATATTAGGCATAGATGAGACCGCTACCGTCTCGCAGGCCTGAGATATTATCTTCTCACGACCCTCGGTAGAAAATGCCCAAAGATTTCGAGCTGCTTCCTGCCTCGTGTTGATTTTCGATCGTAGATATATTGGGCTTGATTGCTCTATTCCACGCCTAACTTTCTGTAGGAGGGACATATTCTGACATTCCCTTTCAAATGGCCAATACCGTATAATGCCACCAACTGGCTTTGGACGCGTGGTGTGGTAGAACTAAAGCATCTCTGTTAATAGCAGCTAGTGAGTATTAACAATTACTTACAACTTTCATAGCGAGAGGCTATCCATCGCCAAAGCGTACTTTCAGGACAGTTCCATTGACACCACGCCCAAGAAACCGCCAGGACGTTATCTTCTGTTCGTGATGAGGGTACTGATGAAGGCGTGGTGCAATAAAATCAGTCCATGGGGATAGCGAAGGTCCTTGTTGTAATTCATCAGATAGGAAGTCTGGTCTGTGCATGGGTTACAGAAGGAATATGGATGTCAGGTTATTTTTGAAGACAAGGTGAGCATGTTTGCTTCACCCACAGTAGGGATGTGGTAAGAGGGTGAAGTTTGGTGATCCCTTATCACAGGTCACAGGTTACGTCCATGCATAATAAGATCCGCCTAATTTGTCTGTCTACTCTACTTGCCTCATAATATAGGGTAGAGGTTATACATTTTTTTAAGCCGGCCTATATATAATTGCTGTGAACTCGAGACTCATGGGTTCAAAATAATATATACTGTTCACAAGGGATTCCTATAATAAACCAGGGCAGTTATAGTGAATGAAGTGAATGATAATATTTTTTTATTGGTATTTAAATTCGATTAAAATTTAACGGCTATGAACCAATACGACTGTGTTGTGACAGAAGTTTTATACCAAAGCTGCCTCCAGACAAGTGAATCCAGTCTTTTTTCATTACAAGACAGTATAGAAACCTTTCGCTAAATCAAATAGACATAACCATGAACCAAGGAAAGTAAAAGTACAATTCTCAGTCCTCATAGATGGTCATGGGTGCTAACGCTGCCATGTCGGCCGGCGTGGTTGTGTTTCGCGTCACCGTGAAGGACTTGAGGCTCTCCAATAGATTCTCGCATCACCGAAGGTGGGACTTCTGCTGCATCACGAGGATCCTTGTAAGAACTGCTGGGGCGTTAGTGACTGTTTTATGAGCTAGGGGCAGGCAAACAAAATAACATTGGGAATGTTTACCTGTTAAGAGTTGCTTACGAGCGGGTCTTGTTTCCGCCAACAGTAGAAGAGCCATCGCGGTCGCTATCGACTCTTGGGTCAAGCTTGTTCAGCAGATCCGAGTTGTGTGGGCCGGCGGTGTTCTGAGCTGTGCCGCTGCCTGCAGTAGCGTGGGATCCAGCAGCGTGGCTTCCAGTGTGGCCCGAGCTTCCATAAGCGCCACCTCCAACAGCTCCTAGGCCTGCACCTCCAGCAGCTCCGTAACCAGCTCCGGTGCTCGAGCCAATGGTGTGAGAACCAGTGGTCGAGTTGACACGTGGGTCAACAGTGTTGGCGACGTTCGAGCTGTGGGGGCCAGCGGTGTTACCGTAGCCAGATGTGGTGTTTGAGCCAATGGTGTGGGAGCCCGTGGTCGAGTCAACTCTTGGGTCAACCTTGTTGGCGAGGTTTGAGTCGTGGGGGCCGGCGGTGGTAGAGCTACCGTAAGCTCCGCCTGTCGCGGCGCCTCCTGAGCCGAAGGTGTGAGATTCAACGCGTGGGGCAGTGGTAGATCCGCCATAAGCCGCACCGCCAGTGCTTCCGTATGCTCCTGAGCCAGTGCTAGAGCCGATTGTGTGCGAGCCAGTGGTAGAGTCGACGCGAGGGTCAACCTTGTTCGCGATGTTCGAGCTGTGGGGACCGGCGGTGGTAGAGCTTCCGTAAGAGCCACCAGTGGTGTTACCGTAGCCGGATGTGGTGTTTGAGCCAATGGTGTGGGAACCGGTGGTCGAGTCAACTCGTGGGTCAACCTTGTTGGCAATGTTTGAATCGTGAGGGCCAGCGGTGGTGCTGCTGCCATATGCTCCACCAGTGCTTGAGCCGGTGTGACCAACTCCGGAGCCGACTCCTGAGCCGACACCAGCGCCAGTCATTGCGGCACCGGTGTGGCTGGTGTGGCTAGAGTGACCAGCACCAGTGGTGTGCCTGTTGGAGCCATCTAGGTCCGAGTCGACACGGGGATCAGCAGCGTTGGCAACTCTGGAGCTGTGAGGTCCAGCGGTTCCCTCCGAAACGCCAGAGTTGTGGCCGGTTGTGCTGCTCGAGTGAGTGGTAGAGGAATGACTGCCAGAGGAGGTAGAGTCGTGGTGCAGAGCATCCTTGACCTTGTTGATGATTCCAGACATGATGATAGTTCGTATAAAAGAGTATTGAAGTTGGGTATATAGTGTTTGATGATTGTTGAGTATAGAGAAGAAATGTCTGAGATGAAGGAAAGCTCTATACTTATAGTAGAGAGTCTGGAAACTCCAGGTCAACTTCTTGGATGCCGCCTTCATCCAACCCCCACTTCCTGATGTAACACCGGGGATGAGCTCAGGGAATCAAGTTTTCGATCTATACTATTCATCGTGATCAAGGACCTGCCAAGATCCATCCTTCTGGTTTCCATTGGCTATTATTAACTTTGGCTACGTAAACATTTTTAATATGTGATACCTGGCAGACAGGAGAACCAGGAGAACTAAGATCGACTAGATCTTTACTAGATCGGGCGACGCCACAGGACCTATGACGCCACCGGGATAAAGTGTGGCGGTGCATGGTTTCGGGGTCAGTAGATCCCGAACACCAACCAGTCTTTGGTAGTCCTATGGATCCCTGTTGGAAATGGCATTGATTCCTTCCAAGTTTGCGTAATCGGCATCCATAGAATCCAGATGGAAGAGCCTCGTTTCCATATAATTCTACACAATAATTGACATGACGACTATTCTTTGTTAATTGTATATTTTTACATTCTCTGTTATATCAGACCCACAAAAAAGAGGGTAGAGGTTCCAAGGTAATATTATCACAACAGCTCCCTGCGTCACACCTCATTCTGGCCATGGCCAAACAATGTCGTGCGTGCCCGCTTCGCTGGCAACAACTAGCTCGTGGTCGTGCTGAACCGCACCGGTTCCCTGGCGCCCGTGCAAACTAACTCCATGCACTTGGCTATATTTGTTATAAGTCCATTCCAATGGGCCTGGCTGAGATGTTCCATGAATTAGGCCACGTATCACAGCCTGGCCTGGCTGTGATTAGTGGCCTAAGTTGCCACTTGTATTCAAGGACTCCTTGAATCCTTGAAGACAAGTAAGGAGTCCTTGAATACAAGTGACTAAGTTGCCTATTTCTCGGATAACCTCCTGAGCGCCTTCTCCGCATTGGAAACACCTTCCTTAAACCCAATCACCTTAGACAAGGATTTCGCTTCTTCGTACTTGAGCCTGGCAGCTGCAATATCCCCGTCCATTTCGGCGAACTCGGCAAGATTGTGGGTTGCCACTGCGCAGGCGAGATCACATTCTTCTGTCCTTTCTGGGGGGGCAATATTGGTGGCTATATCGATAGCCTTGACGGCCCAGGCTCGGGCATTCGCTACGAGGGTTGGCCGGGACACAGGGGCTTGACCTGGAGTTGTTGGGGCGTTTTGCTGAGCGACGGATATAGAAAGGTTGTTCACTGCGGAATGGTCAGTCGAGAACTAAAACTGGGGGAAGAAGAGTGCTTTACTTAAGACAGCTGTATGGCACGACTTTGGCGGAGACATGTTGATTGCTTGTAAGAAAAGTGGCGATGAGAGATAATGCTGGTCTCGGCTCTCATAGTGATTTCCGAGGGCTGCAGAGTGTCAACAGGGATCCTGGCTTTCGACCTTGAATCAACATACCTTCGAATGATCCCCCTATTTGTTCAGCGTTAAGCCACTCGCCTTCATCTGGCTTGACACCTTCTTTTTCTCTCCTCTGTAGCTCCTTTAATGTCGCTTCAACAGCCCAAACCAACTTCTCCTCGGCCAATTCTGGCTCTTTGACATACTCCCCAGCATAAAGTTCGCCCAGCTTCACAGTAATCCCAATTGTCTTTCCTAGGACCCTCGTCCTTTTCCCAGCATTCTCGGGTTTGTCTCCAAATTCCTCGATCCACTGCAAGCAATCGCCCCGGACGATCTCGAGAACCTGGATTGCCTTGTGATATTTCTGGATCTTCTCCATAAATGCTGCTAGCTGGAATTTCACGCCGAGGATCTCGTCGGAGAAAGGGTCCATGCCAATATCTTCCGCGACCCGAAGTGTCTTTTTGTAGAATTTAATCGCTTGGTGTGGCTTCAGGTCTTGGTTCGTAAAGTATAGCGCCTTTCGTAGCTCTTTGGCTACCGGTTCCGGGAAGTTGTGGAAGGCTCCAATTATGTATGAGTTATAGAAATAGTTCGCGTACATGAGGCCGCCAGCGCCGCATAGAATACTATTGTCTAATCAGTGAAGTCCTTAATATCGGATCGAATGAGGCCATACAATACGGTAGCGAGGCTGACGGAGTACGGATAGGCCTTGAATAGCTTTTTCGCAGCTCCATAGGTTGAGCCCTGGCTACTTTGGAATCGCCTTTGCCGGAGTACATCTTGTATGGTTGCTCTTGGTGCACTTCGTACGGGGAGCTGGCGCAAACATCTCGTAGTAGACAGGCATGGCCTGGCAAGCCCTCTAATCCCCGATGCAATCATCGTATGTGGTAATCCCCGAATCTCAATGCTGGATAGCTATCGAAAAGCTTCACCTGGATGGAATTGACGCCTATGGCTTTACTAATATACGATGGACCTAGCCCGTCATTGTCCAATCCACCCATAGCTGTTACAGCCTGATATATGAGGCTACAAAATGGCAAACAATCTTATCTGATCGAACAACCCCCACCATACGCCATTCTGGACCTCGGGCTTGTGATATCGAAACGTCTACTTCGCCGTTGGCTCCTTACTTACTTTCAAACCAATATTTAACCTTCGTATAACAGAATAACCAACAATGTCTGGAAAATTCGAGCCAAAGGAGCCGGTCAATCTGAACCCTCCAAAGGACGACCCCATAACTGTGGAGCATCTTTCAAAGTGCAATGGCAAGATACCCCGCGCTTCGCAAGTCAGTTGCAGCTGGAAATAACTAAGCTAACAACTCAATAGGCACTGACGGCTACCCGTGTTACGTTGCTATCAAAGCAAGTTGCTTCGCCCTCCTTACATCCTCAGTTTCTAACAGCATCAGGGTGTCGTTTTCGATGTGAACGGCAAAGAGCCTTACCTCCCAGGCGGTTCCTATAGCGGTACGCAGCCTCCTTCGCACTCTCATCACAGTGCAAGCTTCCAAAGTATGCGCCCCGGCTTCCTGCGTTGCTAATTTATTCCACTGCAGTCTTCTCCGGCCACGATGCATCCCGGGCCCTCGCGAAAACCTCCACCAAGGCGTCCGACGTCTCTCCCGAGTGGTTCGATCTGGACGATAAAGAGAAGGGCGTCCTGAACGATTGGTACACATTCTTCAGCAAGCGCTACAATATTGTCGGCAAAGTCGCCGGCGCGACAAACTTCGATCCGTCGCTCTGATTTGGCGGTAACGCTTACAACGCCTGCTCGGTCCGAAACGCCATTTTGTCATATTCCGACACCTACTTGCGACTGATACCCCAGTTCCCGAAATGCAAGGATCTCTGGAGTTTCAGATTCCTATTCTCGGTTCCAGAACGAGGTTTATACATCTCCGATCCCTAGATCTGTGTTACATAGTCTCCCGACACAGGCCTTTGCCATGGCATTTGATTACGGGGGAAACCGGCGAGACTGAGGTTGCACCATATCCCGCATTTCTGCCTCTCGCCATCCTCACTATGTCTCTGAGCATCGTTTCTGACGTTTCACTTTTGTTAATTTGGCCTGGCGCAGGTAGCCGAGGGGTTAATGGAGGAACTGGGATCTCGTGGGAAGCTGTTATAGCTCCGATTTCGAAAAATTTAGAAGGACATTCCCAATTGCATGGCACACTCACGTAAGACCTCACATGTGATAATGCAGCGACACCTCGTGCTGTGCTGCACTCTCCATTCCGTCACCGGTCCGAACGTCATCGTCGGGCCGTTGTAACATTCCCATCCAGCTTCGGAAAGCACCATGCACTTGACACACAGTCATAAAAGTTGTGTAATATGCGAATGTGATCAAAAACAGACCTATTACCTGATATAACTAACAATATTGACGTGTGCACACTGACAAACCAAACTAGACATTACAGCCCACCCAGCACAAACCGCTGCATATCAAGAACACTAAACAGCAGGGTATTTTGCAGGATAGTGCAGCTTTACGGCCCTTCCTTTGAAAACGAAAACACGCTCCTCCCGAAACGACCCGATCGCATTATCATGGCCAGAGGTCAGTCGACCCACCACCCTCCATAACTTCCCGATCTCGACACCCACGGCAAGCATCAGTGCCTGTCAGTCAACCCCTGTTCGCGGGTAGTTCTTGGCGCGCCCCCGACTGTGCTTGGGTCCGGCAGTCTGGGCAGATCCCGGCTTGCTGCCAGACGCGCTTGAGGACCTTGACGCTGAAGCACTGATGCAGATCGTCCACGCGGGCTGTGTGGCAGTATGATGAACGGCGGATGGGACTGTGGCCGCAGGTGAAGAGGAATTGTTCGTAGTCACACATTATGGATGATGGCGAGGGGCTGCATTGAGTTTGTTTCAGTATGGGGTTATCAGAGTTTGGAGAGTTTGGTCATGGACTGGGGACGCTTTGAGGACAGCGGAGAGAGATGTGTTGGGTGATTGTGAGAGGTGGGAGATGAGAGGTGAGAGGTGAGTGCTCATTCATGGGTTGCTGTGCAACAAGAGGGCAGTGGAGGGAGCATGGAAGAAAGACATGAAGCTAAAGGGGACTGACGCTGTACTCGAAGCTTCCTTCTAGTTAGGGCTGGGGATAAATGTGGTTGCACAACACAAGGCAGTGTGTCCGGTGGCGTTGAGAAGCTGCTGGTGGCGAGCTAGTGAGATGAGATTCGGATCTTGTACTCCTATTACTTGTAAGCAGTGGTGGTTTGTGGCAAGTTCGATTTTCAAACTCACTGATGAGAATGATTATAGTTGGTGAGTGAAAGCAACTTTTCAACAGAGAAGTATGTGCTGACTTGAGCTTTGACGAGGAGAAAAGAGAATATTCTATAATGTGAAGGAGTTATTGGATGAAGTGATGGAAATGATAAAAATAAGAACGAAAATGAGAGTACCAAGCCTGGCTCTTTATAGAAAAACTCCTCGGTCTTCACAATATGGGTGGGACCCATTGGGTAACCATAGGCATGTCCTCCAATACTCACTATATGCATCTCATCGAAAACGACGACGGCGTATGCAACGAAAGCTGAGAAGACGCAGCCTTCATCCAGAACATCAAACAGCCCCATAGTTCGACTTGCAGTTGGTCCTCTAACCATACTCCCTGACAACTTGCATTGTTTTCTTTTGGCTGCTCATCCCAACCAGTTTGTGTGATGCATCGTGTGGGCATGTGCATACCCACACGCACCAAAGAAGATTATTCTGGCATCTCTCATGGGGGCTGCTGGAGATGCTCGGGTACAATCACGAGAACTACCATGCTCTAATGGACCCAGGTCTGGGCGAGATAGCTGAGGTGTAACCTTTATGGCCGTCGAATACAAACATCTTAGGCATTACTTTTACCAAGACAAATTTATATAAATGCTAGATGAGAGTCTCTTGAGCCGTTTTTAGTTATTGAAGTTAGACATGATAGACACGATATACACGATCAAAACGAATCATTACAAACGATCATTAAGCCCATGCCGCAGGAGCAGGGTTCGGGGCACTGCCGGTTTCACCAGGCTTTCTTCCCCGGTCCTATCGTTGCTTGTACTAGAAAGCAGGAAGGAAGTGGCCGTCTTCCGCGGGTGCTGCGATCGGGGGATCTGCACTTGTGCGATCTGCTAGGCGCAGCACAATAAATGATATATGACAGGTTGGATGGGGCTATTTAAGAATTAACCATGCAGTTTTTCGGCCCGACCAACAACGTTGGCTGTTGGACCCTGCGGATCGGATGGCTTCGGGACAAGTCATAGCACCCGATTAAATATTGTTCCCCAGTCCTGGGATTAAGGTTTTCTTGGTTCTGATATATATCGCTGCACCAGACGTCAACACTGAGATAGCCGATGGCGCTCGTGGTGGGAAGGGTCGTAGTTACCTTGCAGGTATTTATATGCACCTGGTAACCTGTCCCCAGAGCCGGGGACCACTGCCTGTCTTACCCCTTGCCAATATTTGGGCAAGGACATCATTTGTGGATCCCCGCGGTTGGGGGACAGAGATCGTACCACACAGTACGAGTGGTGAAGCAATAAGAAATGCCGTGCAGCGATAGACGCCATGGCCGACAAACTAGGCCTCTTGCATTGATGTGCGACCTACATGGCACGCACATTACCCCGGCAGTGCAGCGATATATGTCACGGCACAGCGGGCCCTGGACGCCGATGGAGCTCATTGGAACATCCAACACAAGGCTCTATGAAATGGCTTTATGGCTTTCGAGCAGAGCTAGGTGTTGTATGGACGGCAGTCACACGGCAGTGATCTACTGCGGACATACATGCTGATTCAAACCCTGAAAATCCCGCCAAGGGCTCCAGATCCTCTCAGGACTGTATTATACAACTCTTAGTTAGCATGATGAGGTTGGGAACAATCGTATGTTTGCCGACATGCATTCACAGAGTGAGGATGCAGCATGTCATCCTGTAGTGGCATCAAACACGTGCGATGTCGGGCATTGACGGTCAGGCTCAAGAGCTAATTCATACCAACGGATATGGATAACAGGATCGAACTAAACTGAGTTAATTGGCCAGAGGAATGTGATTCCCAGTGCATCAAGACAGGGTTATGAAGAACCTGGCTGAAGATCTAGATCTTTCAAAGGACGCACATCGTTTGCACAAGAAGGTTTGCCACTGCGACAGTGGTACAAGCGTCAAACATTGAGATTTGAGCGGACAATTAGTCTTAGTCGCCGCCGCTTGTGTTAAAATCACACAAGTTTGTAGCCCAGCAACTTTCTTCTCCCTTTTTAAAAAAGAGGCTAGAAAGTTTAATGGGTGAGGAAGAAGTCTTTTCAACGGGACACTGGTCACACATCGCTATTAAAAGAGAGCCGCGATACGATTATGTCGATTCTCAAAAGGATTGATATTCACGGCACGCTAGAACATAAATTCCGGGGTCTTAAACATCCCTGTTGGCTCAAAATAGTGTTTGATAGGTCGATATTATCCGCTTGCGCCGATCAAAACGAAAGGTGCAGATTACGTAGTAAATTGACTTCTCGGGAGTCAACTGGATACAGTCTTTCGGGGTAGGAATATAGAATTTCTCTTTCTCCGTGGTGCATCGGGCTTTGATTACGGGCTATTTGCGACGTATTCGTATAATAATGTGTTCGGTTAGGGGCGAAACTGAAGCTTTGGAGTGTCGATACACAGTTCCCAGTGGGTGGTACTGTGTTGTAGGTATGTAGATTTCTTCACCTGCCGTGCCAGTGTTTTGTCGCAGAAAATCTTCAGTGGACAGCACTACCGTTTCCTCTATATGGCGGACAAGTGAGACCCGAGGTATGTTTTGGTTAGGAGATCTACAAAGTATGTCTTCCACTTTTGGGAAACAAAATCCTACGTGACGTTCCACTATCACGTCCCAACGAGGACGACAAGGCTGGGTTAGCTCGACGAGATGAGACAATCGCCGAGATTGGTGCAAGACCCGGGACGGGGAACGGGAACGGGAAAGCTGTCTGCAGCATCCGTGCACGCACCCCTGCTACGGTGGAGTAGACTAGGGCGATGGGTGTGTGTGCATGGCCAACATCATCAACACTTTCCCAATGACATTCCTCACTAAAACTCCCAAGACCAATATACCATGACACAAACGGAATACGAGGGTTGTGCCCCTCTCCCTACACCAGAATCTACAGCATCGTACTGGCACAAGGAACCGTCAAAGATTCTCCTTAACCACCGAACTACCGAGGACCTGCCACCTGTTGTGGATGTGGTGGTTGTTGGGAGTGGTATCGTGGGTGCCTTTGCAGCATGGCGTCTGTTGCAAGATGCCCAGGATAATGGGCTGAGTGGAGCGCGCAGTAACGTGCAGAACGTCTTGATGCTTGAGGCCAGAGAAGCTTGCTGGGGTGCTACTGGAAGGGTAGGTTCGGTTCTCTCTCCCTCTGGGTCGTAATGGCACACCGGTTCGTGGATGGTTTCGCAGCCGATAAATGATTCGTGCAGAAAAACCTATCCCGAAAGCCACATTCCTACTGTCTTTGCATCATTCTCCTATCATCCACTGCTGTGCATCTTGAGCATTTACTGCTTGGCAGTTTTCAAGTCTCCTGTCGTATCTAGCACACTGTCACGTACAATCTCTAATATCTACCAGAATGGAGGCCACTGCCAGCCGAAATTATTCGGCCAGGCCCCCCATATCTCTCGCTTCGAGCTGGATAATTATACCTTTTTGAAGTCCTTCATCAAGGAAAATAATATCCCGTGTGACTGGGAGACAGTCGAGGGCTGCAAATCATTTTATTCCAAGGCGATGTTCGACATGGCAATCTCTGATTCCGAGGCATCAGCTAAGCTTGATCCAGAGTTAGGCAAGCTAATGACGCCCATTAGGCCAGGTGATGCGAACCCTTCGTTGAAAGACGTTAGGTTAGGAAGTGCATCCCTGGGCGCTTTGGTGCAGAAACCTGCTGCAAGCCTCTGGCCGTATAAGTTGGTAGCCTGGATGCTTGAGCAGCTACTTGAAAGAAATGGCTCATCACCTGAAGTATCTTTTAATCTCCAAACCAAAACGCCTGTAACGCACATCCAAAGTCTTGCAGACGGCAGGTGGATGGTCCATACCGACAGAGGAATGGTTGCCGCAAATAAAGTCTTACTAGCTACGAATGCCTATACATCGCATTTACTACCACATTTTTCGGATCTCATAGTTCCCGTCCAGGGCCAGATGAGCTCCTTAATACCCCCTCCTTCCATATCACCAAGTACCGGAAAACCTCTAAGCTACACGAATTCATATGGCTTCCTTGGAAACAAGAGCCAGAATTCCAACCAGGACGATTACCTAGTACAGCGGCCTTTCCGCGAAGTGGACGGGAAGTTATCTGGAGGCGAACTCATGTTCGGCGGTGGCCGTGGCCAAGCCACGATTTTAGGGATGGGCGTCGCGGATGACACAACTATCGACGAGGCAGTTGCTCACTACCTGCGGACCGAGCTGAATAACGAACTTGATCTGGACAATGACAATACAGAGCTCAAAGCCTCTTACGAGTGGACGGGCATAATGGGCTTCAGTCGAGATGGCAGGCCTTGGTGTGGCGAGGTCCCGATTGGGATGGGAGGTGGAGAGGGGTTATTTATCTGCGCCGGCTTCACGGGACACGGTATGCCGACTACAAGTCTGAGCGCTAAATACGTTGCGGATCTCATGATGGGGAAGCAGGAGAGCGATTTCAAGATTCCGGAAGAGTATATTGTTTCCCAGTCGAGGGCAGCTATATCAAGGACGTACACCGAGGTGGTGATGGTAGATCTGCAGCCAGATGATTATCATTGCTAGGATATCCACGAAATAGCCCGACGAGAAGAGATAGTTGATAATTTGAAGCATATATTCCACTTATTTTTTATTCGTCATCCTTATAAGTACGCCCACGCCTGATTGAACGTCGTTTATCCGCCTTATTACAGCGCAATCCGTATTTGGCGTAGTACACCAGCGCGAGTATGCGTGCGGTTTCTTCTTCCGCACTCTTGAGCTGTGATCTTTGTCTTTCGTCAATGGGCTTTGCTTTTGTCAGAAGATATCGAAATCCCTTTGTACTCGCATTGCAGCGCATATTGTCTCCGCCAAGGCCCATAGCTTGTAATCTGATGGGCCTAGTTTAGATCTAGTAACATAGATTTTGAGGAGTTCGAATGTGGAAGGGTATTTTTCTTTGCAGGCGAAGTTTTCTTTCATTTTAAAGGATTGGTGGCTGTGGTTTTATCTTCCTGGGAGTTTTGGTACGCTTCTGTTCGGTTCTCAGCAACCTCAACCGTGTCGGTTTCGAAACTATAGAAATGTCTCCTGAGATTCTCAACAAAGCCAGCTACGTCGATTTGTCTCCTTTGTACGATTTCCGAGGGCTAAGGAATGGGCTGGGTCTCACGTTGATTTGCAATAACAAGACAACGGTAGCACTGTCTCGATTCTGTGGTCTTCGCGAAGCAAACAAAGACCGCTGTTATCTAAATTTCTGTTAGCTCAATATAATTTGAGGTCCCTCTGTCTTTTCATGATGCCGTTTTCAGCCAGTTCCTCGCTCATCTACAGACAAAGAAGGAGGTTATAGGAAGAAGAGCCCGACTTAACATCAACACAGCATCGTCTTGCCCATATCGTTACTCACATCATTTAATTTTTTAACTCTGTCTCTTATATTTATAAATATACACTACTCATATCAATCTTGTCAGGCAATTGATCGACGTTCTTTAGTTTGTTAATATAAGAGGCATTACATGCACATTGGCCATAAAATTTTCTAGTAACAGCCTTACTCAAGGTCAGAGGTACTGGCAATATGCCTCAAGATAAAATACAAGGGGTAAGGTTCACTGACATTATGAAACGTAGCGTATTTACACTACTGATATAAGCGTTAGGAACTTGCCCTCGACATATGGGAATCTATGTACAAAGAGAAAACCGAAACTCCCACAATGATAGTCCAACAGATCATCGAACATCACAACGTCATAACTCGAGAAATGGAAAAAATAGCTAAAGAAGAGATTGCGATGCTCCAAACCCAGTTAAATGATGCGCAAAAGCTGGCAGCACAACGAGCCAAGAAAATAAAGAGCTTGAAGATGGCAGCCAAACTCTTAGTAGCTGGCCCACCAAAGGACACGGAGAGTGCGCCATCGACATTCGACCCGCCGCAGGACCCATCAAAAGAAACTTGGGAGGCTACTATGAACAATATTGGCGCAACAATCCATCTCCTCGACGCCGAGGAATTATACCAGAAGGGGGACATCAGAGGCCTCGTCGAAGTAGCACAGAATGCCGTGACGTGCGCTGCGAAGCAGCTCGACAAGAAGCTTTTGGCCGATGCTTGGATCTGGCTTGGGACGGGCTACTGTAGCAGGGCCAATTTGAAAAGTGGGGTTGAAGCATTTAAGATGGCACTCGAAGTCTTGAAAACTTTGGACCAGAAGGATAAGGAGGTTGAAAGCATGAAGAAACTGATAGAGACGTGGCAGAGTGATATCAAGGAACCTGAAGCCAAGTTTTCTGCACTGCTTCTAAAAATTCAGAGCAAATGAACGTTTGTATGCAGATTCTGTGGGACGTTGATTTTGAGAAGCGGGCGATATATCTCTTTTAATACATAGTCAGGAACGATTGCCACCATTATATAGATTGAAAGTTATATAATGTATTCAAAGTTGGTCTTTCTTGCCAAGTTGTACGCCACCGAGCGTTGCCCAAAAATCGTGGAAAGAAGCTGGTGCGCTAGCGTGGTTGTGGGGTATTACAGTAGCTCAACGCTAAGTTAGCCCAAAAGCGTAATCTCACGTCACTCGTCTTGCGGCGTAATCGATGCCAAGTATTTCTGTGCCTGGCCTATTTCCATGTTTGAGCAACATAACTTCTTAGCTCCAAGAGCTGTAGAATTCCTCAACCCAACATGAAGGCCATATATGCGGTACCGGCGACGGTGCTTGTCGCGTACAGAGCTTATTCGCATAAATCGTTGACGCCAGCCGGTATTGTCGTCGCTGTCCTGACAGCTATTGCACACGCGGTCCACCCATGGAATCTACCATTTGTGCTTCTTATTGTGTTTTTCTTAGCTGGCACAAAAGTCACCAAGGTATGTTCACTCCATTCCAGCAAGCGCATGTGGTCTAATTATCTTCATAGGTTAAGAAAGAGGCAAAGGAGAAGCTCACCATCCAAGCCACCGGCGGTGCTGGGGGAGAAGGGCCGCGGACATATGTGCAAGGTATGTTGGAAGCTTCGACCCATACCCTACGTTGATAGTTGCTGATTCTTCGTGTAGTCCTCGCCAACTCGCTGGTCGCGACCGTCCTCTCTCTCCTCCACGCCTATACCTTATCCCGCGAACCAGAGGCCTGCTATGGATGGGGCCGCACGCTCCAAGACGTCATCCCCATTGGCATAATTGCGAACTACGCCGCCGTCGCAGCTGACACTTTCTCTTCCGAGCTCGGGATACTGGCTACGCAGGACCCCCGCCTTATTACATCACCGACTCTCCGACGGGTGCCTAGAGGAACAAATGGCGGGGTGACACTGTGGGGATTATTTGCTGGGTTCCTCGGCTCCTTAATCGTTGTTGTCACAGCCCTTTTCTTCATGCCGTTTTGCCCCGTACAACAAGGACCTTATGGCAATACACTGTCCAGCCTTGAAGGTGGCACAGGATGGGGCTGGGAAGAGAAGAAATATCTCGCCATATACCTTACGATCTGGGGGGCGCTGGGTAGTGTTCTGGACAGTGTCCTCGGCGGACTGTTTCAGCAGAGTGTCAAGGACACGCGGACGGGCCGTATAGTTGAAGGCGAGGGTGGCAAGAAGGTGCTTGTGTCCAAGGCAGATCCAAAGAGCGTGCACTACAAGAAGACGGCAGAGGTTAGAGCAACAGTATTTGGCCACGAGGGGAAGAAGGGCGTACCTGCTCGGCCAGAAATGGAAGAGTCGCATCCGACGAGGGTAGCTGAGTCAGGATGGGCTATTCTTGACAATAACGAGGTTAATTTCTTGATGGCGGTGAATATGAGTTTAGGGGCAATGATTATTGCTGCCCGGTATTGGGATATTAAATAGGTAACGCGCCTAGAAATTATTATGATGCTGTTGTTTTATAGTTCCGGTGCCTGCGCTGCCTGAAAAAATTGTTTATAGAAGAAATTTAGCAAAAACATTTTAATAATATTTTCTTAAATTTCTATGTAAAATAATTATATCACGGTCTTCGAAAATATTCTACCCATTTGAATTTGGACAAGTTTAATTATTTATTATCCCCCTATCTACATATGTGCCCTCTCAAACCGTTCTCTCTCTGTAATGGACGAACAGACATGTCGACGCTATGCTAGGTGATGCTGTTCTCCCCCCAAAAAACCCCCAAACCCCAAACCCCAAACCCCAAACTCCAGTTCCGGCTCTAACTCCCATATTCCATGCCGCGAGGGTATACCATGCCTCCATTTGTGATGGTCTACATGCCCACGTGCATGAGTCCTATTCTATTGTACAAACACCCGGTAGAACGTAGAAGGTAATAACCCGGACGCCTGGCGTCGCAGCCTGAATCTGCCATAATGATGTTTTCCTAAACCTCCCCCATATAGCCACCCGTACTCTCCAGTCAGATAAAGACGGTGTAATGTGCAGGTTGTGTGTGGATCAGGCGGGTTTGTGGTACCAGCGCGGTGTGGGACACTGCAGATATATAATCGATGTAATCCGCGGCACGCTGCATCTGCGTCCTTAATAGGGGAGCGGATAGACGGGTAGCGACCTGTTGATACAAGCGCAAGAGGAGAGCGAGGGAATGTGTGTTGAACGTCCGATGACGTGACGAAGTGTCTCCTCACTCACGACCCGCTGGCGAGACATGAATCGAGTAGCGAATTGAGGTCAGCGCGATCGTCGGATCCAGCACCTTCCCAGCCCCAGCCGTTCAGTGCATCCTCCGCGTCGGCGTCCGCCATCTCGACATCTGCATCTGGGGCGGCTGCGCCAACCGCCCCCACCTTCTGGTCTCCCACTCCCTTCCCACTCTGCCATCCCTCCACCTCTCCCTCCTGGAACCCATACCTGATCATTTCCATAACAACTGGCATCTGGCCCACACCACAATCCCCCATCTCCAACGCAACCCTCAAATCCGCCATGCCCAATGCGCCTCTCTCGCTGGCGGCCTTCGCCTCCACCGGTAAGAGCCCACTCTTATCCCTCACCACCTCACCCCTCGCCCAGCGTTCCTCTTCACGTTCCAACGCCCTCTTATAGCGCCTTGTGCTCACCCAACCACCACCACCACTGCTGGGCCCATCAGCCCGCGTGCGCCCAAATACCGAGGACAAGAACTGCTTAACAAATGTCTCGGCCGCGACAGCCATGAATGGGCTTGCGTCCGCGGCGTGGCCGCCCACCAGCCCAGCTTCGAAACAGAGAGGGAGCATCCGGGCCTCGATGGTGGAGGCGTCGGGAAACTCACCGGATTCGGCGGCGAGGGGAGGGGCGAAGCGTTTGCGGATCTCCAGAGACCAATTTGTTTTGCTAAGGGAGGTTGAGGGGGTTGTAGGGGCAGAGGGGGTCGGTAGTGGGTGTCGCGATTTGGATAGGAGGGTCGTATAGGGGTCGGGGCCGTCCGACTGTGTGTTGTTAGAATTGTGATAGAGAGTAGGGGGGTTTTGAGGGGAATTTTTGGGAGAGGCGCATACTTCAAGTTTCAAATCCTTTAACCTCCTCCTGTCACGATTCGGGAGACTCATAACCTCAGCCTTCAGCCGCTGCTCGGCTGCGTCCCCAGTGATAGGCTTTGCGCCTGCGCCTGGCGTGGGTTTATCGTTTGCGCTGACCCAGGCTGCGACACCAAGGTCTGGCATTTCACGTGTGACGTTTCCATAGATGGCCGCTACAAGCTGGTTGTGTAGGTGCTCGGTGTCGGTGCCGGGGACTGTGAGGAACCAGTCAATCTTCGCTGAGAGCTCGGCTTGGTTATATTGCCCTGGGATTCATGTTAGTTCTTGTCTGGTTGTAATTATGCCGGGAACATATGGGCGACTTACCCATCACAAAGAGGCTGACAGCCTCTTTGTATGTGGCCCAATTCTCGCCCACGGCCGCTTTGAGCGCCGTATACAGCGGCTCCAGATCGATGCGCGGCGGCACATGGTTTGACTTTGAGATTTTTGGCGCGGAAGGAGGTACAATGCTTAAGCTCTTTGGAGGAAGAATTGGGGTAGTGGAGGTGAGCGATGGCCTGCTCAGGGCCGCTGGATCGATATCGGGCATGGCTGCGTGGTGAGGCGCCTGGGGGGCGCGCCCGGCGCGTGAAGCGCGTGTGTGGCCTGGAGCTGGGGAATTTGTGCGGTTATGGGCGCATTAGATTGGGCAAGGCTGGGGCTATCCAGCGAGGGTATTTAGAAGAGTTAATGGGTTGTTGTGTGGTCGTGGGTGATGGGATTGTTTCTTGCGATGTTGGTCCTGGGGGTGAGGCTCTGGGTGGAGGTCGTCTGATGTAAACCTGCGATGTCAGGCGCCAATGCGCCGTTCGCGTTGTCCGTCGCGTCTAACCGCGCTTGGTGCGGGACCATCTGAAGTGACAGGACTAAACAGACAGCACAACAGAGAGCATTCCTGAAAGTTCTCAGAACAACATTCAAAGAATTTACTTATTGTGAATATCAATTTGTCACTCCATAGATTCCGAGCGAAGTACGGCCTAATATTTTTGTTGACTGGGGAAATGCGAGGATGGCCCAGGAGGAGCGGGAAGCTCGCGTCCGCAGTGCGCTCTCTGGCCTAGTTCAGCAATTCATTCGGCGCCTACCTGGAGAAGACGACGACACATTTGATGAGAGGCAAGAGAATGCATATGAGCTTGGTTCCAGCATCCTCGAAAGCCGTACCGCGCCTGCCGTGGTCGCAGATTGTGAGCCGCTTGCGTCGCTGCATACCTGAACTCAACTAATGTGCTTCCAGTAAATCATGCGGGGGATCTCATAAAAAAGAAGCTGATTAAGAATAATCCTCCGGACAAGGCGCTGAAGTTTTCGAATTTATACTCCCGACTACTCATCCAGCCTGTACTGAATCAGAAATGGGCGATCCTATACCTGCTTTACCAGCTGGCGGACTCCGACGAGCCAGAGCCGCCACTATCAGACCAATCGAGACAGTTAAGCAGCGCGTTAAGAGAAGATCGAAGGCTGCTTGAGGGCGTGCGCGCTGGATCATCGTTACGCAATGGGCCGCGGAGAGAAGAGAAGGTGTACGATGAGGCCTTTGCGCCTCAAGGACTACGCAATCTCCCCGTACGAGATGGGAACCAGCGAGGCCCAAGGGAAGCAGAAGCGGCCGCCACAAAAAATATACCAGATCAGGGCAAATCACAACCCCCAAAGACCTTGATGCTGGCGGAGAACTATGTCGAGATCAGTCCGTCGGAGACAACTCTGTTACGAGACCTCCCGTTCACACTACAAGGGCTCACGTCAACGACTCTGGCTTTCCCGTCGACGTCAGTTCTCAAATTACCTAATTCCCTCCCGCCGCCTATAATATCTATACTACACACCCTTGCAGAACCGTCGCTGCTATACAGGGGCCTGACAGAATTCGTCGCGTCCACTGAGGGTGGGCTCCTCGGCCAAAGTCTCCGCGCAGCAGTCGCGGGAGAATTAAGGTCTTATCTGGGGCTAGTGGCGACGTTAGAGGGGCAAATAAGACGAGCTTTGTCGTCTCTAGACGAAAATGAGCCTAGAGGTGGAATCGGTAAAGCCGGAGTCACGTTAAAGAGATGCGTGGTCTGGACGCGTGAAGCCACCATGGGACTACGCCTTCTCAGTCTCATCGCAGAGGAGTCAAAGAACCGACGAGGTGGGCAACTGATATCGCTCATTCACGGATTTTCTTCTTCTCACGGAGACCCTTTGGTTGGGGCGTTTGCTGAGAGACTCCTGACGCATGTGACGCGTCCTTTCTACGATATGTTGCGGCAATGGATTTACGACGGTGAATTATCGGACCCGTACCATGAATTCTTTGTCTCCGAGCAGGATCCAAATGCTGTTAACACTGCAGAGGATGGGCGAAGCCGAGGCGGGGCAAGCAGTGTCTGGGAAGATAAATATAAGCTCGACGATGACATGATACCGAGCATCATAACGGAAGACTTTGCGCAAAAAGTGTTCCTGATTGGGAAATCGCTCAACTTCATCCGACATGGCTGTGGCGACTCTTTATGGGTCGAGGAATACTCAAAAGCCGCTTCGAAAGAGCTTCGATACGGCGACACGGAGACGCTGGAGACCTGGATTGACGAAGCTTATAAGACCACAATGGCTAGGCTGATTCACCTTATGGCAGACAAGTTCCAATTGTTCGAGCATCTCAAGGCACTGAAGAACTACATCCTTCTCGGCCAAGGCGACTTCATAGCCCTGCTGATGGAGTCATTATCGGCCAATCTGGATAGACCTGCCGGCGCCCAATACCGTCATACTTTGACAGCACAGCTCGAGCACGCAATCAGGGGTTCCAATGCACAGTATGATTCGCCAGAGGTACTGAGGAGGCTTGACGCAAGAATGCTTCAGTTATCACATGGAGACATTGGCTGGGACTGTTTCACACTCGAGTACAAGATCGATGCCCCAGTCGACGTAGTCGTCACCGAATGGGGCAACCGCCAATACCTCAAAGTCTTCAACTTCCTCTGGCGCATCAAGCGCGTTGAATTCGTCCTCTCCACCACCTGGCGCAAATGCATGACCGGCGCCCGCGGCGTCCTCCAAGGCGTCGACGCCAGCGTCGGCGAAACCTGGAAATCCACCCGCGGCGTCGTCGCAGAAATGATCCACTTCATCGGCCAACTCCAGTACTACATCCTCTTCGAAGTGATTGAGTCCTCCTGGGACGAGCTCCAAACCGCTATCCACAAAGAAGGCTGCACACTCGACGACATAATCCGCTCGCACACCGATTACCTCAACGCGATCACGCACAAGGGCCTCCTCGGCGCCAAGAAGCGCGGACACTCCGACGACGCACCGAGTACGTTCATGATGCAACTCGGCGACCTGCTGCGCATCATGCTTGCCTACCGCGACGCCGTAGACGGGCTGTATAGCTGGAACGTCGCAGAATTCACTCGCCGCCAGGAAGCGTCCATACGCGTGAACTCACGCATGGACATGTCCGACGACGAGGTCCTTCCCACCCCCGCCACAACACGGCGGGGACCAAAACACCTCGCCCACGACAGTCTGAGCAGCACACCTGTCCCCGGCGCGATCCCGGGACTCCGCAGTGCAGGCGGTGAGGATGAGTTGTTGCCTACGCTGCAGGAGCGGTTGAAGGCGCTGGGAGGGCAGTTTAGGGCGAAGCTAAGTGCGTTGTTGGGGGATCTGGCGTATCAGCCTGATGTGGATATGCGGTTCTTGGGGGTTGTGATGAATTTCAATGATTTCTACCAGCCTGTAAGGAGGAGGACGGGGACGAAGGTGCCGCCGAAGGAAAAGGCGAGGTGAATGGAGTAGGGGTGGGGGTCGAAAAGGGTTCTTTGTAGATCAGGATGGTTTTACTGGGAGCAGGCGACTTGGACGAGGGTTTGGGATTCGGGATGGGAGGAGTTGTTGATAAAGAGGTGGGCGTTGGAGGTTACTGTAAGAAAATACGATACCCACGACACAAATCGGGCGTTAGATATTCTACTAGATGCAAAGAATATCAGAAACGATCAATGCAAAAACACGAACTAGCTTCCCAATGCTGCGCTTCATATACCCCTATTCACCCCACTCATTTACACCAAAGCCCCATTTTCACCTGCCTATCTACGCCAACCCCTCAACCTTCCACAACTTCACCGCCGCATCCCCACCCACACTAGCAACCTTCCCCTCCCCCGCCCACACCACCCCATTCACACCATCCTTATGCGCATTCGCGGCCTTAACCCTCTTCCCCGGCTGCGCCAAACTCCAAACATGTACATTAGTATCCAACCCCCCACTAACAGCATGCGTCCCCGCCGCATTCCACGCAATACTCTGGATGCGCGCCGTGTGCGCCGACCAGCGATCCGTAGCCACCTCCCACGACCCCGTATCGTAGACGACGATCTTACCCGACGAGTTACCCGCTGCGAGCAGCGCGCCGGAGGGCGAGAAGGAGAGCGCTGTTACTTTTGCGGTGGATTTTGAGAGAACGGTTGAGGGGGTCAGGGTGCCGGAGCTGGAGACGGTGAAGATGTGGACGCTATTCGCGTCGTCGCTTAGGGCGAGGAGATCCTTGGAGGCTGCGATGGCGGTGGGTGTGAAATCCTTGGTTGCGTGCTGGTGGACGAGCTTGTCCTTGGAGAAAACGTCGACGCCGGTCGTGGTGGCGATGTAGACGCGGCCGGAGGCGGAGGCGATGCCGTTTGGCTGGGCATCGAGCTTTGTGCTCTCGCCCACGAAAGTCTGGGTTGGCTCGTCCACGATGCGGAGGTTGTCGTCCCATCCGATGGTGTAAGTTCGGTCGGGTGTGTTCGTGAAGCCGGTTACCTGGTTGGTGTGTGTTTGGCCGCGGACTGCGAGACCTTTGCCGGAGGCGATATCCCATGTGCATACACGGCCTTCGAAGCTGCCCGTCCAAAGGGTCTTGTCGCTAACACCGATGGCTGTGACACTGCGGTTGTGACCTTGCACAACCTTGAGCGGCTTTTCGGAGCCTTCGGTGAGGTAACTGAGGTCACCGTTGAGGTTAATGCTGATGATTAACCCATCACTTCGTCCAGCGGGCCACACAACACCAACTTGGTGGTCTGGGATGCTAACGTTGCCCTCCCCACCAAAGCGCCATGTTTGCACGTTCTTGCCAGACTCGACATCCCAGACCTTGACGGTTTGATCTGCGCTGCACGTAACAAGCTTTTTTGAGTCCTTGGACCACGAGACGCCGAAGATAGAACCCTTGTGCTCGCCCTCGCCTATCTGCTTGGTCGCCTCTCCTGTCTTGCCATCATAAAGTTGTATTCTCCTATCGGCGCCGACAGAGACCAGAGTGCTTCCATCCGGTGAGAATGCAACACCATAGACGTATCCCTTATGCAGCGCTCCGACCTTCGAATTGAATTTGAACGGTGCTCCATGCAAGAAGACCATGCTCATATCGTCACTCGCAGTAGCCGCTCGGAGAGGTCGTTGCTGCCTAATCGAAACGCTGTTAATGATTGACGAATGTCCGCTGATTTCCCCCACAGAGTTTCCGCTATCTGCCGTAACACAGTGACCGAAGCGCTCGCGTCCATCTCCAACTGCTATTATGCGCTGCGAGTCGCCGTCCCACGCAATATCGTTGATGCGCCCAGATATGATCGGGTATTCGCCCTTCGTGTTGACCGCCTCCACCGCATCCCATACACGCACCAACCCCGAGGCATCACCACTGGCGACGTAGTATCCGCTGGGTGAGAAGCGCGCAACGGTCGTCTGGGCGGTATGGCCGGTGTACTGCTTGCTGACCTCGGGGTTGTCGATGCTCCTGAGGAAGATTGATTTCCCAGACTAGTATACGTCAGATACGGGCGATTGTAGGCATTATATGAGGGTGGTAGAACTAACAGCATAAGCTATGCGCTCGCCTTTTGGGCAGGAAGACAGCTGTGTGGGCTGGCCGCGGGTTGTAGCTGGCGAGGCAGCTAGTACGGACTCGAGAGTAATAGACATGGCTGATTGTAGTCGCAACGCTGCAGATAATAGAATCCAAGAATGAGCGCAAAAAGTGAAAATGAAAATGGGGGTTTAGGCGCCAGAAAAGGGAGCTCTGAAACTGATACTGTTGATGTCGCGAGCTTACTTGTTGATGATGACGAGGACCCCAGTGGGAGTGGTCAGTGGTGGGGCAGGTCAATTCGTACCCCTCTTCCCCTCTTTCCTGCAAAAGCGACCCTACATACAGATACAACACAACACAGTCATACAACAAAGATTCCCAAGGAAAGAGCTCTCGACTATAAACCCTTCCAGAGCAAAAAAGAGCGAATAGCAAAAGATAAAACCCAAAATATATCAAAATAGCAAAACACTATAAAGACAACCCAAACATGAAAAAAGATTTAGTTGCTCACAGTGAGGTTCGAACTCACGCATCTTTCGATAATGGTGTTTCAGAAGAATTTCTTAAAACCATCGCCTTAGACCACTCGGCCATATGAGCTGTGTGATAAGGAAGAGCTCGCTAAGCAGATCTAACACCCAACGAAGGAAGGAGCGATCGGGTTCCCGGTACGTATCTTCTTATACGACGGCATTTTGACCCCGCTGTTATTGTTGATAGAGCATCATTATCTCTCAGTCGTTCACTAACTTACCCCACCTTCATGAACATCTTGGCAGTATCAATATACAGAATATACACCTTCATTATACTCACAACTGGTAGGAGTCGTATACACTTCCCCGAGCCCATATTCAAGTTTCTATACTCACAAATCTACAGCATAAACTCCACCTGCCAACCCCTACCCCACCATTATCATGTCCTCCTCCGCTCCAAGCCTCACGCCCGCCCAAATCGAAGCCTTCAACCGCGATGGCTACCTCATCATCCCCAACGCCCTCGACTCCCAAACCGTAGCCTCTCTCCTCACCGAGACGCACAGTCTCCTCGAGAACTTCTCCATCGAGGACCACCCCATGACCCGTTTCTCGACGGGAGAGGGCGAAGGCGTGGAGCACGTGGGCGACGACTATTTCCTAGAGAGCGGGGATAAGATCCGTTTCTTCTTCGAAGAGGGTGAGTTTTGATTCTCCCAGTCCTTCCGCATTACCCAACCACACATTCCCCCATGTGCCACCCCGTCTCTTGTCACTCCCCCACGGCTCCCTCCTTTCCGGTGAGCAAAAAGAGGGGCTTGTCATCTAACCTCCCAGACGCATTCGACACCTCCGGAAAACTCCAATACCCCAAACACCGCGCGATCAACAAAATCGGGCACTCCCTCCACACCCTCTCTCCCCCCTTCGCCTCGCTCCTCACACCCACCACTTCCCCCGCCCCCTCCACCATCGCGCGCTCCCTCGGCCTCTCGTCCCCGCAAGTCCTGCAATCAATGGTGATCTGCAAGCAGCCCGAGATCGGTGCCGCGGTCCCCCCTCACCAAGACAGCACGTTCTTATACACCTCTCCCCCCTCCGCACTGGGTTTCTGGTACGCTCTCGAAGACGCGACGAAGGAGAATGGGTGTCTCTCCTTCCTACCCGGGAGCCACAAGTGGGCAGCTATTGGGAAGAGGTTTGTGCGAAAAGCGGACGGGAGTGGGACGGAGTTTGTGACCAATGATGGCCCCCAGTTCCCCGCGGGGCAGGGAGGGGGTGAGGCGGGAAAGGAGGAGGAGGGGGGGGAGTATGTTATGGGCGAAGTGAAGGCAGGGTCGCTGGTGCTGATTCATGGGAATCTATTGCATAAGAGTGAGAGGAATACGAGTGGGAAGGGGAGGATTATATATACATTCCATGCGATTGAGGGGGATGCGGCGTATGATGAGAGGAATTGGTTGCAGCCTCCTGCTGGGGGGTTTACGAAGATTTAAAAAGGGGGGGGGCATATGGATGGCGTGGTGGTGTACATAGAAGAGAGATTATGAAGCACAATTTTAAACGGAGTGATCAGTGTACAGACGAATCGTTATGTTGAATTTCAGAGCCCTACTCTATCTTGGTATCGGACAACAAATAATCATTACACATGCAACACCCACCCTCCACTCCCTCCCTCCATCCCCACTCCACGTTATCAACTACAAAAAAAACGAAAAAAGAACCGCTCAAGATCGTTATGTATATGCAATACACAAAATACACAATATAAACACACACAACCCACCCCCATCATCGAACTCGTCGCCAACTTATACTCCCCTAAACATCCTCACAACCAGGAACCACATCGCGCCCAAGAATCTGAACGCCGACAGCCCCGCCACCGACCACAGCACAACAGCCATATACGTATTCGCCTTCGAGTTATCCGCCGTCGCACCATCAAGCGTCAAATTACTCTCACCCCCTGTACTCAACACCACCGCCACAAGCGCAATATTACAACCCATCCAGATCAGCACAACACTCGAACGGAACCCCTTATAATAATCCTCCTGCTTCTCGCTCGCGGAAAACACGCGCTTCTCCGGCGGTGCCTTGGAGGCAAACACGTTCACCTCGCTGAGGTACTGCTGGTTGAGATCGGCGTCGTCGGTGGGGATAGTCACGTCGACCTTACCGTCCGCCTTGACCTTTGCGGAGGGCAGTTTCTCGGCTTTGTCGTCACCTTTGGTTCCCCAGGTGATGTCGTGGGTGTTGCAGAAGGCGTAGACGTTGAGGATGTTGATGTAGGTTGGGGTGAGGGCGAGGTATTGGAGGAAGGAGGTGAACATGTGCCAGGGGTCGAAGAAGAGGAAGGACACGACGAACCAGAGGATGTAGGTCGAGACGAGGGAGACGATTAGGGTGAAGAAGATTTGGTTCTTGAAGAGCTCGCTGACGGAGAAGGTGGTGTTGAGGTCGAGCTCGTGTTGGATCGATTTTACGGTGATGAAGACGGAGGCGAACATGAGGTATCTGTTAAGGGGGTTAGTTGGTGCGTGGATGGGAGAGTGGGGAGGTACTTACGCCATGATGAAGACCCAGAAAATAACCATAGTCATGTAGAAGACACCCGAACCCTGAGGCCTATTACCCAAAGCCAGCACGAAACAGGATAGTAGAGTAGCGGCGTAGAGCCATTGGAAGACGTCGGCGAGAATCCTGCCAACATTTCCCAGCAGATTTTGGGAACCAAGAGATGTAGTCAAGATGCGGAAAACCAAGTAGAAATTTCCAATGGCGAACCAAGCGAAGATCATGTTGATAGTCTGGTAGAAGAACTCGATCAAGAATGCGATCTGCCTGAAGAAGCTGTGGTCGCTTCTGAACAGCTGGTAGAAATGCGTGATGGCGTAGATGGCCGCGAAGAAGGAACCGTTAAGCCATCTACGTCTTTGCAGAATCAACTCGGCCATGGTGTCTGGGACATCGGTCTCGCCGGTAGCAGACTTGACGTATTGTAGAACCCAATGGCACTTCCTCTTCGAGACCAGCTCGAAACACAGAATACGATCCTCGGCAAGGTACATATTGGCCGTGAAAATACCGGCGTTGGCACCGTGCATCTTCTCTCCAGCGAAGTACTTCTCGAGTGGTCCTTGGCCGAGCTTATCGTTTTGCAGCGCAACATATCTGTATGCCGAGAAGGCACCGGGGAGCACGGAAATGAAACCAAACGCTGATTCCAAAGGCTTATCCAGAATATTACTCATCTTGTACTCGAAGTTTTGAGTCGCAACCAGTGGGTTCATGAGGTTCTTGCCTCCAGGTCCCAACATAGCCTTAATCTCACCACAAGCTCCAGCGCAATTTGGCTCAAGATCGAAGGCCTTCCACAGCTGGTAAATGGAGTCTTTACCAGGTCTGGTACCCGCATCGATAAGAACACAAATGTTGGGGTCCAAAACTCTTCCGAATGCCTGGAAGAACCATCTGTGGGAGTTGATCTTCTTCTGATTCTTCTCCTTCAGACAGAAAAGGATCTGGACTGGCTGTTGCTTGTGTCTCAGCGTCACAACATCTCCCTTGACTGAGATACCGGTCTGAGTGGTATACTCGTAAATATGCGCCGTGACATCCTTTCCGTTGACTTGCTGCTTGGCGATTCCGTCCTGGTAGACTCCCATTCCAGAGAGCACGGCCTTCGTTCTCGGGTTGATTTTCGAACGACCATCGCTAACAATGCAGACGACAATCTTCTTCCACGCATCAGGACCCCATGTCTTGCTATCCTTGCGCGAGCACATATATTCGATGTTCTTGAACACACCGCTCATGGTTCGTCCGAAAAGCACATCATCTTCGTTGTACATGGTGACCACAATGAAGAGTTCCGTGTGTCTAGGCTTTGCGAAGAGCTTCTGGCGCAGAGTGAATCTGTCCTCGAAGAATTCTGCCGGGTCACAGGTCGCTGCGGTATAACGCATATGGGTGAACTCATCACGCTCAGGTGGTGGCGCATGGGGCACCTTGTTCAGGAGAATCGGTGGAATTGGGCAATCGAGGACGAGATTTCCCTCGAAGAGCTGTACTTCCTTCACGGTCTTCCATCGCTTGATCGGCTGTGGTGGGGGTTGTGGAGTGTGGTTACCATCGTATCCAGGAGCGGCATGAGGGTCTTGCCCGTAGGCTTCACTCCCTCCTCCTCCTCCGAGGATCGGTCTGTTGTCATCCTGATCGTTGAAGTAGCCGTCGTCATGGGGGTAGTCGGCGAGAGCGTGGCCATCATGTGGGGAAGGCTCGTAAGGCTGTTGATAGTATGCATCATGGTGATCTTCTGGGTTGAGCGCATAGTCGTGCTGATAATTCCTGTCCTCTAAGGGATGACGCTGGTCGTAATGCTCGTTGTGTCCGAATGAGTTGTCAATGTTTTCAACGGAGTACTGCGACAGAGTGTTATTAAGACCGTTCTCCCAAGCCTTGTTCTCAAAAAACTTACTGTTGGCTGCGACGCAAGTCTGTCACTTGGTGTCCGTCTTCCACCAGGTCCAGGACCCATTGGGATATCTAGTCTCCCCGGTCCTGGTGACTGCTGTCTTCCACCGTATGGATCATCGTCGAGGTGATACCCTTGGTTGCCTTGGTTGGGACCCGGCGAGTTCATGCGGTTATTTCGAGGATCCATTTCGTAATTGTCGTTGCGGCCCTGGCCTTGCGGACCTATTACTCGAAGTATTAGAGATTATGTCTTCCACTATCTGTCAAAGTCGAGCAATTTGTGAAATTCCAATTGATCGCAAGAGTAAGCACAAGCTGAAGTTGTCGCAAGAAGGAACTGTCTGTCACAAGAGACTCGGCCGAGCGCGTCTCAAGTCCAAGTCAAGTCGGCTTTGTTTGCCTTATCCTCGTACAACTTCAAGCAGCGCACAAGATCTCGGTCAAAGGGCTTCGTAAAATTCGTGTATGGGGAATGAAAAGAAGGGATGAAGCTTCAGGAAATATGAGACGTACCTAAACGATTATACGCCATGGGTAAAGAGTGTCAGCTTCTGTAGAGTGCAGGGTTGAGCACGTCGCAAGTCGTAATACTCCACGGCTTGGCTTGCTTGGTTGGGCTTGTGAAGGAACAGCGCGTGGTGGTGTTGATTGTCCTCTGGAGCCCCTGCTAATCTTCCTTCCTCCAGTGTCACCGGGTGAAGATCGTCCCTGGGGAATATGAAGCCTGTGTAGGCGGAGGAGGAGGTTTAAGAGCGCTCAAACGGGCGATAGCCGTAATTTTGAGGTTTCAAGTTGATGTTTTGGGGGGAGCTGCCGAGGAGGGGATAGACTGATACTTAGCCAAGCAAGTGTCAAGTACTATAAAAGTCGCGGGCGTTTCAGACGATGCTAGGCTCTTTGGGGTAGTCAACGAGCGCGATTCAGAGATGTATGTACAATTAAGTGTTGTTTTTTTCAGCTTTAAAGAAAGGTAAAGAGCGAGAGAAAAATGACAAGGCTGTTGCTATTCACAGATGTTGGTTGGTCTTGTTGAGCGGCAGCAGTACCGGTGAGAGAGCGGCTTGAGTTGGACGCGGCCCTGTGTTCGTTTCAAAACAAACATTTTCAGTACCATATTCAGGGGTCCTTTCCCCAGCGACCCATACATTAATTACTATGGTACTCTACTACCGTACGACGACGAACCCACGATGTATCCACAAATAGACACATAGCGTCGTTGTGCCTCTTTTACTCAGCCACACATCCCCAACGAACGAAAGTGCCAATAACTGCCAATAGTACTAACATTACTAACATTGCTAACAGACACCCGCTAGTATACGAATTTCAGCCACTGAGAGGCTTGAGATCGCCTACAACTTGCCCCTATGTGGTTCTATACGAGCCATCCCAACCATTGATGGCCATCACTCTACCTCAGGAGCGTGCACACTGAACGACTGGTGGCCACTAGGCTCGACGATAGGCTCGACGATACGAGCACATGAAATAAACCAGTTATTAAAGTATATCGTGGGTTCACCACAGCAGGAGGCGCAGGACTTGATTAAGGCAAGACTTTCAGTTGTGGCGGTGCACTGCCATTGCCTCCATCACCATGTCGCCCCCTGTCCTCGCCCCTCTCAAGCTACGCGTCCTCAAGGCTTCACTGGTGCCCTGTGTCGTAGAGATGATTCTTCACATGACGCTGTGACGTACGGCGGACAGTGACAGCCGCCTATCAACCTACAAGTCCACAACAATGCCTCCATTCTTCCCAGGAATCTTGTTAGGTCTTAATAGAGGGGTTCTGCAAGTCACATCCGCATGCACGTACATGTACGTACATGCCGCATTCCCGTCAGAAAAAGCCTGCCAAATATAACTCCTATCAGCTTATCTCACCCATCATCTGCTGTCAATTCCCGTCACCTCCTGTCATCATCCTCTCACTCCTCATGTCACCCAGAGAGCCTAGGGAGAATCTCACTGCCTGATTATATGTGCTCTTCTATGCCTCCTTCCCCAGAACCGGAACTGACGGATCCTTCGTGTCTTCCAAGTCTCCAATATATACGTCAAATAAATTACCTGTCCATTTCCATTCCGTCTCTTTTGCCGCTGCCGCATTATATTTCCCGGCCCTTGAGTGTCCATGGCAAATATTATCCTTGCCCCTGAGTTCCTATATTCGCAGAATATCTAAAATAACAAAAGTTCCCATACGGGATAAGAAGAACTTCTTCAAAAACATACCCAGCCCGTCCCCAAATGCACTGTCCTTCCACGCTCGTGTGCTTACTTCCATGCCCTAAAATTAAAAAGCTTAACCCAGCCTCACCGAGGATCCTCGGATCGATTGTGGGGTATCTTGGTCTTTCTCGGCGAACTCGGTTCATTTTACGTGTGCCCCGCGGCAAGTCACATGACACCCCTCCTCAATCCAACCCCGCGTTATCACATCTCCCTCTCTCCTTCTCCTCCCTCCAAATCCCAATAACCTCAATCTCCTCAATCTCACCTCTAACCACCTCATCCACAACCGCCCACCATGGCATCAACCAACAACCCCCTCTCCAACACCACCAGCCCCTCCCCCTCCTCTTTCCCCCCACCAAAATCCTACAACATCGCCGGCATAACCGTCTCCATCCTCGGCCTCTCCTCCCTCCCTCAAAACTGCACCTCCCTCACAATCCTCTACCTCCTGCACCCGCGCCTCCAATCCGCCTCCACCATGCTCCCCATCGGCACCCACATCCTCACCTCCTGGGCCGCGCACCAAGCTTCCCTCCCCCCCTCTCACCCCTCCAAATCCGCCGGTCTCCTAGCCCTAACCTTCGACCAACGCAACCACGGCGCGCGCCTCGTGGACCCGGTGGGTAACGATTCGTGGAGGGATGGGAATCCAAGGCACGCGCAGGATATGTTTGGTGTCTATAATGGGACGGCTACGGATGTGTCGTTGTTGATTGATCATGTGGGGAGTTATATCGCTGAGGATTTCCAGGGGGTTATGCCGGAGATTGGGAGGAATTTGGTGTTGGGGGTTAGTCTGGGGGGCCACGCGGCGTGGCAGGTGCTGTTTGCGGAGCCGAGGGTTGAGGCGGGGGTGGTGGTTATTGGGTGTCCGGATTATATGCGTGAGTTCCCCTATCCTGCCTCCTATTTTCTCGTCTTGTCACGGGATCAGGTAATATAGCGTTGGAGAAAAGAAACAAACTAACACCCACCCCAGGCGTAATGACCGACCGCGCGCGTCTCTCCAAACGGCAAACATACACCCTCGACGCCGGGGCCACCTTCCTCGGCAGCCGCGACTTCCCCCCCTCCCTCCTTTCCGCGATCCAAAAATGGGACCCTAGGGGAATCCTCTTCGGCGCCCGCGAAATCCCCTCTCACCCCCCCACACAAGACTCCCCCCGCGAAGAGGCGCGCTTAAAGGATATCCTAGAATCCAGGGTGAAGGGGAAATCAGTGCTGGTGTGTAGTGGTGGTGCGGATAAATTGGTGCCGTATAAGGCGTCGGAACCGTTTTTGGGGTGGTTGAAGGAGGCGGTTGGGAGGGGGGGGTGGTGGGAGGGAGGGATGGGGGTTAGGGATGTGGTGTATGAGGGGGCGGGACATGAGTTTACGGAGGCGATGGTGAAAGATTCTGTGAAATTTGTAGTAGAGTTGATGGAGGGGAGGGGGGTTGAGAAGGGGTCGAAGATTTAAGGGGTGGTGAAAGTGGCTGATAGAGGGGTATTGAAGACATAAGTCATAGCAGGCTGGCTGTCAGAGAGGGGTTGCTTGAATAGCTCTACATAGACCGGGCATACTAGAATTTTGAGCAGCAATGGCTATAGCAAAATACCAATCAACCATCAAGATCAGCAGTCAGGGTATCCGCTTGTTTATACATCTATCTCTCTCTATCTATTATCTACTCGGCCCCCTGCGGCGGCACAAACGGCTTAACCAACATCTCCGAGAACTTCTCCAACTTCTCCTTCCCCCTCACCTCCTCGACCAACAACGGCATCTTAACCACATTAAACTCATCATACAGCTCCTCAATCTGCTCCAAATACTTCCGCTGCATCTTCCTCCTCGCATTGCACTGCTCGCACTCACTCCCCTTCTTCGGAAACAGCAGCTGATTCACCACAATACAATGCGTATCGATGCTATACCCCGCCAACTCCTGAATCATGCGCTCCGTCTCATACAGCGACAAGAACTCCGGGATGCATACGCACACAAAGGTCGTCAAATCGGGGTCCTTGAACTGCGTGTTCACCTCCGCGATCGTCTCGCGCAGAGACTCGAGCTTCTCCATCATCTCGGGCAGGTTGGCGCCGTTGGGGAGTTGCCCGCCCATGATGCCGTTGAGCATGGGGCCGAATTGTGTGGAGAGTTGGGAGATCTTGGCGAGGGCTTTCTCGAGGACGGAGGGGAACTGGAGGAAGCGCAGGGTGTGGCCCGTGGGGGCGGTGTCGAAGATGATGGTTTCGTAGGAGAGGGATTTGACTTGCTTCAGCACCTCGGCGAAGGACATGGCCTCGTCGATTCCGGGAATCTGGGTTTGTTAGTTATACCCCGCCATCAAATCGGGGCTATCTTGGGGGTATACATACAGCGAAAGCCAAATCCTGCATCATCCCCCCCATCCCCGCAGCAGCCTCATTCCCATCATCCGCCTGCCCCGCAAGCAACTCCTGAATACTGCCATTCGGATCGATCTCCATGGCGCTCAGATTCGTAAACCCCTCAATGAGGCGCGCCTCCTTGCCGAACTTCTGGGAAAAGGCATCGGACAGGTTGTGTGCGGGGTCGGTGGAGATGAGGAGGACGGAGCGGCGGACGCGCGCCAGCTGGATGGCGAGGGAGCACGAGGTTGTCGTCTTGCCGACGCCGCCCTTGCCGCCGACGAAGATCCAGCGCAGGGAGCGCTGGTCGAGGATCGATTGCAGAGTGGGCTCGAGGACGTCGGAGTCGGCGTCGATTATGGCGTGGGACATTGTGTGGTGGGGGTGTGCTGCTTGGAGCAGCGGGTGGGAGGTGCGGGTGTGTGAGTTTAAAGAGAGGTGGGGAGGAGAGAGGTGAGGTGGTTTGGGGGGGAGAGGGTTTGGTTATAGTAGAGATGAGGAGTTGGAGGTGGTATTGCGGATATGGTTTCCTCAACGCCCAGGGCTTCTTTGGAGTTCTTGGAGTTGCTGCCGCTAGCGGCCGCACCACAATCGCTGGCCATGTCATGGAGCGTCTCAAAACTGGTGTAAGGGAGAGTCACCTAACTTTTTCTCTGATTTAAGTTGAACTTTGGAATTACTATATGCATATTAACTGCATAGTATAATTTTCTAGAGACAGAACACATTTATTTCGTTCTAAGCTAAGTGGTGAGTATATACCTACCCTGCTCATAACTGAGAGCGGCGACTTCCGATGATGCGGGGCCATCTTTGCTGTCAAGAGCTGGCTCGACACCAGCAACAAAAAGGAAGCCACACCCGCACGACATTTCGAGCGTAGCTATCTTGCTTATTGTGTACTTTCTAGCAATTGCACCTATCTTCAATCCATCTCAAAGTCCTCCTGAGCTCAACAGGTGATCCTAAACACTTCAAGACGATCCGGCGCATTCTACCCCACAAACCGCGACCCCGCCAACCTCGGCCTCACCTCGTTGAAGATCCCACTCACAATGGCCACCTCCAAAGCCCCAATCTCCTGCCACGTCCTCGACACCGTGATCGGCCGCCCCGGCGCCTCCATAAAAGTGACGCTGTCCTGCCTCTCCGCGCCCAACAAGCAATTCGGCTCCATCCCTCACACCTTCACCGGCGTCACCAACTCCGACGGGCGCATCGCGGAGTGGGAGAACAAGTTCGGCGTTGAGGTGTGGTCGGTCGTCAATGAGGGCAGCGACGAGGATGAGAAAAATGGGACGACGGTGTGGAGTCTGAAGTTCGATACTGAGGGGTATTATGGCGAGGGGAAGACGTTTTGGCCGTATGTTGAGTTGACGTTTAGGGTCAAGAAGGGGGAGCACTATCATGTGCCGCTGCTGCTGGGGCCGTATAACTATACCACTTACCGGGGAAGCTAGAGGATATGGTGGTTCCGTGGTGTTGATGACAGCGGCGAAGAGTGTTCCAAGGAGACTCCTGTTGATGAGCAAAGCGGCCGAAGCGCTAGCGGAAGAACGACGTATGAGGAGAGAATAAAAGACAGTTCCATAAGAGGAGAAATATATTTGATTGAGACACAGCCTTACCTGGAAATTACTGTCTCATCTGCCAATGGGCCATGAGAAGCAGAGATGCCGGTTGGCGTCAACTGTCACGGTTGTGACCAGAAGATTTGAAGGGAATGATTCGGAATTGATCTACCAAATACTTCCTTTGTCTCTTCGAAATATGACACCCAATAATATATGAAAAAAACGAGTGAAATAAGTCATAAATGAAGCAGATGCGGAACTGAACGCCCACCTGGCAGGTTGGTCCGTGAAACCTCGTCGTCGAGCCAACAAGGTGGAGAAGCCCCAGAGAACTTCTCCTTCGAACACCATTGTAAACACCTTACCCAAGTTACAACCCATCTAACAACCTCAAATCCATCTCAGTATCTCTATCCAAATAGTGTTATTCCCATCGTCGAGTTATCTGGGAACACAGCGTCGGTGCACAATTCCGCTCGTTTCAGTTCCCAGCCTCGCCGACAAATTGCGTGCGCCAAGAAAAAACACTTTACGCGTCGCGAACACGCTTATTCTAGAACGCGACTTCTCAGACTTCTCCCTCCGACACACCCCGCCATATATCCACGCAGGTGCACCCCTCGGTCTTCACCTGCCTTAACTCGTACAATTACGAAATTACGATATCAGCATTGTTCCTGCAGCAATTAGCATATCCAATATGTCATCCATAAAACGGAGGAAGGTGGACTCCACCACCGCGACGCGCTCTTCCGTCAGGGGAATCGCGGCCTTCACGAAGGTTTCGAAGGCACAGGTTATTTCGCAACCGCTATACGACAAAAATCTGGCAGCGACGACTAATATCGATACGGCTGATACATTTGGGAAGAGGAAACTGCAATCGGCGAAGGAGGAACTGGTTGATCAAGAGGAGGAGCAAGCTTCGGTGCCGGTTATAACTATCACCAAGACTACCGATCGACAAATACGCCCTCTCCCACAACGACGTTCAGTCTCCGCGCAAAGCCTGCTCAAAACACCACAACGACCAATTGTCATCCCCGCATCACCTATCACCACACCCGGCTCCGTCGAGACACCCACCAATGGCGCCCAAGACCTCCTCAACAGGATATGCCTCAACTCCCCCTCTTCCTCAACACCATCCTCATCCTTCGCCGATTCAGAAATCAACCTTGACTCCTCCCAAACAACAATCTCCTCACAATACGACCCCTCCTCCGACGAGCTACCACAAAAACTCATCGATCTCGCAAACCTACATTCCTCCTTCCTAACCGCACTATCAATACACTACGCCCACAACGGCACCCACACCCCCGCCGACCTCCGCCTCCTCTGCCCCAACGTCACCCGCGCCTGGGGAAAGCGCCGCGTGGTTCTGGACGACATCAAGCGGATCCTCGCGATCCTGAACCTAGACTCTGGTAGCGGCAGCACACTTCTCAGCCTTTCCGACTACGGGCAGAACAAAATCTGCGTCGAAACCCGCGTCCCCGACCGCGCGGGCCGCATTGCCAAACCCCTTGATGAAAACACCATGAATGCGACTTTCACAGCTAACATCACTTCCCTTTGGCACAAATCCACCACCCACGAGATCGACGACTTCATCTCAACTCTCCCCGTCGAACCTGTTAGGATATGCTCTTCCCTCGCCAAAATGTCCCCTTTACTCGCAAAAGGCCAGCGCCGCCTCGAATTCATCCGCGAGGGCATCGCAATCGGTAAAGCCATTGAAGCCACCAAAACCACTGATGTGAAGCCCCTCGACGCCTCAGGACCCCGACCCTCCCTCCTCGAGCGCCTCCGCGCCAAAGCCGTCGCCAAATCCCTCGCGCCCGCCGGTCCAACCAAAGAAGACCTAGCCCGAAAATCCGCGCTCGGCAGGGTGGAAGAAGTGGTCGCGACGCTGACGCAGCTCAGCACGAGCAGCAGCGCGGGACAGAGCAGGGTGAGCTTCACGATGGCGACGGTGGTGGTTAGTCTGAAGGATAGCTTTCGGTCGCCGATTAGCGCGAGGGAGGCGGAGGATTGTGTGAGGTTGCTTGCGGGGGAGATTGCGCCGAGGTGGCTCAAGATTGTGAAGAGGGGGAGGATGGAGGCGGTGGTTGTTAGTAGGGATGAGAGGCCTAGTGATGCGGTGATAAGGGAGAGGATTGGGAAGGCGTGAGGAAGGAGCGGGTGGATTATTGTCTGGCATTTTTTTGGGGGGGGTGTTTGAATAGCGTGGAGTATGTGTTTGGGTTTGGTGCATGGTGCATTGGATGGGATACCCATTGTTTGAAGTCCAAGTGGACGTATGTTTAAAGAAGCGTTATGGGAGGAATGAGGGTTGGATAGTGTACGATTGGATAAGCTTGAAGCCGTACTATTAATGAATTGATGGACTACAAATAACTGCGTTTCATCTTCTGACTGTGAGATTCGTGAATAGACAGACACAAGATAGGATCTGTAATTGATGAAATATTTGGCAGTAACTCAACAACCTTGGAATACATCGTAGGACATTCAAGTCAAAAGGCAAGGCAATGGAAGTTCAGTTGGTGGGCAACGTAAAATGAGTTTCTCATCTATGCTTCTAGCCTCCTCCCGCTCGCGCCTGAAATCACCAAAGGCAAAAAACTTCCGATCCATCATATCCATCGTGAAGACCTATTCGTTCCCTCCTCCAGCCCATCCACGCGGCCTACATCGGCAAAGCCATCAGCTCTCCCCTCCCGTGCACATCAGAGCCTCAGAAGTCAGAGCCCCAGAAAACCTTGCCACCAAATCTCTCCTCCCCCACCACTCTACTTCTTCGGTCCAAACCTCGGCGCCCCAATATTCGCCCCCCTCAACTTAATCCCCAACACCTTCTCCATGGACCCCAAAATCTTCTGATCCGGCGCCGCGGACCCACGCTCGAAATCAGCAATAATACTCGCGGTGGTGTTGCACTTCGTCGCAAGGTCCTTTTGAGTCATCTTCGGCTCCATCTTTTGGCGCTGGTCGGAGATCACGGAGCCGACTTCTTTGCCGACCGTGTTGGGCTTGACGATCTCGTCGCTGCGGTCAACTTTTGTGAGACGCTGGCCTTCGCCGCCGCCGGACTGGGGGGGGTGTTAGTATGCATCTCGCTATTATCTTGTGGTTTGAACTGGGTGAAGTTGTGTGTGTGAATTGGAGGGGTGGGTGGCGAGGCGGGGTAAATTGGAGAACACCACCGCCACCACCTTGGTGAGGCTGAAGTGGCGAGCAATGTGAAGAAGATGAAGACTTACAGAGTTCCCAGAAGCAAACTTCTTCTCCGTCCCCAAAACCGCACCGCTCCTCTGCGCCTGGTTCAGCGCCGCCTTGCCTCTGATCACCGTCTCTCTCTGCGCGCCGCCCCCGCCACGGGTCTTGCTCCCGATCTTCGTGACGGTGTCCCAGTCATCCATTTTTGCGGTTGTGTTTGTGTATGTAGAACCGGTGTCGGTGATGTTGTTATTGAGGCGGTGGTGATGAAAAGTATGTGGTGTGGTTGTGGTTGTGGTGGTTGTGAAGTTGTTGTTGTTGGAAGAAGAGAGGTTGGTGGTGGCTTATCAGGACCTTATAGGCGTTGGTGGAATTGTGACGATGCTAAAAGAATCGCTGGGTGGTGTGGCGTTAGACCAGTGCCCCGCGGCGAGCCTAAATAAGGAAAGGAATTGCGCACGTGACTCATCGAGGGGTTAGTCAAAAAGCTTAATAATAGCTTGGCGCTATATGTAGATGTGTGTGAGGTATCGGATTTAAGGGCTGGCTATTTGGTAATTTGGTTCGTAGGGAATGGGGGGATGCTGTGAATGGATTGCAGTTTGGATTCAGGTATATTCTTGATGCTCTAAGCTGGAATCTGCCTTTGCTGTTTATGTTTCATTTGGAATTCACCATTATCCGTCATGCTTCTAGGGAGATGCTCGTGCGACCTCGAAGTCGCCATAGAGGCCGCACTACGAGCATTAATTGTGAGAGCTGACAGTAACTATGTATGAAAATAATGTCTATAAATAAATGTGTGTTATAGTTGTCATATTATGCTCATTTTCAGTTTAATAAATTTAAAATCGAACGAAAACAGAAATCCCAACAGCTACAAATATCAACATTAGTCTCCATATTATATTACAGCAATTTTTATATCAGAATCACCTCCATCATTTTCCCCATAACATCACATTACTTATTCTCACGCCACCCAAAAACCACAAATCATTTTAATAATTCGTCATATTCATATCAATTGCCTAAAGCACTGCCATAGTAAAAAAAGCCAAGGCCCCACCCGGGCAAAGATGAGAGGACAACAACCAGGACTGAGCTGAGTTGAGTCCACTTCCCCTATCACTCCTCCCGCCGACTCGATCGTGCGAGGTAACTATAACCATAGAGCATCCCTCCCTCCCAAACATATCCCCCCCAATCCCCCAAATAATATCAAAACAAAGCCATAGATAACAAACCACGCAATCACAACAACACGCAAAACGAAAAGAAAAAAACCATTGACAAAAAGCTCAACTCCATAACAACCCCCCCAATCCAGTCCCGTGCTTATCCTGTGTGTGTGTGTGTGTGTGTCAATTTGTTTTTGCACCTAGAACTCCAAGTCTCCATCCACCCTCATCCACCTGTTTACTTCTGCGCCTTCATCCCCTGCTCAGCGAGGAACTCCTCATCGCTAGCATCGAGGATATCGTACTCCTCATCCGTCAAGAACCCATCCTCCGTGAGATCATCCTCGTGCGTCTCGGATGTGAAATCCACAAAGTCATCTTCAGCGGCCGCCGGGGCGAATGCAGGGGATGGGGCGCGCTGCTCATACACGCTAGAGACAGGGGATTCCTTCTCCAGAGTAGGGAAGATCATCTGGCTCTTCTCGAGAACCTCCTCCTCCTTGGCGAGGACCTCCTCCTTAACAACAGCCGGTGCACCCTCAACAAGGACATCACACCAGAGTCTGTGACCGAACTTATACCCATCCGGCCCAGTGAGGCGCCAGTACGAGATAACCTTCCCAGTCTTATTAGGCGTCCTCATCAGCACGGTGAATCCGTGCTCCTGCCCCGGCGCAACCTCAGTGTAGCACGTGGTGCTCTCGGCGGCGCTGACGAGCTCGTGTACGCTGGCCGGGTGCTCCGGGTCGACGGCGCACATGTTGTCGCCGCCGACGAACTTGACGGTGCAGCCGGCGGGCCAGGCGGCGGTGCCGGTGTTGCGGAGGATCCAGGTCTGCTCGAAGACGACGCTGGGGGCGAGGATGGTTCCGTCTGGGACGGCGTCGCGGACGAAGGTGGCGACGAGCTCGTCCTCGGATTTCACGGGCGCCTTCTCGGACTTGACTTCCTTGGGGGCCTCCTTGGTCTTAGACTCGGCCTTCTCGGTCTTGACCTCTGGAGTTGGCTTGACCTCAGCAACGGTCTGGACCTGAGTAGCAGCGTTCGCGGACGAACAGGTGTTGGTCTCAGTAGACTTGGAGATTGGGCGGCGGCAGCGGTCGCCCATCACCGGCATGGGCTTGCCATTATCATGATCACCCATGGTGGTAACGCTAACATTGCGGATCGGAGTCTTGAACTTGATGAGAGGGTGGGTCCTGTTGTGGACATTGTTCGGGCTAGCCTCGCAGCTGGCACAGAAATCAGTGTCGTCACAGACAGCGCACTTATAGCGGTCGCCGCGGATGTTCAGCGACTTCGAGGCACACAGCGGTCCATCACAATAAATACCGTAGTGGAGAGCGGTATTCGCAAGCGAGCGTGTGTGGAGGGCAATCGACTCGTAGATGGGGACGAAGCGGTGGCGTGGGTGGATGAACTCCGCGTTGGGAACACAGGTCTGGCAGAAGTCCCAGTCTGGGCAGTCGAGGCACTTGTGGCGGACACCATAGATGTACTTGTCACAGCCATCACAGATGGCTTGGTGAGAAACATTGCGTCCTGGGTTGAGAAGTGCCTTGGTGAGGGACTCCAACTTGGCGTCGGCTGCTGCTGGAGCAAACGTATGCTTTGGGTTGTGGCCATGCTGAACCTTATCGTGGCATGGAATGCAGAGATCAAAGTCCTCACAGTCCACGCAAGTGATGAAACGGCTCTCTGGGTATTCTGTCATATATGTTAGCAGGTTTCAAGATAAGATAATCATGGAGCATACCTTGAATGCAAGAGTTGCAAGTCCTAACCGATCCCACAATAACCTGCTTAGGCTCCTCAACCTCAACAAGAGTAGCCTTCGACACATTTGACGGCGACGCCTTCTGCGGGTGCGTCTTCGTAACGCTATTGATAACCCTTCCATTCTTAACGAAGCGCTTAATCATCCAGTGATTCTCCCCTGCGCAAGAAACGCCCTTATCCATGCAACCCTGGCACAGATCGTAGTCACCGTTGTCACAGACATCACAGTGATAGTGCATATCGGGAATGGGCACGTTGCAGCTGTTGCAGAACACAGAGTAGTTGTTCATGTGTGCCTGCAGAGATGCACCGGGGCAGTGGCGGTTAGCACGGAGGGCAGCACGGCGCTCCTCGGTGAGGTTGGCGAGCTCGGCGTACCATCTGTCGCGGGCAGCGGCTCCTCTTGTGACAGGGATGGCTTGGCTGGTTGGGCTTGATGCAACCGGGACTGACGTGACGGACACGGGCGTGGGTGGCGTCGTCACTGGGGCAGGTGCACTTGGAGTCAGTGCTGCTGCTGCCGCGATCTCATTCGCTGCTGCTACCTCATTCTTGAAGTTGAACGTGAGATCCTTGAGATACTCGCCGTACGATGGGAATTCTTGTGCAGCGGCCTTGTCGCTCTCAGAGCTGAATGGAGACATATACTCTGACTCTGGCGCTAATGGGGTATCAACCGAGATCAGCTGTGGCTCGGCGACGGGCGCGGCCACGGGCGATGCAACCTCGTCCTCAACTGTAGCCTGCTTTGGCTTAACAGGCTCCTTATCCTCCTGGTCGATAATGGTGACCTTAAGACGAAGCTTAAGCTTAGCCTTGGCCGCACGGTAGAGCTGCTTGTAGACCGAAGCGTTGTTAGGGTCGAGGGTGACAAAGTCAGCAGCACTGTCGGAGTAGCGTTCGAAGATAGCTTCCTGGGATTCTGGAATCTGCAGCAGAGCACGAAGCTGTAATGAATTAGAATTAGTAAAATAAAGTGTAAATGAATTGACGTTGTCGACTGAAATGCACCCAGCACGACCATGAAGCCATTTTGCAGCTAAATGGCGTGGTTGGATCCACCCCGAGCCGCGTCGTCGTTATCGGGAGGGCGTTATCGTACCTTGTCTGGCAGAGTGTTCGCACCCAGGTCACGAAGAGGAAGCTTGAATCTCCTGTTGCTGCCTTCGATGTTGACCTTGAGAGTCACCAATGTATCTGGGTTCGTAGCTGATGAGGCCATGATGGGCTATGGTGACAAGCTGCTGTGCGGGGAAACGAGATCAGATCAGCCCAGCCCCAACGTCACTTTGAAGTGCCTGCCTGGATGAGGTGAGTAACTCACGAGTTGTAATAGTAGTAGAGTTTTGTCGTAAGCACTCTCACAGAATCGTGAATGTATAATCCACGACCTGTGTTGTTTGAGTTACGAGTTTGGAAGAAGAAGTGTTTTGTTAAGAGGTTGTCGTGTGGTTTGGTGGAGGTATGGGAGAGAGAGGGAGGAAGAGACGGTCTGAGGGAGGAGTTGGATGATGGAGGAGGTGAGTAGTAGTAGTTGGTAGTGAGCGGAGGCGGGTCAGGTTGTCTCGCGGGGCGGAGAGAGCGGAGACAAGTAGGTAGAGGTGGTGGAGAGGAGACAGATAGGACGTAGGCGAAGGGTGATTGGCTGGCTTGATTGGATCAGTCAACTACTAACACTGCTAACTAGGTAGTTGGTGTAGCCTATTGGGAGGAGTACCTCATGCCAGAGCTAGAGTACATGGTTCTACTATCTAGTTAATTCAGTATAGCAAGTATCATAGCCATAGCCTGCAAGTATAGCTCCAAGGTAGGTAGTCGGTAGTACGAGTCCCCTCTCTAAGGCGGCGCGGCGGCTTTGTAAAGGGAGATGCAGAGGAGAAGGAAGTGCCACCACCAGGCAGGCGTGACAGCATACGAATCCATCCCATCCCATCCTAAATTCACCGTAACCACTCACCGTAACCACTCACCGTAACCACATAAACGAAGCCCGCCGCTGATTAAACCTGCGCGTGCAACTATAGAGAAGGTCATAGAAGGGGGCAAAAGAGAGGCCGTACATACATACTAGCTAACACCTAATATCTAATACCTATATCCATAATCCATAATCCCCTACATACCACCTATACCATCTTATTCAAATACAACCACCTAATCCAACATACTACACATACCACACATACCATACACCGTAAACCCAGCCAAAAGCCGCCGCCTTGCTCATGTGTCCACCCACCGCTGCGGGGACGGGCATACAGATAGAACCAACGGGAGCTCCGCCTAAAGTGCGGAGTAACTAACTCACTTACATACATCCATACGTACGTACAGTACCGCGCAGTACAGTACCGTATGTATCACAGGCGAGGAGGTGAGGAGGTGAGGAGGTGAGTAGAGAGAGCTTACGAAGCTCCATATACAGCAAGATCAACCCCAGTCCACAGTATCTCCGATCCCCGAAGCCCGTTGACGTCGATTGTTGCTCTATGCATGTATAGCGAGTCGTGTATACGTATGAGTAACTCTACTACCCTACTACTTACTCCAGTGCTGCATTGCTGCACGTATACTACTCGGCAAGTCATCCTCCACACACCGGTTACTGGGTCCATAGACAGCTGTAGGGTGGTATATGGACCCTGCCAGTACACCACCACCCTGTCTGCCTCTAACAGTCAATCAACCAGCATCATCCAGTCCACGCATACAAGCCGCGCAAGTCCCGTGCCTACCTCGGTGTGTACAGTACAATATAGTCCAGTCCAGTCCAGTCCAGTCCAGTACAATACAGTGAGTGGCCAAAACGCCACCACCACAATACCTACCTACCTGCACACCGATCTACAATTAGCCAATTAATTAATCAATCAATCAATCAAGCAAGCACCCCAAGCAAAGCAAGTAAGCCAAGTAAAAAGTAGTACGCGGACATCATAAGACACCACACGTCTTGGCAAAGCAAAAAATGGGGTTCAATTTGGCAGACAAACGGATATTACGAGTATTAACGGGCAGTAACCCGGTGTTCACGGCTAGTTAGCTAGGTATCAAACGGGCGTTCATTCCTTCCATTCCTTCCGCGGATACTATGGATAGGAGTATGGTATGGGATGGGATGAGAGTGACAATTATCTCCCCCTTTCCACGTCATATCACGCCCCCTACCCACTCTGCTGTTTGCCAAAGCTCCAAAAGTCACGCTACAATGCCTAAATCAACAGCTGCCATAGTGAAGGGTCGGGTAACCATAATAATGGTGTCATTTCACCTAAACTACTCCTACTCCCTCCTTCTAGCCACACAACACCGCAAAAAAACACACCATATCCATCCGTTCTGTTCACCCACAACCAACAAAACTAACATCCATCGCTGCAATACGCCATAAAGCCCAGCCCAGTCCCCTCACTCATCCAACACACATCTCTCACCCCAATGCCCCCCTTTGTATTCCCACAACAACAACCCCCATATACCCACACACACTCCACCTAAGACAAAAAAAAGTAAAGACAAAACCACTTGTAGAAACACAAAATCATACAAAACAAGAATCTGCGGAACTTTCTACCAAGTGCCCATCCCATAATCCCATGATCGGCAAAAAGGGGAAAGTATAAGTGATGCCCTCTCTCTCTTTCGCAACCTCCGACAGATAAAGACGCTTTCAACCCCCCTCTTCGACCCCTTTCAACCCGAAAAAATAAAAATAAAAAGATGATTTGAAGTGCTACAATAAAATGGATGACTTTAGAGTGATCGTAATCCGTAACAGCAGTAATGTGACCCTCCCAAAACGAAAAAAAGCAGTAAACAGTCCTTTCTAACATCGATGGGTGGATGGGTGGTAGTGGTGGTGGAGAGATGATGGATGGTGATAGTCGGGCAGGGGGCTCGTAAACAAAAACGCAGTTCAGCTAGCAGCAAGCGCTTTAAACAAAACACGAAACCGGTCAGGTCGCTCCAAACAGAGAGACATTGCACATAGAAGCAGCGCCGCCATTACTCCAAGTGGTAGAGTAATCATTGCGGGTAATACACCACCGCCTGCTGCGGCTGCGGATAATAAAACCCATCCGGGCTCGGCGTCATCATCCCATGCTGCAACGACACATTACCCATCTGCTGCACCGGGTACGCCGGCGGCGACGCATAGGCCGGGAACGCCGCCGCGGCCGCTGCCGGGATCTGCGCAGCGTCGTAGTAGTACACCATTCCGTTGACTTCCTGCGCCACGAGGTTGGGCTGCTGCGATGCGTCTGTTGGGGCGACTTGTCCGTAGGCTTGCTGCTGGGCTACTGCTGAGGGGGCGAAGTTGGGTGCTTGGGCGCTCATGCCGGTGTTGTATTGTTGGGGGTAGTAGTAGCCTTGTTGCTGGGGCATTACTTGGTATTGCGGAGGGTAGAAGCCTTGCTGCTGTTGATACGTGTTTGGTTGGAAGGGCTGGGCGTGGATAGCCCGTTCCGGGATCTGGGACAAGGGTGTCCCGGTGGATCCTTGGTATGAGGCGTTGCGAGAATGAGGATGTATCTGTGCTTCTTGCCCGTAGGCGTGGCCGTTGGCATGGGTTGGCACTTGGTGTTGGAAGAGTTGTTGGTATTGTTGCGGGGGGTTGAATTGCATAGCTGCCGGTGACTCGATGTTGTCGACAGAGACAGTCTTTTGAGGTCGAGGATGTTGCATGGGGACAGAGTTGGGTCGGTTTTCGCGGAAGGTAGGCTTTTGGGGGAGCGGGTAGGGTTGTGATACAGCCGGCAGCATTGCACCTGGCTCTTGGACCGGCTGCATCTCAGTGGCGATTGGTGCTTGCGCCTGGGCTATAGACGGTGGTAGCCGGACAACCGGTCGAGTCGAGTCGAGTGGTACAGGAGGCCTTGACATCGTCGAGCCCATAGGAGATATGATACCGTCTCGTGGAATCTCATGAGCCACGACGGATGAGCGACGGCTCATGGCCACGCTTGGAGTATATACACTGCCATATACACTTCCACCATATGCACTGGTTCGTCTTGAAAAACCTCCCACCGATCCTAATCCTTGGCGACCCCTATTGCTTCTTGACCCGAAGCCTTGCTGGTTTGGTCGCATCGCTCGTGGGATAAAGATAAATGACCGCTCGACGGCGGGGAATATATATCTCGGAGGAGTATCCGGCAGCGAAATCCGAACCGGCTTATCGCGACGGAGAGGTGGTCGGTGGTCTGGAAGACGGGTGTACTGATGTAGAGCAATCGCAGGTAATGATAACGCCTTCTCCATGCCAGGTAATAACACGCGTACTTGCACATTTCCAATAAGCTTTGTCGTCGACAGCGAGCGGTTCGGTGCCGGGCCGCGCGGGGCTTGCGGTAATGATTGTCTCGAGGCGCTCATATTATTGTATGCTTGGGATGGGTTTCGTTGAGGCCGGTTGTCTTTTACGACCGCTTCGTGCATGTCGTGGGTCCATGGGGCGTCGGCAGGTTCGTTCATCTGCTGCATATAACTATCAAACATTAGCATGGTATAAATATCACCAAGGAAACTTTACAACATACTTGGCTGGTGCAAATGGACCTCCAAAGCCACCCCGGCCGCCTCCTCGTCCACCACGGCCACGTCCAAATGGCCTGAACCCATTTGCAGCAGGTCCAGAATGCCTGTGATCATGCATGAAGAACGCGCCACGGTTGGGTACGAAAGCCGGATCTTCATCACGCTTCTTTTTGTAATCTTCGTGCTCACGCCTCCTTCGCTCCACCGGTGTTTCAAGAGGCTGGTCCATGATCGCTGTCGACTTGACGATTACCGGTTGTGACGGAATGGATTTCGGTGCGTTCGAAAGATCATCGTAGCTAGTCGACTCGATATTATCGAAGTCTTTCGACCTCTCAAGCCCATTCAGCATCATCTCCGTATCAATTGATCCATTAATTTTCGGTGGCGACGTCTCCGTTGACTTCGAGTTCGGTGCTGCCGGAGTTCTGTCTTTCGAGCTGCCATTTGCTGTAGCCTTCGGTGCCACCGGGGATGCTGCGTTGCTGCCGTCGCTGGCATTGCCAGCATCTTCGTCGTCGGAGATCGACCCTTCGCTCTGCGAGTCGTCCAGATCGTGACCGGCTTCGTCGCCCTCCTCGTCCTCAACTCGCCTCCTGCCTATAAGCGGCTTCTTTCGCCTGAGGCCCGGCATCGTTGCAGCCCTGACCCGTTCAATTACCCCGTCGTGTGCGTGGGGGGCGCGAGTCTCGAGGCCTCAGGGAAGGCGAAGCCTAAGAGGCGAATGGATCATGCGCTGGCCGTAACTAGGCTCCGACCTGCCTAAAGGCGCTGATTCATACGATGTAGTACAGGTTCGAGGGTCTCTCGGGGAAGACAATAAGGTGGAATGTATAATGGCAACAATTTATTGAGGTTCTGTGGGGGGAGATCGTAGAGAATGGGGGTTCAAATGCTCGAAGCTCAACCATTCAGAAAAAGATGCCTTGATCACAACACTCATTCAGCCAAGCATCCCTGTAAGTAGCGCTAAGAAGCGAATCATGGAGGCGGAAAGAACAGACAAGAAGTCGTACCGCCGGGACGAACAACGCTACTTCCTCCTTCCCTGTCAGTTGCGGCAAGTACCCGCGACAAATTTTATATGCCATATGAAAGAGACGTGGCAGTCTTCAACGTTAAGGAATTATACAAATATGTAATAATATAATATAAAATATACACGACATACCCAGGCTTATAGAGTAACTTAAGCCTTCGAAATAGGCTGTAGGCCTATGTGACACTTTACAATATTGAATTGGAAGCCAATATGTATATACAACAAGGGAGTGGTGCTGAAGGCAGCGTTTGTTGACGTGACGTACCAAGTTGCAGTTTCGGAGGCAGGATCGCTGGTAGAAACTATAGAGTATGTGAGCGTTTGAGGAGGAATATTCGGGTAGATGCAAGATACATGTAATATTCGAAGCCACAGATGCTCCGTTCAGCGGAATGGAGCCAATATAAGCAAGACCCTACTACAACGCCCACTTGGCGACAGTAAACAAAAAAAAATGACCAAAACGACGAGGATCATCAACTACACTCGGTCAAGGACACATTTCTAGCCCCTATGCATCATGTCTCACTCAGGAAATCACTGGTATGAACACTCTCTAAACACAAGATTCACATTTCGCTACGTGAGCGCCAGTAAAATACCGAACATCTCATAAACCCGCCTTTCCATACTGTACAGTCCCCGTTGTCGGAGTAGAATAGTTACACCTCATTATGCCATCCACTCCTCTATGACATCTCCATATCCATCTCCTATCGGCACACATTACTTTTTCAGACCATCATACATACATACCCCTTCCAAAATTCACCCTCTCCACATGGGCACCACCAGCAAGCTTCCGCCACCAAATCCGCACCTCGATACTACACCTATCACCATGTACGGCATTCAAGCCATTCCGGAGCCGGAGAAACCTCCGCTCATACCCTGCAGTCTGTTTGCCAGCTGTGGGTACTTCTCCTGCACCTCGAGCTGTGTCCTCGTCGCCTCTGCGTAGGAAAGAGCGTTGATGATCTCGCCCTCGGTTCTCGAGAGCTCTGCGGCGCGCTCGAAGTACTTCAGGGCCTCGTTGACCTTTCCTTGCTGTAGTAAGAGTTGGGCCATGGTCGCGACAGCGATATCGCACTCGGGGTCGACTGCAATGCGTGTTAGTGTTTAATCAACGATAGTAGATAAAGGAAGGCTTACTAATGAGTGCCTTCTCGCACAGCTTCTCGGCCTCGGCGAAGTCCTGCTTCCACTGGACGAGCGCAAGGGCCTTGTTGATCAAGGGAAGGACGTTCATGCCGAGTGGCTTGGAGATCTTCTCCATCTCCACAGCGGTGTCGAACTTGGTGATAGCATCCTGGTATTTCTGTTGGTCCAAAAGGAGCTCTCCGTAGTAGTTGTAGACATCTGGAACCTGGTCGAAAAATTTCATGGTGCGCTTGAAGGTAGCCATCGACGAGGCAATGGAGCCCATCTTGTACTGTGTAACACCGAGCTGGATGTGGGAGAAGATGAAGTCGCGGTCCAAATCAATCGACTTCTGGTAGTCCTTGGCAGCATCGCCGAACTCGCCGAGGATGAAATGGAGCTGGGCGCGATGGTAGAAGATATCCGGGTCACTGTCGTTCTGTGCCATTGCCTTCTCGAAGTCGGCAGCGGCGGCCTCCTTATCGCCGAGCTCCAGGTGCATGCTGGCACGCTTGATGAAGCTCTGTGTCAGCGATGGGTTGAGCTCAATGCTCTTGGTAAGATCCGCCAATGCCTCGAGGTTCTCGCCGCGGAGGTACTTGAAGGTTCCGCGCATGTTGTAGGCAAACGCCTCATGCTCGTCGATTTCACCCAATTCCAGGGCGGAGCTGAAGTGCTTGGCAGCCTCTTCGTATCCATCGCTGGTCTTCTTGTCCATGGCGATGAGACCAAGCTGCAATTGTCCCTTTCCTGTATCCTCGGGGATTTCGACACCGATCTCGAGTCCTTCTGGCGCAGGCTTGGCGCGGAAACTCTGGATGTAGTTGGTGACAAAGGTTGGGCTAGGCAGTCTCTTGCCCTTTCCGGCCATGATGGCCTTACCCTTAGCCTCAGCGACCTTCTTCAGCAGCCTCTCAACAGCCTCGGCGCTCGATGCGGTCTTGAAGCTGTCGATGATGCAGCTAGCGGTGAAGTCGAGGAGTGCCTCGCTGTACTTCTCCAGTTGCTCGTAGGCGTTGGCGCGTCTGTTTAATGCCTTGACGTATTCATTGTCGAGCTTGAGCGCAGCGGTGGTATCTTCGATAACCTTCTCCCACTCATGCTTTGCGTTGAAGCATGCAGCGCGATTCGAGTAGAAGATTGGGTCGGGCTTGCACAGGATAGCCTGGCTGTAGAGCTCAATCGCGCGGTCGTAGTCCTTGGCTCCGTATGAGGTGTTACCGGCCGCCTTCAGCTTAGCAGCAAAGGATTTCCTGTCCTCGGCGGAAAGGTTGCCCACGGTAGCCTCATCGATTTGAGGGAGCTCATCGGCGGGTTCGACTGATGCGGCCTTTGGTTGAGTCTCTCCTCCGAGCCCCTTCTCGGGATCCTTTGGCTTATCTCCGCTCTTCTTCTTCTTGCTCTTGCTCTTCTTGCCGCTCGATGACTTGGTCGTGCTGTCTTTGCTAGATGTCGCCCCGGTCTTATTCAGTCAGTACAAATCTTTTGTTACAGGGGATTCGGGAAAAGGAGCGGGAATTCATGCAACGTACCGAGTCTGTGAGATAATATGCGACACCGGCTCCGGTCACGACAACAGCAACACCAGCAACTGTATATACGACGGCCTTGTGCTCAGACGCCCAGGTAGATATCCGATCCCATAGCCCAGATTGTGAAGTGGTTGACGAGAATTGAACGGGTGTCCCTCGGAGCGGGAGGTTCGGTGATGGTAAAGTGTCGCTAGACATATTTAAATACAAGATGAATCGAAAGAAAGTAGTACTACACGGACACCAATTGCAATGAAAGTAGCGGGTGTGGTATTGGGTTGTCGGTTGAGTTTGTTGATGTCTGTGAGGCTGGAGCTCACGTTCCCCCGAAAAAGGTTCGCGGGTATTACTTCATCAAGCGACTACGCCCATCAAAGGTTTTTCGCACCCAAGCTCAGACTACAACAACACGAGCGCCAATCACGTAGCAGATAAGGGATAATTGAAGTACAACATATACCAAGGAAACAATGCTCCATAACTATAATCCCAAATGGCCTATCTTTGCCCTCTTGGAGGGTTTTCCCTGCAACTAAAACAAATCATGACGACATTAGCACGTTTAAATCACGTGATATTTATATGATTGCTCCACGCCGTGCTCCACAGAGCTCCACCTTCCGGTTTGTAATGTACAGTGTATGGTATGAGTACCTGTCCATATAATTCAGTGAGAGGCCATCAAAATATTTATTCCGAGTCAGTTTAGCACCCTATTACCTATGAACTTATATCCATCGTATCCATCTTATGCCTGTCTCTACACGAAGTCGATCCTCCAACTGAGCAAAGTGATGAATGGTCCTCTTAAAGGCCCGCTAGATATATCTACGTCCCGCATCTTTATATCCCGTTTCGCGTTTTCAGGGACACGGCTGCCGCAACACGGCCCCCTTCCAGTCCTTTGGATCCATTGCCGCGAAGCTCTCCTAGCTCGTGGCGACCCGATGCTTGGGCAGCGGCTCCTCGCGGTAAGAACAGAGAGCCACCGTCAGGTCGATGGCACAGATCTGGCGCTCCACAATGTCTTCTGGGCTCAGGCCTTGTGGAAGGGAGCAAAGCACCTCTTTACTTAGTTGCAGCAATTGCTACGCTGAAGCATCTCGAGACACAGACAATACTGCCAAGGATTTGACTTGTCACATACCTAGCTTGAGTTCAATGCTTCTTGTTAGTTATAGGGAACACCTTTGGGAGAACATAGTAAACGTGGACGCTTGCTGTGTAATGGTCATCGCACTATACTAATGAATAACTTCTACTCCCTCTTTCCCTTACTATTCTCATGCATCTCGTCAAAATCAAAGCTAACAACACCTACCAAGCTTTCAATGCTCGTTACTAGAATATCTAGGTTATAAATAATCATACTTGATATAATCTCCATAACCGAGTATGCCGAATACCCCAACTCTTGTATATGTTTAATATGCAAGACCTCTGGATCTAACTCCCTCAGCTTCTGCGAAAGCTGATATGGTTTAGTAGGTTCAATTTTAGCTGGTAGTGCTCGACCAGTAGACACAGCAGCCGACAGTTGGGAGAGTATAGAGGTTATCCTCTCTTCAGTTGGGTTTATCGGCCCAATTAGCTTAGAGAGATCCGTTAACCATTGACGGCTGCGGGAGGAGTGGTGGAAATAATCTTTAGTAGGCCCGTCGACTGCCCAGACTTGGGTTGCGTAGGATAAGAGAGATATGTAGTCAAGAAGTCTACACCAAGGAGTTAATTAGAAATCTAGAAGCGAGATGAACGTGGGGTCGACTGCGAAATGAGCTTACACTGTGAGCTGTGACAGGATATCTTCGAAAATTGCCACAGGGAAACGTCCGCCTAGACTAGGCTCGTATTTTTGAAGGTAGACGTTATGCTTCATGGAAGAACTGAGAATCATCATCTTATTGAACATCGCATTTCGTGTATGTGACAACACCCGCCCACGGCTATGTTTATCGTCCATATCGCCCTCATTCCCGCGTAGTCTAGCCTTGATCGTAGCATGAACGACGGCATGGTAATTGGCGAGCAAATGCATAATAACTGCCATGTCCTTGCGAAGAAGTCCTCTGGCTGTGATGGGGTATGGAAGATAGGTGAAGAAAATGGACGCGCATGTTCCCCATAACACACAGGCAACACGCATCGCTGCGACGCTGTATGGTGGGAAAAAAAATGTCCCTGTTGACGTTGCAGCTGGGATGCCTATTTTCGCAACTTGAAGCTCGTAGCCAATAGACAGAACTTCAGTGATTAGAATGACAAGCCATCCGATGATGTATTTGGGCCATCTGATGAGGAAGTACATCTGGATAAAGGATGCGAACCACATAAAGACAATGACTCCACTGTAACAATGTTAGCTTTACGAGTTACGGGCAATTTATACAGGGCACTGAAATACTCACGGGACTTTGCCAGCAGGGATGTACCAAACTAAGTAGCAAATTATCAATGCCGCAAATGAACCAAGAATCCGGAGCACATATGATACCCCAGATTGTCCCGCTGACATATTGGCCCCAATGGCTGCGATAATCACTGCCCAAATAAGACGATAGTGCGTGAAAAGATACTGGGTCTGATGAAGGTATGCAATAATGGCACAAGACATAGTAGCACTAATCACCCCGTTAGTACTATTAATAATAAGATCCATACTCTACTCTGCTCACCATGCTGATCTAAAACCAAAACTGAATTCAGGCCCCTTAAGGAATTCCTGAAATCTTCTCACGCGGGTTCCAAATCTTTCATATGCATTTTTAGGTGGAAGGTGCTCGATATTGCTTGTAGTCCTGTTCGAAGTTCCATAGAGTAATTTGTTCTCTTCTTTGGAATCCGGTCTGTCATCATCGGCCAAGGGTGCACCTGCCGTATCCCAAACACTTAAAAACCATTTCCCCAATCTTCGAAATGAAGGGACAATGAGACGACGTTTTGCCATGATGCCTTCAGCAATCATCTTGTCGGAAAATTTTGACATTTCAACCACCGCTATGCCGGCGGTGTAGAGCTATTTGCACACGTCAGATGCAGTTCAATAAGAATACGACCCCAGCACGTCTAACGATGTGCTTCTTGCTTACCATGTGTTGGATATATAAGATTAGGTATAATTGTTGGCGATCTCTTCGCACATGACCATCAGCTGGATCTTCGTCCACATCGAATTCACCAAGATTTTTCATTGTCTCCAACTGAGCTGGTGACAGGCCTTTGCTCTCCGCCCATGCTGCTAAGGATTCGACCCTTCCCGTCGAGAATTCGTCTAGTTTGTCCTCCAGGAACTTCGAGAAGTTCGGATCGCCCGGCTTAATTTTCCCCTCGCCAGCTTCACGATCTATTGACTTAGTCCTTTTAGCACCCGGCACCCAATTGAGGAAATTTTTAGTCCCTGGTCTGGATACGATTTCAAGTTGTAGCGCAGCATGCTCGAGTCCGTCGTTCATAGCTTCGATTAAAGAGGTAGCAGGCTCAACCAGGGCATCGATGGAATGTTGCCATACTGTCTCGTATGCCTCTTGGCTATGACCCTGGGGTGGCATAGTTCTGTCGACGCCATCTTTTGTTCTAGACTCGAAGTCGCAGGGGATCCATCCTCCACAATCCCCAATTCGCTTCAAGATATCTGGCATATTAGCTATGCCGCCACTAAGAATGGTTAGTAAGGTTCTTATATAACGTGAAATGGTGATTGGTAAAGAAGGAACTGTGATCTTACAGAGGCATCAAAATGTGTCGACAAAGATCAGTAATGGCATTAATATCTCTAGCTCGTAATTTTCCCCAGGCAATCTCTCGTTTCGCCATAGCGAGTTCATGACGCATCTTAGTGTACAGAGCCTTCACTTCAACCATTTTTTGCTGGATTTCAGCGCCATCCCATGCCTCTTGCTGTGCTTCAACTTCATCTTGGATTTGGCCATCCTCGGAAGTAGGAAAGGTCGGCGTCGTTTTTAGATTGCCTAGATATCGCGCAGACTCTCGGAGCATACATTGGACGGCTTCAATATACTTCTCTTGAACTTCGAAAATTTCCGACCGACATGTGACAGGATATATAATCATTCCTGATACGAACGAGATGGCGACACCAGAGTAATAGCACTTTACTGTTAAGTATATTAAGTCCCAGCATTGTTTCCAGGTGGTAAACCGCGAACAGGATGTGAATTGAACAATGACGAAGATGTTGTATAAGATTGTTGGGATCAAAAGTGCTGGATATCTTGCTTGTAAACTGTTGCATAGCATGATGTTGAAAAAAAGCCAAACAGCCGTTATAGCTAGCCACCAGTTAGCTCCTAACATCTCCATTTTTTTTCGTGGGTAGACAGTGATGCTAGTTGAGTATATTTACTTACCACTTTGTGATGAGTTGTATGCATGTAATCCCTCTGGATCAGTGTGAAAGCGAGCTTGTAGTCCTGACCACGTTGCCAGCATGGTTACTGGGATGGCAATGGCAGTGAAGGTGCATATACCAAGTGTCATCTGGATCAGTTCCGCACGCGGCAAAAGATTGACTGTGACGACTGCAATAATGGCTACCAAGAATCCTAAAGACGAGTAGACCTCGGATACGGCAGTGCTCTGATAAATTCCTAATGAAATGGCAACAGGCACGGAACCCCTGTTTAGGTGTCAGTGTCGAGTGCTTAGTATAATATATACAGCTGCAAGATAGGATAGAGTACTTGAACATCAGACACAACATCTTCATATCGATACCGAGGGATTCCCACCCAGCCTTAAGGCGCCGGCCAATGGAGTATGTCATTTCTAAGCTCTTGTGGAAGCTATGAGCTTCCAAGTAATGAAGGATACTCTCACGGGATTCTAGAGTAGTAGAATATATGACGTTCAATTTACAATTGATATAATTCACATTAATGAAGGAACAGAGAGAGGTGTTAATAAAATACGTCCCGCATGATGCGGCACGTATTTTACTACTTGCCGCCCTCCGGACGCCCTCCGGTTCCAGGTGGCAAATGTACTGTAACTTCCCCAAAATATAAGCTTTCGTAATGTACGGAGCATAGAATATAGCTTTACCTTTTCAGCCTAGCTGTCCCGTTCCTATTAAATCCAGGAGGAAAAATGCACCAGACTTTACAGAAAGGGGAGGCTTATCCAAAAGTCATCTGGTGCTGTTTTCATAGAATTTATGACGAAACATTTCAATGGGGAAGGATGCTCTGATGGGATTCAACATAGGATGGTAGGTCATTACGTCAGTTCTAATCGATTGCCGGAACAACCGCATAGCGAACGCTACTGCCCGTTCCTGTTAAATCCGGGAGGAAAAACGAAAAACAAATGCACCGGGCTTCACGGAAAGGAGAGGCTTATCCAGAAGTCACTTGGTGCTGTTTTCATAGCATATTTGCCGTGTTCAAGTACCTTCGGCAGCTGGCTCGGGTCGAATTGACAACAGCCCGAAATTTGTAGCCTTCGCTATGGGGCTGGTCTGGCAATCGATTGAAACTGACGTAATGACCCACCGCTAAAATGCTCTTCTCATTCGTACATGCAATTAGCAACCCGCACCTTCCCGTGACATCCAGCAGGAGATCCGTGAGTTTTTAGTTGAGACAGACAGATGTCTGCTTCCACCCATATCCCCAACCATATCCCTCATTCTATGCGCAGACAAGCACTCCGCATAGTCTCGCCGCAGACATGCGCTCCACCTCCTCGCTTTAGCGCCTGTTGCCTCCATAATTTCTAAAAGCGCTACTTGTTGTCGTGGCGCTCCTAATTGAAATCATTGCACGCCAAGGGAAACAACAACGTCTATAATCATGCCTTCAATTCCATACGCCTACATCAACTATGCTTGTTATTACGTCTATGAATCTTCTATTATTACCTATACGATGGTAGTCTCTGGATCTCCTTAGATTTCCTTAAGGCTTAGGTTTTAGATCTTGCATCTTGCATCTTGCATCTTGAATTGGAGAGAAAGGAAAGCAGATGTCGTTAACAAGGCTAGAAGTATTAGCTAGAGTAGGGTTGTAAACTTCAAGTATGAGAATTATGATGTGATTTAAAATTAGACGAGAAATCGATTTAGTATCTCAGATCCAGTTGTTAAATGATGAATATAACCTTGAGTTTCATGAGATGACGGTGACCAATCGACCGGAGTTTCTTCAATGGGCTCCGAATCTTTCCACGCGCAAGGCCGAGTATACCGCTGCAGAAACTGGAGCATCCAGTTGTCCATTCTAAAGCTCGTGTTCATGTTCTTCCTGCACGCCTCGTGGAAAACCTGCAGTCTACTCAGTGATAGGTCGAGCAGTGGCCAGTACTTTCGCAACCGAATCAGCATTTCGAAGTTTTGCTTCAAGAATTGCTTTGCTTCCTCTATCTGTTGATCATTGGTGGCGAAGAGCAGCGTGTGTAAATGAACTGATGATGAGATGACTAACAAATGGCCAGTCACTACCCAGACGCATTCGCAGTTTAATGTCGAATTAGCTGTCCATAATAAGGAGCTCAGATGTTTCGCATGCTCTTTGCATCTATTAGCGTAAGTATATCTCATAATAGGATCAGGAGTAGACTTTGGATCGTAATGGAGAAACTGGTAATAGAGAAGTTGACTATGATGGTGGTAGTGTAGATGTAACCAAACAAACGTTCGACCGTGACCTAGTTGGTGGTATCGTTTGAAATTTTCCGGCGTGTTTTTCAATCCTTCTGGTAGTCGGAGCAACCAGGAATCTAAGCGGTGTGCAAGAAGTGTTGCTTTTTTATAGATGTCGATATCGTTACTAGGATCTCGTACCGTTAATTCGTGTAGTTCTTCGATCTGACTTATCATATCAGTCAACGGAATCATCTGTGCCCACAAGCTTGATTCTCGCTCTAAGATCACATCTTCAATCCGTCGTTCTTTCTCAAAATCAACGGGCCCTGGTTTGAGTAATTCGAAAGATAGATCATCCATTGGTTTTGGGTAGCTTGGTTCCAAGTGGAGTTGCTTTGGATGACGTGCACCAGCAGATGACCAATTGTCCATCGACCATGTCGTCCACCAAACTAGCCAGACCATTAGCCCTCGGTTTCTCAAAAAAAGAAGGGACTCACGTCTAATTTGAACCTCTCGTTCAACTCGATCCATACTTAATACTTTCGGTAGTTCCAAGCGTTGTGCCATGCGGATTGCAAGAGCTCCATACAGTGATTCAGTCTCCATGTCTCCTTCTATGAAGCTAATATGGAGTAGCAGAGAGCATGCCTGAAGTGCCTCGATTGAAATGGGAGTCGTGCGACGATCGAAAAGGCGTATACTCTCCTCAGCCCAAGCACGGCCGCGCGACCATGGATCAGTGCCATGAAAATAAGGATTCTCCGAGAATCTAGCCAAAGTGAGCTGCTTAACTTTGAAACTCTGGGGTTCAGTCCACAAACCTTGCTGCTAAAGATATGATGGCAAACACAAGGAACATCGGTGCCCTCCCCTCATACACGCTGGCGATGAAGGTTGGCGGATGAAAGAGACTGTGCTGCTTGTCGTGAATGAGCTTGAAATAGAGATCGACCAGCTCGTTCCGTAGAATATCTTCCACAAACAATGACGACGAGGCACTAATAGTAGAGCCATTCGCTGGAGAAGTCTGCTCCTCTGAACGAATGTCCCCGATTTGGGGCACATAGGGTGCATCTAGAATTGTGATGCTGCACGGAAGGCCCCGAGACTGGCATGATACACACGGTCCCCCATCCTCAGTGCTATTGCATTGTCGTTTTCGACACCTGAATTATTAGTTACTACTCTGCTTCGCTCTGCTTGCAAGGAGGGATTTGTCAATCACCTGCAACGGTCACAAGCGGTCCGCAATCTCATTGTGATGGGATTGAATCTATTGAACCTAGTCTGCTAAGGCAGAGTGTGGAGTTCAGACAACCTGAGAATCCCATCCATTCAGTAGCTTCTAATTGATTGTGCCACGTCTAGGCCACCAAAGCCAGGAGGATATTTAAACCCGCCTAGAGACGCGGGGTTACATCCATGATCATGATGTGCACACAAGCCAGTCCTGGTTCGAGTTCCCGCCTTTTTTCTGCCTCTTCTCCACCGCCTAATCCAATTGAGATTCAATCCAATTAGTCTGGGATTTAAACAGCCCGCGATTCCACTAGCGGCGGCTTTGGATGACAGGGGCGGGTAACCGAAGAACGAGAGCATGGCATATCGCGGCATTCATTCTCATGTAAGGTACCTATGGTAGTTGGTATTTCAACTCCACAAGACAAATAGGCGAACATGATGCATACAGAATTCTGTCTTCAAACTTCACCACTCGTTCACTGTCTTCGGCGGGGCGGGGAGAGGGGGCGGGTTTCTTGAGTGCGGGGTTCGTCCAGGTTTCCTTACTTTCCTCCATCCTCCCTCCATCATCCTTTCGTCGTGCCCAATTTCTGTAGATTATTGTCCACGATTTTTGAGTTATCGTCAGCATTGTCATCAAAGATCTAGCTCTCTCTCAGCTTACCCTCTGTCAGAGTCCGCCATGGCTTTGTACGCGAGCGTTGTCTCATACCCGCCACTTGGGCAGTTGACTTTGCTTCCAGCCAGCGACAAGAACGTGAGTACAGTCGGGTCCGATTGTAGAGTCGAAAAGAGAGCTGAAGACTAATTTTTCATGGCAGTTGAGCTTTGTCGTTAATCTTAAATCGAACAAGGTCTTCCCGAACTTCCCCTGGGAAGTCTCCCTGTGTTATAAATCGGCAAATGTTAGTGGGAAGAAGTGGTCGACTGTGCCGCTGCAACTGCAAGCAAGCCCGGTATGCATTCTCGAGAGTAATATGGTAGTCAAGAATGATCCGATGTTGGCAAACTACGAGAACATCTTCATCACGAGCATACCCGTCGAATTAATGCGTCACAACCACATCGACTTCACAATCAAATTCCGAGTTGATGAGTACTCTCCATGGCAATGGGTCGAGGATCAGTTTGGAACATGCAATGGGGAGATTCTACTACAAAAGCCGTTAGAGAGCCCAATGAATCTAGATCCATACTTGCATCTAGGTAGGGACTGGGAAGTGGAACAATTGTATGTCGACGGCAAAAGCGCAACTTTTCATCTACAGTCGCGGACATCCCTTCCACCCGCCACGGAAGGAGATGCTAAGCGCGAACAATTGGTGCTTGGGAAAGTCCCTGGTCAGTTGAGATTCATGGCTCTTGTTCGCCTCCTGGAGCCATGGTTAGGACCAAGACACGGAAACGCCGAATTCTCAGTAGAGGAGGATGCCATCATGTGCTGTTTCTTGAACGAAGCCGGGCAACATCTCACGCTGCTTCCTATGAATGGCATCGGCGATGTACAGACGCTAATTCGATCCGATGAAGAGTATATTGTCGTGGTTGTGGCACGAAATGATGGTCCTGAATCTTGTACTTTCCGAGTGATTGCTGCTGTTGCTTCCACGATCGAGGAATCGATATCTGCAGCGGTTGATGCAGCTCGAGATTTCGTCACCAATTCTAGCGAGGCAAGACAAACGGCATCTAATATTACAAAGGTGATAAACGGCGATCCGGAAAATTTGCGGTCATCGCCAGTTGAAGATTGGTGCGATGGACTGGCGTATTGTACATACAACTCCCTAGGAATGCATCTTGACATCTCCAAGATTCTTAAAGGCCTAGAGTCTCTTTCGAGAGCTGGAGTGACAGTATCTTCCATGATTATAGACGATAAATGGCAGAAGATTAATGATCAGGAGAATCCGGATCTGTGGCAGTGTGCCTGGGAAGATTTTGAAGCCGACAAGAAGTGCTTTCCGAACGGCCTAAAGTCAGCAATCACCACGATCCGTGAAAAGCACCCAGCACTCAAGGATATCGCCATCTGGCATGCTCTCCTTGGCTACTGGGGCGGTATGTCGCCCAGTGGCCACATTTCCCAAAAATACCGAATGATTCAAGACAAGGCTCTTCTTCAGGGCCATGTACCAGCTGTTATTCACACCGTCCATCCTGAAGATGTCTATAGGATGTACGACGACTTCTATAGCTTCTTGTCCTCGTGCGGAATCACATCGGTCAAGACCGATGTCCAATTTATGATCGATCAATTCCAGTCAACCAAAATTCGAGGATCCGTCCCGACAGCATACCAATCTGCCTGGACCACGGCGCACCTTCGGCACTTCCAAGGTAAAGCAATTAGCTGTATGAGCATGATCCCTCAGATCCTCTTCCACTCATTCCTCCCGACGAACAATCCTGTCTGCGTTATGCGAAACAGTGACGACTTCTTTCCAGAGATTCGGTCGAGCCATCCTCGCCATCTCTTCCTCAACGCACATAACGCCCTATTCACGCAGAACCTCAACGTCCTGCCTGATTGGGACATGTTCCAGACATCGCATCCCTACTCGAGATTCCACGCAGCTGCAAGATGCATTTCGGGTGGTCCCGTGTACATAACGGATTCTCCAAACGAGCATGATATCGAACTCATTCATGAAATGTCAGCACCAGATCAGCACGGCAGGACTATCATTCTACGACCCACCAATGTTGCCCGCACCATCAGTGCCTATGATGCATACTCTGAGGGACACTTGCTCAAAATTGGAACGACTACGGGAGAGGGACGCCATCAAGCCAGCATTCTTGGTGTCTTTAATATCTCCGAGCATGAAAAGACCTTTATGCTCAATGTTAACGAGATCCTAAGCACAGCTTCAGAGCTACCGGCGGGCAAAGCTTTGATCCGTTGTTACCGAAACTCGCTGACCTTCCCTCCCGTCGACCTCGCACAATCGTATACATCGCCATTGGTGATCCATGGCACCCTTAATAGCTGCGAATCAGACATCTTCTCAGCTCATCCTATCCACGAAGTTGCACTAATGGATTCACTCGTCTCAGTTGCCGTGTTGGGACTGCTGGGAAAGATGACGGGTGCAGCTGCCGTGTTGTCGGTTTGCAGCACCGTTGTCGACGACCTTATCCGACTTGATATCGGCCTAAAGGCCCTGGGAAGGCTTGGCGTCTGGATGGCTGAATCAAGAGCAGGATCTCGGCGGGTGTCTCCTAGTGAGATGACTGCAATGGTTCAGGGAACTGCTATTCCGAAACGATACCTGCTCATAACTAGCGATGCGAATGGGTATCAGGTTGATATTGATTTGCTAACCGCTTGGAGAGACCTAGGCCTGCAGGGCTCTGACAGCAAAGAGATCAGTGTCACGTTGTGGATATAGGTTTAATGGCGTTTTCCGGGCGGGTTTGGTCAGATTAGTTTCCGTAGGTTAGATAGGTGTTGGGATGGTTCAGAATTAAATGTGACTGAGAGCTATCTGCCGTCTTCTGCGGGACCGAACTCTTCCACAATAACCACTCTTTAGAATAACCCGAATAGAAATAGTCATCTAATCTGTGCCGAATCGCCCTGCGTCGTTCTTAATAGCGCTAGAAGAAGAGGGTATGCTAGGTAGGATACAATAATCGCGTCGTCTTCCACGCATGCCATGTGGTGTAGGATGTAGTGGGAATAAATGGCGGGGCAATGCCGACGCTAGTAGCATGGAATGGCCTGTATAGGTGGGGCAATGCCGACGCTAGCGGCATTGAGCGGCATTGAGTGCGCCTGTCGTATCTAGGCCAACTCTGGGCTTCCAAATCAAGCGCATGCTAGGATTTCAACCCCACGATTTCCGCCCCATGATTTCCACCCCACGGGGAAATGCGTCAAAGTTGGACTTTGGGCGGATGAGTCGCGGACCTAGTGCACCTTCGAGTTCGTTCAAGGGTTCGAAGGCTCCTAGTCGTTGCTGTTGACATTAATATATATAAAGGTCCTGTTGATCCTTGGTGTAGATGGAATTTTCCACTAGAATCAACATCTCCTACTTTTCCTTGCTTACAAACGAAGTCTCTCTTTGGCTCTCTCTACCTCTTTCTTAGTCGGACAGGACGACTCTAGCATGTCGACCATGAAGGATGACTTCGTTAGTCACGGCACCCATGTCGAGCTCACCACGTCCCTTAGCCAGAAAAGGGCAGACGATGAGGCATTCAAAGCCCGTGCCCGTGACGGCAACGAGATTGAACATGCCTTGAGCCCCCTCGAGGCCATCAAGGCCTATCCCATGGCTATCTTCTGGTGTCTTATGGTGTCAATGTGCGTTGTTATGGAAGGCTACGACACGATTCTGATTGCCAACTTCTTCGCGTATCCAACCTTTGCCAAAAAGTATGGCCAGAGCGTCGATGCAAATGGCCATTGGCAATTAAGCGCCTCTTGGGTATGTTAATTGCGTCTTCCCAAATGCAATATGCAATAGATACTAACCTCTGCACAGCAAGCAGCGGTCGGCAGAGGCAGTGGTATTGGCGCCTTCTTTGGTGTGCTCCTTAATGGTATCATCGTCAATAAATTCGGGCAAAAGAGGGCTGTTATCGGCGCTCTCATCTCCCTCTCCTGCACGCTCTTCATCGTGTTCTTTGCTCCTGATATCAAGATTCTCCTCGTCGGTCAGATCCTCTGTGGTCTTCCTTGGGGAGTCTTCGCTAGTTCCGCCCCAGCCTACGCTTCTGAGGTCCTTCCACTGTCCCTCCGGGTCTACATGACGTCTTACACCAACATGGTATGTATTTGCTCTCTGATATGAAACTCGAACAATTGCTGACGTCGGCAGTGCTTCATCATGGGTCAGCTTATTGCTGCTGGCGTTTTGGCTGGATTGGTTAACAGGACCGACGAATGGGGATATCGTATTCCATTTGCGCTTCAATGGTATACCGCATCTCGCCACTCCTCGGTCTTAATTCAACGACTAACAACAACAGGATGTGGCCGGTAGTGCTGATCCCAATACTTTGCTTCGCCCCCGAATCTCCATGGCATCTGGTCCGGCAAAATCGACTTGAAGAGGCGGAAGCCTCCCTACGCCGGTTGCAACGTGCCTCTGCCCCTATCGACCCCCAGAAAACGCTCGCTGTCATTATGCACACCAATGCTCTTGAAGAGGAGCTTTCAAAAGGAACTAGGTATCAGGACTGCTACAAGGGTAACGAGCTCCGCCGCACCGAAATTGCCTGCATGACTTTCATGGGCCAAGTACTCGCTGGTGCGCCCTTTGCATACACCTCGACCTACTTCTTCCAGCAAGTTGGCATGCCGACGGACATGATCTACAATATGAATGTGGGAGCTACGTGTATGGCTTTCGTCGGAACCCTGGTCTCGTGGTTTGGGATCATGCCATACTTTGGACGTCGCAAGATTTACATGGTATGTTCCCTTTGGCTTATATTGTGTGGGGCTATCCTCCGAAGCCCTGTTACGCAGCACCGTGTGACATAAGGCTGATTTTGATCTCTAGTCTGGTGCATTCACCATGTCCGCCATTCTCTTCATCATCGGATTCTTAGGAACAAAGGGAAACGTTATGGCTGTGGGCTATACGCAATCCGCGCTCTGTCTCGTGTGGACCTTCATCTTTCAGCTCTCAATCGGTCAACTGGGCTGGGCTATACCAGCCGAAGTCGGCTCTACGCGCCTGCGCCAGAAGACCATATGCCTTGCTCGCAATGCATACTACATTGCTGATGTCGTTGGTGGCGTGCTGCAGCCGTATTTCATGAACCCCACCGAGTGGAATCTCAAGGGTTACACGGGTTTCATCTGGGGATCAACCTGCTTTATTCTCGCCATGGTAAGTACTGTTATTTCGCTTTGAGTTCTTCATAGCTAATATCTGCTCCTAGTGGACTTATTTCCGCCTTCCTGAGACTAAAGGCCGCACTTTCGACGAATTGGACGTTCTCTTCGGGAAAAGGATCAGCGCAAGGAAGTTTGCTTCGTATAAGGTCGACTCATTTCACCATAGCATTATGCTGGTACTTCCCAGTGGCGAAAAGGTGGCTGCGTAGGCTAAGGTGAGATTTGTACCTATAGTCTAGTGTAAATTAAGCCATTATAAGATTAAATTCAAAGCTTAAGAGCGTTAAATATAGAAGTGAGTAAGGGATCATCATAGTTTCTATGGAACTGAGGAGAGCTTAAAACACTAGACATTTCATTGTTACTCATCCAAGACGGTCTGCAGCGGCTGGATTGACTCTCCGATACTATCTTGGAATTCCGCCAGCAAATCATCAGCTAAAAATATGTATCGCAGTGCCCAGGCCTACCATCAGGTGTCCGGTAATCGCATGGATCACACCATAGACATGAGGAGTTGCTGGGCTGCTGTGTGTATTCGATTGCTATGAAAGGTCTTGGGGGGATTTCAAGTTGATGTAATCCGCAGTACGCTCGTTGGTACTTCGTAAATTGGGTGGATCCGTGGATACACGGCCCCTCAATTTAGTGAGGGCGCGAGTCTTGATCGGCAGGAGCCGAACCAAGTGGAGGGTGCACACGCTACAAATGTCAAGAGCCGGCGATCGCTTTCACCTCGTGGTAGTGTAGGGCATAATGAGATCAAAATTGTCCAGTAGAAGGAATTGCCGTGCCTGTGAGAAATTCGAATGCCGTTCCTATTCCAATTCTCTAAATCACGTGAACTTCACGATGTAGTCACCTGATTATTTCCTTGATGTAAAGCTCACAAGGCACAGCATGAACCATGATACGAGGTTTGATCCTCGAGTGATGATCTGTTATAGATCCCCTTCCTGGGCTACCCAACAGTCTGGGAAATAGACCTTGCATAGCTGAGAATGAGAAGATACTGTGCTACTAACAATTGAAGAGACCGTTGGTGCCACAATCATCCTCCAATATACAGTGTCGTACGCTCGTATAGAGCGTCTATTGGGATACTTACAACCTATAGTGATCGGAAAGTCATTTTCGTGTGCAGTTGCTTGCTGTACTCCAAGACTCATAATAGGACCTTTAACAAGTCTCCCATTGGCTCTTGAGCACAGTCCTTCCTCGGAACTTGCCCGGCATGAGTACTCGAGTACTTTGATAAATCGTTTGCCAGCGCCTTTGAGAAATCGAACCCATTGGCTCATTGAATCTATTTTGAAAGCGCTTCTAACTGTGGAGTACGTACGTACTCTAGTCTTCTCCTCTTGGTTAGGTCTTACATATCGCTAGACCGATAAAGGCTCGGCTCTTTTATGAAGCGACACACGCAGGCGCTGCCGTGCCGTGTAACGGAGCGCGGCACAGACCCACGATGGCTGTTGGTGTCTTTCCCCCCCCTCGCACCTGCCTAATATCGAGGCCAAAGCGGAGTGGAGTTCGCCTTCCCTTCCTGCCTGTTATGTGAATACTACCCTGCATGCATCACGAATCCCAGCTGCCTCCTTGCAGTCACCGTTGCTGTCGACTGGAATATCGCCGAATAACAAAGGCCGGGCGTTCGTGACAGTACGGCTTTGGGCAAGAACATGCCATGTGGGAGGAGGTTGGTATGGGTATGCTATCCTAGTACCACGTATGGTTGCAACCAAAGTTGAAATGCTACGCCCCTTGCTTACTTTAGTATGAGAAGGGAGGGTTGAACTACTCCGTCGGAAAAGCCTTCCGCTCCGGGGGTGTTGTCAGAATAATTGTTCCACAGGGACAGTCTCAGTAAAGTGAGTGGCGTCGTTTACGCCTCTGGCGGCTAACAAAATTGGAACGAACAGCCCAACAGAGGGTCCAGTGCACCAAATGCGGAATTTCCTCTATTCACGGCACTGCAATCAATCAATATTGAGCCCCGTGGAGCTTACAAGAAAGAAGCAACTTCGACTATGCACGATAGAGTATTGACCTTCTTCGAGGCCGGGGCCCGAACCGGGCTTTGGGCCCACCCACGCGACCCCGCGGCCTGGCGGGTAAAGTGCACAGCTATTCGCTGGAATCCTGGTCCATAGTGGAGGAGCAAGCGTCGGATGATCTATTCGCGGCACTGGTCATCTCTAATGGCCAGGGTAGTGCAGGAAGATCCATGGTTCTTCGCTCCGTACGTACACCTTGCATGCAGTCTATATTGGTGAAAGGTCCACTCTCTCCAGACCTGCATATGGCAGAGGAGTCGATTTTTAGTAGCACCCACGGATTACGGATCATGGATGTTGGAGGCAATATTGGATCCATTTCAAGGTCTGTTATTTATTATAAGAAGTTCATGGGAAGCACCCTTCTCAATCCACCAGCTTCTCTTTCGACCTCCAGTTCTCCTTCTTCAATTCTCTCGAAGCCTCTTTCTTTCTGTTGATCACTGGTCTCTCCTCTCTCGACAAGTTTCAGTCTTCAAGTCACTTTCAAGCAGCCATCATGCCTTCAATCACCAGCCTCCTCTCTTATGCCGCCATAACTCTTCTCGCCTCCTCTCACCTCTCCGCTGCCACTCCGGTGCCTATGTGCAAATTGGTTGTACGAGAAACTCCAGCCCTCCCTACCACCGGCAGCGGCACTCAACTCCCAGCCGTTAGCGCTGGTCTCCACCTCAAATTCGTCACCCTCGGCCGCGGCGTCCAGAACTACACCTGTGCGGGTGGCTCCGGCACCCCAACTGCCGTTGGCGCCATCGCAGATATCTTCGACATCACCGCCCTCGCACAGTTGAGCCCCACCTCCGCTGCCTTCACCGGCCTCCCAGCAGCAGCCGCCTACCTCACTATCCCTGGTGTCCAGCAGTTGCTGAACACCCGCATGCCTGGTGGCAACACCGCCACAATTATTGGAAAGCACTTCTTCAACTCCGCTGGTGTCCCGACCTTTGATTTGTCTGCTAGGGGCAAGAAGTTGCTCAGCAAGCTTGTGGGTAAGGTCCCTGCTCCCGCAACTGCGGATGTAGGCCCTGCTGGCACCGGAGCTGTGCCGTGGCTGAAGCTTGACGATGCTGGGGGCAGTGCCGGGCTCAAGGAGGTTTACCGTGTCTACACCGCTGGAGGCAATGCACCTGCTTCTTGCTCTGGCCAGGCGGCTGTTTCTGTTGAATATGCCGCCATGTATTGGTTTTACGGGTAAACACATGGACATGTGAAGGACATCAGCACAACAAATATGTTTAACTTATACATCTATATTTGAAGAAAGGTTTATGGGGGGCTTGAGGTGTACCGAAGGGGAAGGCATTTATCTATCTATGCCTTGGGGATTCGGATGTATATATTATTACTCTTTCACCTGGATCAGGACTTCCCACGAAGCCATCCTCACACCTTCACTTGTTGGTATAAAAGTCATATATCAATAACCACATAGCAATACCAGAGGGAAATCCATGAAACCCACCACTATCCCATCTAAACAAACTGACGTTGTAAATCCACCCCTCCACTCCCTCGCTTCATCATCTCGCCTCGTTCCACTTACCGCTGTCCCACCCACCCCTCGCCCCCTCCGTCGATCTCCCCCTAAACCCGCTCTCACACACCCAACACACGCCCTCTGTACTCTTCGAGAGACACAACCTCCCCAAACCAACAAATCAAGCTCCCTCCCAACCAACACCTCCCCTCTCACAACCTCCGTCCCACCCCTCGCGCCAAACACCTCCGCGGGTATCTCAGCTCCATAACGATCCCGCGCCCTTCGTGGCTCCCTCCAGCTTACTTGCACAATCGTGTGTTACCGCAAAATAAATGGTTTGCACCCCCATGACGCCGTGTCTCCAACACGCCGCCGCTGCCATGTAGTGCGCAGAGTTCCAACACGCGCACACAGCGTGACACGAAGGTCCAACGGCCCCCACGTGAATCCGGCCGCCATTCGGCCGTCGTTGGACCGCTACCATCTCTCATCTCAGATCCTCCAACAAAGAATACTAACAAATGGAACTACCTCCTTGCTTGAAGGAGCTTATTTTCTTTTCATTTTTCTTTAAGAGAGGGGGTCTTGAACGTGGTGTCAGATTAAAGATCGTCTGGGTTTCCCGAGTTGTGGGTGAGACATTGGGGCAGCAAGGGATGTGCAGATCTGCCTACATCGCTGATCCCGGACACATGCTGACACGCCGCGCATATGTGATGGTATGTATGGTTTGTCGGTATGGGGGATAAATATGCAACCTAATCAGCCACCGCCGAAGCCGGTGAGCTGGGTATCAGGAATGTGTCCAAAAAATGGGCTGGATAAAATGTATGTAAGGAAAATACAATCTTTTTGTCTCCTTTCCTACTCTTGTGATAGCTAGCACTCCTTGTTTCTTTCCAACTTTCCAACTCCGCTCATATCGCTTCTTCCTAGATTTTTTATCTCAAAATAAATAAAAGCAAATTTCTCGCACGCTCTGCATTCATTAGGAGAATTAAACAAAATCAAATCCCCCCACTCCTCCCTCACAACATCCAACCCATCTCCAACTCGTAAATCTCGTCTAAAGACAGGACTATATCCATATCCCCCTATATGGCACCTGCCAAATCTACCCATGCATAGCATCAAGCCCATACTGCAACTCCTGCTCCAACCCCGCCTGCTGCCCTCCATACCCCGCCTCCTGCGGCCTCGGGTCCTCAGCACCCCACGCGCCACCCTGCTGCGGCATCGGGACCTGCCCCGCCTGCGCGGACCCACCACCATGCTGCGTCGCAGGCTGAACACGTACCTGGGCGCGGAACATCGCGACCTCATCGAGGATTAACTTGCGCAGCTCCCCTACGTCCTCCACGACCTCAAAGTCGAAGTTGAACGTCGTCGGGCACCCAGGTTCGTCGGACGCGTCGTGCCAGATGTGCAGGTACGGGTGCTCGAGGGCCGTCTCGACGGAGATGCGGGAGGAGGGGTCGAAGGCGAGCATGTGGTTGAGCAGATCCAGAGCGTCGGGGTTGGCGTTGGGGAAGAGGTGAGAGAACTGGCGCTTGGCCATGAAGGGGAGGTTGCGCACGTACTCCTGGGCGCGGGGGGAGCCGATGCGCGAGAGGGTTTCCTCGTTGGGGGTTCCGAGGATGTGGAGAATTTGGTTGAGCTGGTCGACGTAGTCGCGGCCCTTGAAGAAGGGGCGGCCGCCGAGGAGCTCGGCGAGAATGCAGCCTACGGACCATACATCAACTGGGAGGGGTTAGCGGTGGTAATATGTAAGGGTGGTATTAACACATACTGGCTTTGGTGTAGCTCTGGAACGAGAGCATAATCTCTGGAGCACGGTACCATCTTGTAGCAACGTATTCCGTCATGTACCCAGCGTTCTCCTCGGGGTCAACAGAGAAACCTCTCGCGAGGCCGAAATCGCAAATCTTCAGCTCGCAATCGGCATTGACGAGCAGGTTTCCAGGCTTCAAGTCACGGTGAAGGACATTGGCCGAGTGGATGTATTTCAGTCCGCACAGAATCTGGTAGATAAAGGACTGGAAGTGGGCGTCGGTGAGGGGTTGCCCGGACCGGATAATGGCCGCGAGATCGCATTCCATTAACTCTGTATGCCAACGTCAGTATCGAGGAATGTTTGCTTTAAGTTTTATATGCTGACCTTCGTATAAGTACGTCTCGTTGAAGTTATCGGGTCGCGGGATATCCATGTCATAAAGGCATGTTATCTGTCCTCGTCAGCAAGGCTCTCTGGAGTCGTGGGTAATGTATATGTACGTTGCGATGCCCTCTGAAGTGCTGGAGCAGCTTAATCTCGCGCAACGCGCGCTTCGCCAAGATCTTTTTGCTGAAAACATTTGTGACCTTCTTGATCGCAACGCCTTCGTTTGTTTGTTGGTTCGTCGCCGCGCTGTTGGGCACATGTCAGCATCTATCTGTACCAGCTGCCGAGTTGACAGAATGGAGTGATATACGGACCATACAATACCATAAGCTCCCTGGCCCAGTTCCTTCGTCACGACGTATCTCTCATCGACAATGAAGTCCTGGTTGAAGACCTTGAAGGTCTTGCGACCCTGTAATCCGAGGTCTGCCATGGTTGGGAGGAGTTGGTTGTAGTTAAGTGCGGGGCTGTAGTCGAGCGAGTACTACGAGGCGTTCTTCGGAAGACGACAAGTACTTTTAAACGGCAGGTATCTCGAAATATACCAGCTGAAGAGCCTTTCTTGGGAGATGGGGCTCTGGAAATTTTGAGGGTGGTGGCTTTGTTTGAAAGACTGTCGAGCTGTAGGCGCGCGACTAGAGGGGTGTGTGGCAAGCTCGAATGAGACGAGCGGGGTGACTGATGCTTGTCAGACGGAGCGAAGGGGTGTCTCAAGAAGACACCACTGCACGAAGTCTAGGTCATGTAAATCACCGCAAATATTGGTTTCAAGTAGAGTAAAAGGACGCGAATATGTGTGTAAACGTGTATAAATGAGGATATATATAAAAAATCGAGCGATAGAACAGTAAATACACAGTAAATACAGTATTTACAGCAAGAGGGGTCTATGATGATTTGAGGGTCAGCTCTGATCGGGAGTGACCCGTGGTGGGGCAAAAGTTTGAGGTACGGGTACATCTTTCAGGGTGCCACTTACACCACTGAATCCTTTGGTTACGCGACACTCCAATCAGTTCTTCCCGTCGCCATCTGCCGCTATCCAGTACGTAAGGTAGGGCTGAGACACATCAGCTTTCCCCTTAAAAGGCCGCTCTTGGGGTCCGAATGTGAAACTCTTCTTTTCAGCTGACGAGGCTATCCAAATCATTTGTAGGAAAATATGGGCGACATGAGCGACACGAGCGACCAACGGTAACGTCGATCCACTGTGCGCCATCTATATTGTTGGAGCCAACGGCCTGATGGTATTCATTTTTTCTCCACGGGCGACATCTCTATGTACTGTACTTTCACCCGGCTACATCATCATTCATAAATTTCACCATGTTGTGTTTCCCTCATGCTTGCTGCTTCTCCTTCTCCTTCGCTGCCTTCTTGTCCGCAATCATCTTTTCCTTGGCCAGTTTCTTCTCCTGGTTCTTGGTGAGTTTCGGTACGCCATCAACCGACTCGCCAGCAGCTGCAGACGACCCCTCAGCTGGAGCGGCGGCTGCAATGGGGTTTGGGTTGCCTGTCCACTCCAGCGGCCTGATTGCCATGTAACTGTCAATCACAGCGTCATCGATAACCGAGCGACGCTCCTGGAAGCCCAACACATACTTCTCCAGCTCGGCAATGCATAGCGCCTTCAGCTCTCCTGTTAGCAGCTCCCCCTTTTGATACGCAATCTTAATCCTCTCTAGCTCTTCATCATCCTCAAGGAAGAACGTCAGGTACTGGTATGCAACGTCCATATCGGTGTCGCCTCCCTGCTCACGATGCTCCGCTTCCGAAACCTTGCCGCCCGAGAACGCGTATTTGTTGACCTTGGTCTTGATCTGCTTTGGTGTATCCTTCATGAAGATCGCGCTTGTATCAACACTTGCGCTCATCTTCGTGCCAGGGCCCTGCAGGGCATCGAGGAACCTAGCGTGTATGAGGGACGGCTTTGCGAAGTGGAGGCGAGAGGCCACATCTCGTGTTAAACTATCACAGTAAGTATGGGGTTTGGTTCGCAGTGATGAGGATAAACCAACCGGAAGTATGGATCCTGATCAATGGCGCAGGGGATCAAGCACGGAATCTGATGGGTCTTTGTCTCATCAGTTCCGAAGATGTGTGGGAACGAGGATGCGAATGAAGTGGCACCCTGCACTGCACCGAAGTGAATCTTGCCGATGCACGAGCTGTCGTTGAATCCAAAAACTGCGCGAGCAACATTCAATGTGACATGCTTCGATATGCGAGTAACATTGCGGTAAAAGGCTCCTCCCATGTAGTCATAATCGCTGAAGATAAACGTCTTCTTCTTGTCGAATCCTACGGCGATAATATCCGCCGCATTGGTTCTAGTGTATGATTGGACTTCTTCTATCGTGCGCTTCTCGGAGAAGAGGTATTTCTCGTCGTCTGTCATCATAATAATAAGAGGCACTTGGAAGACATCCTGTAACCATCTTATAGGGTTTAGCATTTACGCAACGGGCAATGGCGGGGTACTTACTTTGTAAACTCAAAGGGAACAGTGTGACCAATGTGCATGCTATCACTGCTAGGGCCTCGTCCAGTATACAAGAAGAAGGGCTCGCCGCGCTCATATCGGTCAAGAATGAGGTTCAGATCTCTGTGACTGAAGACAATCCCTCTCCTCATGAAGCGATGTGGCTTGTGCCCCGTCACTTTCTCAAATCTCTCGAGTATCCCATCATCCGCCAACAGTTTTGTGCCAAACTCCTCGACCAAACTCAAATAGTTGATAGCCTTCGTTATTCCATCAGCTCCCACCTCGCCCTTCACGTTCCAAGGATCGATTTGCTGTTTGTTCGCGTGGGTTGGGGGCAGCACCGCAGCGATTTCGGGAGAAGTTGGTGCTTCGGCTTCGGCCATTTCGTACAGTCGCAATTATGCAAAATTGACCTAGAGTAAATTTTGCAGTAGTATTTGCAGTTGTTCGTATTCGTTCAGCCGGCTTTGAGGGGATTTTCTGGACTTGTGGTGCCTTTCGTGGGATAAATGGAGGGGTTCAATATGACTCTTGTAACAAATCGGGCAGAATTTTAGTTGGGTAGGCGGTAAATCACATGACGTCAAGGTTCCTGTCAGATGCTAGAGATGCCGATCCGCCAGCCGTTGAGATGCTAAGTAGTGAGCTCATGACTATCAATAACATATTTTCTATCTTTTTGAAACTCTTCAATAGCCTTATCATCGTGTTGCATATATTTATTGTACTTTTTATTGTATTTTCCCCTCACACGCTCTTGACGCGGGATTGCCGTTCTTGTACTGGCTCAATCAAGCGAATCCGGGGTAAGGCTAGTTACAGTAAATCCGACTGGCCGAACGAATGTCACGCAGCCCAGCATCCGGAAGTCCAGGAAGAATTCTGTGAGCTCACCTACCAAAACGTCACCCTATAAACGGCTTGCCCCCTCCTCCCAAACCACCACCACCACCCACCTTGCATCTCCACGGCATCTCATCCTTGGAATCTATATTCCCAAGCCACCAATTCGCTTCTCAATGTACTACTAAACCGCTCCTTACCACCGCCGCAATGGTAAAATTCTACGACACCGACTTCACGTACGACTACTCCTTCCCCGCCGTCGCCCTCGCCTACTTCCTTCGATACCCAAACCCGTACAGCACACATGTCCTCTCCAGCGATGTGATCGACCGCCATGTCGACCCCGAGACCGGCCGGCTGAGCACAACCCGCATCCACCTCAAGCGCTCGCGCCTACCTCCCGCTATCCTCAAGCTCCTCCCCAAGTCCGTCCAGGGCAATGTCGCTGGCGGCTCCAGCTCATCCTATATCCTCGAAACTAGCACCGTCGATGCGAAGGAAGGGTGGATGCAGACCGAGTCCCGAAACCTAGACTGGACGGGCATCCTGAGCGTGGTAGAGAAACAAGTGTATACGCGGCAGACGTCTGGCGAAAAGGTCGCCCTGGATGATATGCAGTCAGGCACGACGGCCGTGGCTACCTCGATTAAATTCCGATCTCGGCTGGGCGAGAGACTGAGGGCTAGGGCTGAGGCACGGAGAGCGGAGGCGGATGAGGTGAATGCGAATCTGGATGAGGAGCCGAAGAAGGGCTTCCTTGCCAGCTGGTCGACGGCTGGCATTCAGCGAAGTATCGAGGCTATTGCTAGTCGGAGGACGATTGATAGTCAGGGAAAGAGCAAGATGGGAATGACGATTGTGTTGGAACGACTACGAAATGGAGGGTTGATGGGAGGGCTGGAGGGAATGAGACGCGACCGGGAGGCGCTGTTTAGCGGAGACGCCGCTGTGAAACGCGCGTGGAAGGACGAGAAGCACCAAGTTGAAAAGGAGGAGTGAGCAAGGTGCAGCCCCTCGTGGGCTGGGCCAATGTCGAAGGCCAACCTCGCCAGTGTAAGAACGGGAAGGGAGGTGTCTGATGACACCAATGTTACAGTACGGGTGTGCATGATTGGGGGCACCTTGTAAATATATGTTTTGGCTATGGCATGGATGGGATCTCGAAGCGCAGGCGTCTGGGATTAGTCATGCTTTTTAACGACCGTTCTCCTATTCTGCATTTTGTTTTACAAAGCTACTCTCTCATTAAGGGTGGGATCGAGTTTGGGGCTCTTCAATAATCTAAAATAAAAAGATATTACTATGAACTTCAGCTGTTGGCTCTCTTTGTGGTGGTATTTGAGAGTGCTAAGCAACCTCCGTTGATGGGTATGAGCATGGTATTATTCATGGCATCAAGTTGACGGCACCATTCCCATTCAGCGATTCCAATTCAACCGTGTCTCACAAATGACGAGGATGTCCCCATCTGTGAATCCTGACTTCCCATAGTGCCAAATAGTGTTAGCAAAGTTAATAGATATCAAAGACATAGAAGTAGGCTAAGTTTTAACCAAGGCTTTCAGCAAAGCAACCAAATCCTCTTTGAAGCAAAGCCCATTCACTGTCTCCTAGCTGTGAACACCAAAGCATCCGTCATTGCTTCAGCTCTGAGGGCACAGTTCTTGGTGTGTTGGTCACACTCAGAGATGATTATGCAGGATTCACAGGCCTGTATATGCATCATTCCCACACGGGCCCGGATTGCTCTGTGAAATAACTCTTAGTCCCGCTCATGTCAGCGAAATCGCGACCCGGCTGGTTGCTTTACAATGAGTAGCTTAAAAGCCTCTGCCAAACATTTCATAGTACCCAAAGATTTCCTCTATTGCATCGACTTCTTCGCCCAACCCAAGAACCGGCAGCCCCCCACCCCAACCAACCATGCCGCTCCAAAACTGAGAATGACAATGGACGCGGTTTCTGCTGTTGAAACAGAACACAGGACAGAGGATATGGTGCTGAGATGGCTTGATGAACTGCCTGACAAGTTTTCACGCATCCCTGGAGATTCAAAATCGAAAGTTCGTGCATTGCAACTGGAAAAATTGGAAAGAGAGAGAGATATGGCATACCGTATGATACTGGCACAACAGTCGCAGCCGCACTTCAACAACACGGAGCGGATGACGGTAATGAAATTTGGAGTTGAAGAGTACCTGAGACTTATCGAGCCAGATCGGCAACGATTCCTCGAGGAGTTGGCTGCTGAGAGCAAGGAAGTGAAAGGACAAAAGCACAAAAGCGATACCAAAGAGCAGCCAAACTTTCTTCCGGCAGAACATTTCGAGAAGACCCTGAATGATCCACGAAGCAGAGAGTATATGGAGACAAGAGAATCATTTCCACCTTGGGCGGATCCTTCACCTTCGTATGGCCCCCCTCCCCCGATTCCGCCACGGTCGATGTTGCGGCCGAGTGTAGCGACATTCTCTGAGACAGCTCCAGGAACCATTCAGCACGCTGAGCTTCTCAATGCCAGTTCTTCCCAATACTCATCAGTGGTGGATGTACTACCGAGAGAATCAACGGCCAATGGTAGGAGTGGTGGCGCGAGGGATTCGGAGTTAGGGACTCGGAGAGACAATCCTGGGCTCATGGCTGAGTTGAGACTTGGAATGGAAAGACGCAGACAGAGGGAGAGAGCGATAGACGATGACTTGGAGAAGGAATGTGAGCCGGAGACCAGTATCAGCAAGGTGTGGGCGTTGAAGCTGTGGAAGTAGGAGAGTAGCTGGGTGGAAGACGGTATGGAAACTGTATGGAGATGCACGATGGCATAGAACTTAACTTGGAACACTATGGTTGTTACTGCCAAATCAAAATTTCGGTGTCGATATTAGAAGTTTCGTTCTCCAGTTCTAGCAAATGCGAATATTGTCCATGCGTACTCGTGAGTATATTGAAGTTGTTCTTTATAACTCGTGTTGATAGTGGACGGAATAGAACCGCTCCCGTTCGTTTGACAGGAGGGGATCCAGCCCTGCGGGGTTCAGGCGATACGCGTTAATGACCAAAACGCGTCTCCCAAGGCGAACCTCGAATTTACGCGACATGCACCATAATTGCACAACGTCGCCGGTCATTTTGTGCCTGCAAAAGCGCACCACATCACAATGAGGCGATTTACTGAGAAAGAGAACCCGATCCCTTCATCCTCCCCAGCTTTTAGCACTCCGCACCATCCAATTCGCGGCGGATTAGACTCTCCGATACCCAGCATCCTCCCGATCGAGCTTCCAATTGCCATACTTCGCCCAGTCGCATTCCGAGTTCTGACGAAAAAACATGGGCTTACCATTACATCGTCGGCTTTACAGAAGCTCACTACGTTTATTGGGAGGAACTGTGGTTCAAAATGGAGAGAGGGACTCGCGGAAGCGGTGCTGAACTTTGTTGCTCAGCATTGCAAGGACACAGGACGGGTTATTATAGATGCGCCTGACGATCAGGAATACCTGGGGACGATTTTCAAAGAGCTTTCGGGACGGATGAAGGGTGGCAGGATCACCCATGAGCTTAGGATAGATGGCCCAAATCCTGCCCGCGGACTTGCCAAACCTGGGGATACGGCGGGAAACTTGAGCGACATACGAAGTCATATAAAAGTGGTAGGGGCTCGAGAGCAACCACGGCTACTCTACAACTTCAAGACGAAGCACTTCGACAAAATCAATACGAGAGCCTCGTTACTTCCCTCAACCGCGAGCAAGACACAGCTCTTCCGAAACCGTTACAACATAATCCACCAGCGTCTTCTTCGCACCGAGTCCTTTCAAGTCCCAACAGCGAACCGCGCGCCTACGTTGCATAGAAGCTCCTCCTCTATGATCACAGCCCAGCAGACACACAGATTAACTCCTATAGCCAACCTCCTTGGCAGATCTGGCTCGCCGCATCTCCTCCTCGGCCTCTTAACCATTTCCCCAACTGGCACCCTCGCGCTGTCCGATCTCACCGGCTCCATAAGCCTCGACCTAACCCATGCCCAGATGGCCGAGCCAGACGCAACCTGGTTTATTCCAGGCATGATCGTTCTTGTTGACGGTATATACGAAGATGAAGATCTCACGACTGGCTCCGTCCTTGGTGGTGGAGGTGGGATCGGAGGCACCGTAGGTGGAAAGTTCATTGGAACGATGGTGGGGACACCAATAGCAGAGAAACGACACATCACACTGGGCACGGTAGGGGAAGGTGAAGGGGGCGATATCACCACCGGCGGCGGCTTTGGATGGGTTGATTTCCTCGGCGTCGGCAGCGAAAGGGAAAGGGGCCAGAGCATGCGAGAGCTGGAGTCTCGAATATTCTCACCTCCCCCACCTCCTCCGCTTTTCGACTCTCAATCTCAGCCAGAAACACAACCAGCCGCCGCCGCCGCCCCTGTCCCGAATCGTGGCCACATCGCCATCCTCGGAGACCTCAATCTCGACAATCCACACACCGTCACTGCCCTCGCCAAGGTGCTCTCCGTCTACTCTCTCCTACCTCTCGAATCCCTCCCTATGACTTTCATTCTCCTCGGAAATTTCATTTCTCAGCCCTCCCTCGCCCTCTCAGCCACAGGGCCCGTCGAATACAAGGAATACTTCGATATCCTCGCCGCCACTCTCTCCAATTTCCCAGTGCTTCTGTCGAACTGCACATTTGTATTCGTACCCGGCGACCATGATGCGTGGAACTCTTCCTTTTCCGCTGGTGCCGCGGGACCACTCCCGTATGATCCGGTGCCCTCAATATTCACCACGAGAGTACACAAGGCGTTTGTGACCGCCAACTCGGAAGCGAAAAAGGATGCAGGTGCCAATGCACCCCCAAGAGTTGATGGTGAGGCGATATGGACGTCAAATCCTGCACGACTGTGTCTCTTTGGGCCTACACATGAGATGGTGCTCTTCCGCGACGACATCTCAAGTCGTTTCCGACGACACGCGATCCGAACCGCCTCCGCACCTGTGCCCGAAGATCCGGAGCTCGATATCGATGCTGAAACTCAAGAAGATCCGTCCATACACGCGGCTAGGAAACTTACACAAACCCTCTTAGATCAGGGACATCTGTCGCCATTCAGACTAACTGATCGCCCGGTCCTGTGGGATTATGCTGGTGCGCTGCAGTTGTATCCGCTACCGAGCGCGTTGGTGGTGTGTGATGCTGAGGCAAATGCATTTGTAGAGAAGTATGAGGGGTGCTGTGTTATGAATCCGGGGAGGCTGACAGGGGGCGGGAAGAGGAATATGGCTAGCTGGGTTGAATATGATATCAAGGAAAGGACGGCTAGGGTGAGAGAGGTGGGATATTAGTCCGCGTGGTACAGGTCGCGGTTGTGAGTACTTTGGGCGCGATACAGGTGAACTGGTGTTGTGGAGGGATAGGATCACGATAGGAGTCATATATGAATGACATGAATGCTGGATATATAGTTGCATAGCGCCGCGTTACGGTCCATAAATGATACATAATAAATCTACAATCCGTTTACCGGCTTAACTTCTCGTTCATCTATTATTACCTATCCACACACGAGCCAATTACCAAAGCTACTCGCCCACCCTGTATCCAAACCAGCGCCGTGGTTACCACCGACTTTCGTCTAGAACGCCAAATAAGCTCTCAATCTCCTTTTCAACCTTCTCAATCTCCTCAGCCAGTTGGCCCGTCACCAGCGCATATGCATACAGCAAGGCGTAATCCTCATCCTTCGCCACAGCCATCCATTCCTCCCTCTCACATCCTCCCTCTCTCACACCTTCAGCATTCCGGTCTTCTTCCGACTTATCCTTTATCGCCCCAACCCCAACCTCACAACTTCTAAATTTATAAATCCGACTCAGCAGCCGGTCTCTCGGACTCCTCATGCTAGGCATAGCATCATTAACCGCAACAGGGTATTCCAACATCAAACTACTCGCCATCACCTGAAAGAGATGGCAAATACGCCCACACAATTCTTTTCTTTCCTCAACCGTAAACCGCAGCAGCGCAATCTCCCCAGGAGACGCCACGAGGTTCTGCGCAATTACAGCATTCATTGAGTGGAAAGCCTCCAGCATCCTCCTCGTGCTCTCCATAATACGCGCAAATGGCGCTGACTTGAAGGGGCCGCGGAGTTCGAATTCACCCTTCGCTGACGCCCGCAACGAGTCTAGGTGTTTCAGTTGCGCTTGTAGCGCGAATTCGTCAGTCAAGTTCATGTAACTGGCGTGAATGTCTGAGGATAAGATCGCGGAGAGCGGATCGCGCTTCCAGATCAGACCCATGCGCAGCCAGAGTGTTGATAGGCCCTCTTTGAAGTGTGAGCGTGCGGAGTAGGGCCAGATGACGCGGACGATGAATAAACCCCAAAGACAGCCGCACGCGACTGAGGCGACACGATGAAGTGCAATCTCCGTGATGATTGGGTTGACGCCGCCTTCGTCGTCGTCGTCTTCTCCCTGGCGGATGCTGAGAGAGTAGGCATATAGAGCGGAGAGGTTGTAGGTGAGCAGGATGAAGCGTCCAAAGGGCCCTCTACCTTCAACTACAATAATGTAGAAGCCGCCGAGGCAGACAAGCCACCCACAAAATCCCAAGGCATACGGATTGCCCTGGCACATAACCCAAATGATTATAGCAATTCCGGCACCGATCAAGGTGCCGCTAGTACGGGCCATGGCGGTTGTGTTTGAGGTGCCGGTTGTAATAGAGCACACCAGCATGTATGACAGAAGACCCCATTCGCCACGCCAAAACTGGTAGAAAGGTCGTGTGGCCGGAATGAAGGCAAACATAGCCCATAAGGCGGCACCGACTCCAACTTTAATTGCATAGCGGATATCTTCACGTTCGAGGAACGCAGCCGCTTGGTATAACCGGCGCGAGAGCGATCGTTTCGGAATCCGACGCACCTTTGGTATTGCTAAGTTTGCCTTTTTGATCTTTCTTGTATAGAAAATATCGTTGCTGTTCTGGGCGAGATCAGATTCTAGGATGCTGTCAGTACCATTCCACGTTATTCCGGTATCAAATGTTTAAAACATACCTGCATCTCGTTCCTCGGTTTTCCACGACCAGAACTTCACCCAGTTCCAAGACCTTTTCTGCGGCCCTTGTAATTCTTCCTTGAGCTCTTCAAGGACTTCTAGATACTTTTGGATTCCTTCAGCAAAATCTTGGAGACAAAAACTGTAATGCCCACAACTGGCTGCCACCTCCTCAAAATCTGCCTCGACGCTCTTCTCCCTCTCTGGGTCTTTTGCTCTGTACAGCTGTGCCAACGCCTCTTCGCGAGCTTTCCTATACATATCCAATGCGTCGCTAAGACTAAGCAGAAAGTTTTCATTGATAACAATCTTGAACTCCGGTCCAGGACCAAATGGCAGCTCGTCGAGGATCTGTTGCATCGTAAACACTAATGACTTCATCGAAGGTCCGAGATGCCTCAAAAACCGTGCAAAAATATCACTTGGTGTACGAATGGCCATCAAATCAGTAGCGTCCGAGTCCATGGTGCCAGTTCGTTCAAAGCTAGGTCGCGATGAGGACTCTTCCCTTCCGCTATCCTCTTCAGCAGCTTCTTCAATGGCCGTTAAAGAATTGAATCGTTCCAGTTTCATTCTCGTAGTCCCCGTTATCGTGCCATAGCTGGCCATCCCGTGAGGCTTCTTGGGGCTCATAATCCCAGTATTGCCATTGGGGAACGTTTCCTGGAGAAGAGTGAACTGGGTCGTGGCAGCACTTCGAAGTCCACCGATATCTTGAGCCAGTCTCTCCATGCAGTTCACGATTTTTCTTTCGACGCGGTACTGATCCTCCGTACCAAGGAAGTAATGCTCTGCCTTTGCTTCCCTTAGATTCTTCGACAACGCCGTGAACTCTGAAGTATACCGTTTCGTAGCAGCTCGAAATGCCGACGACTTCAGTTCATCGTCGGAGCCTTGCAAGAAGCTCGTGGTGATAGTTGTGAGCAGGGCAGAAATTGCAAATGTAGTATCAATCATACTCTGCCTCAGGTCTTGTCTAGCAGAAATAGGCCAAAATACCAAATTAACAATGGTCGTTATGATCATCGCCATAATCAGCATTTTCATGACTTGTGTAATCTTGTCATCAGAGAAAATCCCAGTCTGAACCGCGTTCTCCTTTGTTATAACCGTTATGATAGCCAAACTCGCCAGACTGCAAGCTACACCGACCAAAGGCGATCCCATTCTCTGTTTTATCCATCCAACTAGCCCGAGGCCGCCTCCAACAAAGATGATGAGCACGAGTGTGTAGCCCAGCTCTATGAGTTCGAATTGTGTCTCGCAGAGCACCGATACCGCCATTGATGCCACAGATATAAAAGCGGCATACAGGAATGCAATGGTTCCCAGCATGACCGCCTCGACCATGGACCCTCCCGAGCGCGCCGGGTGGAAATACACCACGATTGTCGCAACCAAATGCTTCCCATCTCCGCGACCCAAGAAGTTGTACAAAAGCGGTACAAACGTTGCCATACAGGCAATCACATATGCTATCGAGCATTTGATCACCCCCCTCCCTTGTCTCGTCTGGAGCCATTTCCACAGGTCTTTGGCAGAGGCTTTCGTGCATTCGAAGGCCCTTGTAAAATTTCCCGTAGATATGTGCCTGTGGAATGGCAAAAGGGACGCCGTTTGATCCGTATCCAGCGGTCCATCGAAATTGGCAGAGTTTCGAAGGGTAAAATGGCGTCTCACACGCTCTCGCGTGCTCGGAATTATGAATGTCGCATTTCGAAACTATCGAGTTCTTGTCAGTGCCCCTCGCCCACCGCCATCAAGGTAATCCTGGGACAGGTATCTTACGCTGCGCCTCGAGATCTTTCGAGACTTCCGAATTAGAGGCGTAGAAGGTCCGGCGGGAGCGGCTTGCGGACTCATACTGAAGAGAACATTGCCGGTGAACTCTTCGTGGTTGCTTGATGCGCAATCGTTGTTTTCCTGGCTCCGCTCAGACATTGCTGGATTACATTACGTAGCTTCGACCCCAGATTCTTGGCGGGCGGACCCTCCCGTTTCCCGCTGGAACCACACTGCAAGCTATCCCCAGCCACAGCTCGTGTGATGAACTGTCTCGTGAAGGAAACAAATGGAGGTGTACAAGGCCGTTGTTATGTGCCTTTCTTTTTAAGCAATTTGTAGTGGTCTGCCTACTTGTCTCGCGCAAAAGTCTATAGAGGGGAGACGGAACTTAAACGCACGTGCTAATAGCTGATCTGAAAGGTGGTACAACACAACCTTGTTTTTTAACTTGTCTGTGGTTTGGTCTCGAGTTGAAGGTGAGGGGTTCATATAGAAATAATAGTTATGTGAGAGTGTTATAGTAAGTAGAGACGTAATGGTACACTCGCTTTTAGTACGGTGCCGCCTACCGAACTGGCAATGTATCATGATATAATAGAACCTTAAAACAGCAGTAAATATAGTAGAAATAGGAACTTCAATTCTGCTGTGATCTATAGTGAAATGTGACAGACAGAGAAACCCATTACCTGTTTTGCGTTTTGCGTGTTCCTGTTTCCTGACATCTTTCTTTAATATTACTTGCTATTTATTTATTACCCAAATAAAATAAAACAGTTAACGAAAAAAAGTATTAAATTTAGTTATCAATAGTGTCAACTAAACTAAGATAAATAATAGTTTAAACAGGGCCATCATCAGCTAATTTTGCCTGCAAAATACCAATCGTGGTGCCCTCCGGATCCCCCGGACTCATGGTCCTCCAAACGCCAGCCAATATATACCCATCCCGCTTTCCCATTATACCTGCTCATCTTCATATCACTACAACCCCCTATTAATTATTGGCCCTCTCACTGGGGATCAACTCATATCCTCCCTCAAGAGGCAAGAGATAGCTCGCAACGCCCACTCCACCAGCCGTGCACAGCACGACAGCCCAGCTGACCGTCCCCATAACCCAGCTCTGCCCCAACTCCCACCCAGGGAAGAACCTCTCATCATAATCCAACAGATACGCAATCATCGCTGTGCTCGCCACCTGCCCAAGCACCACCACTCCCATCAAGCCCACCAGCACCTTCCATCCCTCCGCCCGTTTTTGTAGGCCACCTGCAAGTATAATACCGAATGTGATGAGTGTGACGATTTCAAGGATACCAGTAAACGACATCAAGAAAGCCGCGGAGCGCCAGATGGTGCAGAAATTGGGTCCATCTGAAAAGGGCGCGAGGCAGTCTGTCGAGGACGGGAAGGGGCGGCATGAGTTGGTGAGGGAGCTGCAGGCGCGATGGAGGCCGTATGTTATCCTGAGACGATCATCTGGACTGATTGGCGAATCGATTGTAAGCCAGTTAGGCAGGAATATGGAGGTTAATGTCAGGACGGTTGCTGGATGGTTGTTAGTATGTGCGGATGGATGTGGGGGTGTTCTCGAGGTGGGGAGGGAGGGGACGAACCGCCGAGGAACGCGACGAGCGCGATGGAATACACGAGAACCCGTGCCATGAGTAATGTTTGCCTGGTGTGTTTGATGGATGTGGTTTTATTCTTGCCTTGCCTCGTGCAAATGGTTGATGGTCTGGATACATATGCTCGCTTTTGGATGTGTGATGTTAATGTGGTTACCTGGAGGGCTACGTAATCGCTTATCGGCGGGGCTGTGTCATATGTGGTGGCACGTATCAGGCTTTCTGAGTTGTTCACGAAGACTTCTAATATTACATGTAGCACAATAATAACGCTACTTTCTACTAGATAGCAAGCAGCCTATTTCGCTTCTTCGTTTCATATACATTACAAGTCCATATCATAGGCCACGTCAATTAAGTACCTTCCAAGTGGCACTCACCCCCCATCTCACACCATCAACATCGACCTCCCAAGCAGGTCCCTTAACACCAACCACCTTTCCCACTGCCGCTTGTTCTCCCTTTCTAATGCCCTCACTCATTCCCTCCTCTCCTCCCAGCATCATACGAATCGGGTATACACCCCCCCCCTCATAACTGTTGCTGCCCACCCGACGACCCCTGACAAGAGTCATCCCAGCCCCATAGCCTCCTGTAACTTCATCCACCGCAATCTTGATCTTCCATCCATCTTCTCGAACAGGATTCCTGGCACTCCTCGCCGCCTGACTTTCACGGTCGACAAGCCAGCCTCTAACCTCCGCAGCCAGGCCTCCGGCCAAGAATTTCTGCCCCCTCCGTCGCGGGGAGAAATGCTCTGGGAGAGGCTCCACAGCTGCTTCGCGTTCTTCGTCCGGAGGTTTGAAGCGTGGTGGTCGGAGGAAAGCATCGGCGGATTCAATAGGAGCAGGTGTGGACGAAGTGGGCTTCGAAGGTGTCGAGAGGACGAAGCGCGGAGCACTGGGAGGAGGGCGATAAGCTGGAGGAGGTGGTGACGACAAAGTTGGCGGCTCCATAGCGAGCAGATCTTCAAAGTCATCATCCATTCCATGACCATGCTTCTGTTGGTCAAGCTCTTCATCCTCATCCTCGAAGTCAACATTGGTATCGCCATAATTTCCACCATCGCAAGGCTGGGAGCTGAGAATCGGTTCCAAGCTCAGCCTCCTCCGTTTCAATGCCGGGCTTTGAAAGGCTACCTCTTCATCATCCTCCCATGTCTGTGAGTGTAAATCCGCATATGCCGCTCGACGCCTTTCATTTAATCTTGCCACGTGATCATCCTGCTCATCGTCCTTTCCACGATGTCCGCTCACCCCCATGCTGGCAGCCGTATTAAATCGAGGCGTGTTCACAGCATGCTGAGATCCAATAATTCCTGCGCCCTGCGAGGCTGCAAAAGAGAATCTCGGTGTGGCCTTAAACTGAGGCGCGCTGGACTGGGGTGCATGTTGGCTTGAGGCGGGCCGGCTAGGGTTCTTTATGACGAAGCGGTGAGGCGATGGTGTCTTCACAGTCTATTAGCTACATTATATGCCTCTGGAAAATGGCGTGGCTCACCACCGGTGGTGGAGACATTGGTCTACATGGCTCCGAGGTATGAGTAAATTTGGAGAGTATCGCGCGTCTCACTGTGTTGGGGCACGTCCAAGGCGGTGGACAAGGGCAGAACTTTGGCTGGTCAATGGAAAGCGAATGACGAGGTTGGTCAAACTGCACTTTAACAAACAACTTTTAAATGCCTTTCTTGAAAATTTAAGAGTAGCTTTAAAATAGTCTCCGAATGAAGGAATAGGTAAAAACCCATTCCCCCACCTCCCGACGAGTTACTACAAACAATTGGAACAAAGGTGAACTCTATGATGGAATGAGCTTCTGTAGAATTCACGGAGCTAATATTTAGGTTCGCTTTTTGTTTCCCACCTCCACATTTGATAATTTCGAGAAGAAGAGAAATGTTGTGAGATTTTTAATCCCTCGGACCTAACATTTAGCAGTAAGGTAGTAATGGATTTGAACAACTTCCCGCAATAAATGCCTGACTCGTTTTAGTAACGTCCGTCATAAACAGTTGTGCTGAGGGGTCCAAGATATGATCAATAACATGCACAATCCCCTAAAAGTATGTTAGCGATGGTTATTTTATGAAATCGTTTTTCTTACATTCGTGACGGGAAGATTCGCATCAGTAACAATCGAAACATCGTTGAGCACCAGCTGGCCCCCGACAATTTGAGTCCCGACATATAAGAAACTACCCGTTTGGATGCGAGTTGACGATGTGTTAAACGCCGAGGTTTTAAGCTGCGTGTTCGGGATATAATGGTGCTGGATTAGGTTGCCCAGCCACCATTTGCCCTTTGGTGTTGCGACAAACGTGGAGTAGTAAGCTCCGGTATTGTTGAATGCTGTATTTGATGGTGCAAAGAACGTATAGGACCAAGTTGCCTGGGAATCGAAGGCTTGAAGAAACCCTTGGTTGGAATTAGGCCTCTATTCTCGCTGGGAAAAAGACACGGCATACCTCCACATTCTGCTAAAACGCCTGCAAGAGAAGTAAGGTCATCCCTCGATTTTATAAAGTCTAGCAGAGTCGTAACATTTGAGTTTTTAGGTGGGACATAAGTTCCCTCTGGCACCGTGGCATAAGTGAGAGGCTCACGATCGATGCGATCACACAGCCCAAGAGCAGTGAGAACGATCACAGAGAAGATACAAAGCTTCATCTTTTGCAGTTTTTATATTAGTTGTGAGAACAGAAGTAAGTGAACTGCGTTTATTATTGATTTGACAGTGGAATAGTGCTACCAATAAACCGATCCAGCAACGGCCCAGAGCAGCAGTACACTATTCTAAAGAGAATCAGACTTAGAATTGCTTTTTCGGATGTGCCCCGGCATTCTTTGCGGTAAATACTGCAATAGTTTGATATAATGTCCTCGCACCGGATAATGGGCAAGGTTAGGTGCGGCAGGCCGCTGTAATGCCTCAAGACCCATGGAATTTGTCCGATACTTTCTCCGGGATCGTTGGATAGCCCCGTCTCGGGTTTTGGGAAGCAACGAAACCGTGAATTAAATAAAATCGACGGAGAGTAATATATGGCAGAGGACTGACCTATTCTTGTGCAAAAGATGGCTTTCCCAGAGAGTAAACTAAAAATGCTGAAAAATATCACCGTCATTGCTTTGGTCGCTTTCGGCAGTCCTTGCCTTGGAAAGATTAGTTCTGCAAAACCACAGATGGGTCAGTCTTACTTTGAGCTTGTCTCGCCGATTACCATTTTGTCATCCAAGCCAAATCCTTAGAAGCTTGCTAATGTGTGACTTAAAAGGATGGAACACGTGGAATACCTTTAAGTCTCATATAAATCAGAGTCTCATTGAAAATACTGCTTCAACTCTAGTTTCCACGGGACTAGCGCGAGCAGGATATGAATATGTAGTCATCGATGAAGGATGGCAAGCTTATACTAGGGATGCAAATGGTCGCCAACAAGCCAATTCAACCACCTTCCCATCTGGAATATCGGGAGTCGCAAAATACATCCATAAATTAAGTCTCAAGGTTGGTATTTATAGGTAAACCACTTCCATTCTGGCATAATAGAAATGTACTTAATTAAACAGTGATGCCGGTATATATGACTGCGGATTCTTCCCAGGCAGTTATGGCTACGAAGAGCTTGATGCAAAGACATATGCTTCTTGGGGAGTAGACTACCTCAAATATGATAACTGCGGAGGCTTTCAGGCCAATACCCTCTCTGCCCAGGAACGCTTCACGATAATGGGAAACTCTCTCAAGAACTCCGGCAGAGACATATTTTACTCCCTTTGCCAGTGGGGCAATCAGTTTCCCTGGTTTTGGGCAGACCAGTTCAGCGATTCGTACCGCATGTCTGGCGATATAACGTCTTCATTTGCAGCTGACAAGAGCGGTGTTTGTAAGACTGCGTATTGCCTTAATACCGGGTATGCGGGTGTTAGTGTTTTGACCATGATTCGAAAGATGAGAGAGATTTCTGGATTTCAGGCTCCTGGGTCTTGGGGTATGCACACCTTTCCAAGTTTCTTGGGCAAAAATTTGACAATTTCCAGCTGATATGGACATGCTCGAGATTGGAACCGGCACCATGACCGAGTTTGAAGAACAAACGCATTTCTCATTTTGGGCAGCTCTCAAGTCACCACTTATCATCGGCGCCGACATAACTACAATTTCTAAGTCCTCGCTTGCAATTCTTCTCAATAAGGACGCCATTGCTATATCTCAAGATAATGCTGGAGTTGCGGCTTCGTACCTGCCGGATCTGTCTATCGAAGGTTCTGTTCAGATATGGGCTGGTCCACTAAGCACTGGAAACTCCAAATATGTAATCCTAGCTTTGAACGAAGGGCAGTCTGGAGTAAATATCACGATTCCGCTGAATGGCATCTTCAAGCCAGAGAATCTCGGGGCCCGTTACAAGGCCAGGGACGTATGGGACAGGAAGAACCTCGGAACCATCGAAAGCGACATCACCTTGACGAATGTTTCTAGTCATCAGACCAAATTGCTAGTGCTCTCGAGAGAATAATTTTTAAATAATACCTAGTTTATCGCACTGGCCAGTACACTATGCTTTCCGGCCTTTTAGTCCTGTGATGGTATCTTGACATCCTTGAGTATCTTTAATTGCACCGGCCGAGGTCCGCCAGATCGCCCGGGAATTTATTGTCGACGATTCTCGTTAATCACTCGAATTGAGATGCGGAGTTACTGTGAGTAATAAGCCTGCAAGTTTAATAATACCCCTGCCATATACATACCGTATTTCAACTGCACACCTCATGCTCATTTTAGAGAAGGAGAAGGGCTAGGTCCGACTCCGCTTTACAGCTCCCGTCACCCGCATATGTTTGGAGTCCTCCATTGGAAGCTTCAATGAATTTCTTAATTATAATATCTAGATTACTTCTAGAGAATTCCCACTCTTCGTTCTGAAATTGGATAATAGGTCTGTAATACACGGCTTTATTAACTACCTATCAACGGATATCATCATGAAGGTATGCCTTTCTGCACAATCAACAAGTGCTTCGTCATATTTCATTGCGTTTACAAAGAAGCTCTTTTTCTAATTCGGTTTTAGATTTTCGAGTTCATTGTTGCACTGTCGTTCTTGGCGGATAACGTTGCAGGAACCGGTGGGCTGAATGGCCTCCCAGTCCTTAATGGACCCATCAACCCAGTCAGCAATGTCCAGGGGATGAAGAAAGGGCTCGGCGAATTTGTTCATCCCGGACTGTGGCATACGCATGATGATTTGGAGCGTATCAGACTTGGTGTTAGCAAGGGACAAGATCCGTGGAAGAGTGCATATGCTAATTTCAGTCTTGACTCGTACTCCCAAGCTTCAGTGAGTTGGCTGTATCAACCTTCAATTATGTGGCTGCTAACACGCCACAAAGTATGTGATGCAAGGACCTAAACAAGTTCTCTGTCGAGGGCGTTGCAGTAACTATACGACCTTCACAAACGACGCCCGTGCTGCATACCAGAACGCACTGATGTGGTACATTACTAAGAACCAGAGTCACTGGGAACGGTCTACTACCATCTTAGATGCATGGGGAACAAACCTTACGGACATCATTGGTACTGATACCTCGCTATTGGTTGCTTTGGAAGGAGATATTTTTGTGAACGCAGCGGAGATCATGAGGTGGGAAGGAAACTGGGTCGAAAAGGGTGCGGCAGCTTCTGGTGGATCAGGATTCTCTAACCAACTGTACTGGCTGTTTGCAAGACAGTCAATCATAATTGGACAAGCCAATTATGGATTGGCAAGCATCAAGGCTCTTCTTTCTTTTGCAGTCTACCTCGATGATATATCGATGGTAAAAATGTACATTTCTCTCAGAAGGCACGAAACTGACCCTTTATAGTATAACTACGCATTGAACGCGTATCAAAACGATCCTTGCGGAGGGTTGTATGGCAACTACCATCCGAAAACTGGACAGGGCTCTGAAACTGGGAGAGACCAAGGCCATGCTGTCACTGGGCTTGGGTGGGCAGCTTACGCAGCGAGGGTGATTCAATCCCAAGGAGTAGACGTCTACTCTGTGGGAGACAATCTACTTCTCAAGGCCGCTGAATATGCGGCGAAATTTAACCTTAACAACGACGTGCCATTTGATCCCAAGTTCTATCGATGCGAGGCTATCTTGATTAATGGGCCATGGGCCAAGCCCTCAAACATCAGTCGTGGAATTAGCGCGACTAGCCCAAACGTATGGGATGTGAGTAGCCCCTTACCGACAAGAGAATATAATTTAATATTGCAGATCATCTACTATCAATATGTTGTTAAGAGAGGTCTCAAAGCACCATGGACTACTAAGGCAAAACAAGCAAAGGACGCTGTTGGAGGAGAACAACGGCGTAAGTATTTGAAATTTTCCTTTGCAAGTATGAACACAGCTGACACTGTCAATTTTTAGCAACTGGAAGCGGTCTCAGTGATCAGCCTAGCTGGGGAGAATTGATTTGGTCATATCCCGGACAAGGCAAGTTCAACAACGACAATGATCGGACAATCTGGGGGGGTGGAGTTATTGGCCCGGATGGGAACGGAAACATCAACGCTGTCAAACTAGTTTAAAATATAATCTTTTAAAGTTTGAACTTGTTGTCCTTAAAAATGTGAACCGTGAGAAAAATATGACGAAAGATTCGGTTCGAGAATCCTATAGCAAAGGCGTGGATTAGAACTGGCAGGGCAGCACTCATGCTTGGTCGACTAAATAACCTTTAGGCGCAAGAACTGCTAGCATACATGTATCTGAAAAAAACTAAACAAGCATTTATCAATCGGCGTTTGTAGAGCCAACCCTTACATTCTATGCGGAGAAAAGTAAATCCAAATCCTATGGTAGTGTGCTTTCATATTCGCATTGGCATTGGCCCTTGAGATCGTCGGCCATGGCCTGTGCGCAGAACCGGCGCTCTTCCCGGTACTTCCCCCGGCGCCCGGAGAGGAGATGGCCCCTTAGTCGGCCAAGGAACATCGCGACCTTCATTGATAGAAGGTAGGTAAATCGAGCAATCACTAATGCCGGGCGAGGTAGTCGGAAACCTTCCGTGTAATTATCCCTTGGTCCGACGGTCCGATTACTCCGAGTGAGCATTGTGTTCATTACTCTGGAGCCTCTTTGGCTCCTGGCCTCCTTGCTGAACATTGCCCCCTAGAGTTTTGGACTCGAGGCGGGCTGTAACTCTCCGCAATAAACTGGTAGCCTAGTCTACATAGGTATCATAAATATAATTTCCTCATTTGTGCTCGACATGGTCATGACACGAGTACAAGAGAGTGAGGCTGCCTTGACCTATAGCTTCTCCCTTTGCCATCTATCTTAATTCAAATCCCCTCCACCGCCCTAATCATGGTGGCCTCGACAAAAAGAGCCCAATCTACATTGGCTACCAACGGCGAGTTATCTGGCGATGCTGATTCTTTGGTGAGTTTATATCCACGAGCAACTTTGGAAGGAAAATGCTAAATTGGAACATAGAAGCGCAGGAAGACTGTGCAACCCTATAAACCGGCCAATGGCATCGGACTTGTAACGCCACCTATAAGTAACTCTTTGAGCATGAGTCCAGCGGCGAATGGATGTCTATCAGCATTGTACTCCGCTTCAACAGTAGCAAAGATTTGGGGAGTTGCGCAACGGGCCTTGAATAAGGTGCGGATTATGGTATTAGGTGCTCAGTATTGAATGTTAACATGGTTCTAGTCAGCTCCGCCAACCCTCTATCCGGAATTTACAAAACCTGGAGGCACAGCATACGTTTATCGGGAGTCCGATTTTTGGACATCTGGATTCTTCCCCGGCTCCCTATACCTCCTTTTAGAGCGGCAACGAAAGTACCCTCAGATAGCCTTTCCTCCGTCATATTCTGATCTTCCTCAGACCCCACATACGCTTCAACTACAGTGAGATAATCTCCCATCTGAACCTCCATATTATTGCTCTTAGTTTTCTTAAATTGATGCTAACTGTATGGTAGATATGCGTGCAAGTGGTGGACGGTGAATCTCCACAAGAACTCCCTTCTTACTACCACCCATGACCTCAGCTTCATGATCTCCCCTTGGGCAAGGAAGGCCTGGGATATTGAAAATGACTCGAAGGCATATGAAACACTGATAACTTCCGCACGAACTTTAGCCACTCGATATAGTTCAAAAACAAAATGCCTACGGTCTTGGGACACCTGTGTTACGAAGAGGTATTCGTTTACAGATCCAAGCTTAGACTTCTTGGTAATTATAGTAAGTTCTGCATCAAACCTCAGACGAATTACAGCATTCTAGTTTGTAGTACCTAATTATGAAGCCAGGATAACATGCTAAACCTCGACCTCCTCTTCTGGGCCGCTTCCGAACTCCGCGACTCGGCCCTCCGCGACATCGCCATTTCCCACGCCGAGTCAACGCAGACTCACCATATCCGCCCTGACTTTTCCACTACTCACGTTGTAAATTTCGACCAAGCTACCGGCGCCGTAAAGGCCAAGATGACTAACCAGGGTTACGACGACTTCTCCTGCTGGTCTCGCGGCCAGGCATGGGCCATCACCGGATTCGCCCAGACCTACAACTGGACGCACAACCCTTCTTTTCTTGCCACCGCCCGTGGTTGCGCAGATTACTTCCTCGCACACCTTCCCTCCAGCGGCGTCCCACCATGGGACTTCTCCGCGCCGGCCACATCCATCCAGCTCACTGACACCAGCGCCGGGATCATAGCCTGCTATGGAATGCTCCTTCTGCACACCTCACTCGTGGCTCTTGGGCAGCCCTCCTCCTACCTAAAAGGTGCGCTCCACATCCTTTCCGGGCTGTGCACAACGCAGCTCTCTCCACCGGCACACTTCCACAGCGACCCCATCGTGATCCCTTCCGTTGAGCATGGGACGAGCAACGAATCTGGCGAGTTAGAAGTGGAAATGGGGAAGGGCGCGGAGACGATATTGGAGGGTTCGACGATTAATAACTATGAGTTTGCGCCTAGACAGTGGGCGGATCATGGGCTGGTTTATGCGGATTATTATTTCTTGCTTGTTGGGAACTTATTGCTAGATATGGGAATTGGAGGACACATCGCGGGCCAAGTTTGAGTGTGGCTTGGGAAAGAGCTGGGTTGTGAGTTTGGGTGACATACATAGATAGGCTAGTGATGACTCTGTGGTTTTTTGGTAGATGGCGAGACAGAGGTCATATAGAATGCAATGTTAGATACCTTTTGAGATCCATACTATGCCTAAATTTCTATAAAACTTTACAAGTCCCTACAGTCGAATAATAGCCACGCCAAAATATGACTTTCAATGCGCCGTGCCTAGGGATACCGTGGATTTTCGATTCCCCTACATCGCCTCCCGCCTAACCTCTCAACCCAGTAGTTCCGCTCTCTACTTATTCATCCCTTTCTCCTTCCTTCCCATTCTGCCCGGAAAACATACTGACCCTCTGCGTCGGCAAAAACGAATATGTTAACGGATTCTGATACTCAAATCCATACCCCATCCCCTCCTGTCCATAATCCTCCATGCCACCTTGTCCTTGTTTTTCTGTGGAATCAAAGAACTCGCTGAGCTGCTGTATGTTGCTCATTCCCGGGGAGGGGTTAGCGCAATGGGGCTGGAAGGCCAGGGGGAGGGGCGGGAAGGCGAGTGAGATACTGTCTGGTGAACCTTCCTGGTCGGTGATAATGGTGCCGCCGCTCACTAGTTGCTGGCCAATCGGCAGGGCTAAGTGGGAGATGGAATTATTTGGCAGAGTGTCATTACGGTTTGTGTGGCTTGGTTGGGGCTGTGTGAGTTGTGAGACAAATGCTGTTTGCTGCGCAGAAGAATTCTGGAGATTATCCTCCGAGTATGCCGCTTGTCGGATATCGAGGGCGTGCGGGCCTCGATCGCGAGCGTGAACTAATCGTGAGGCGAACTTGGAGGCGAGATTTTGAGATACCTCATATAACCCATCTTGGGCATGCGGGCCATTCCAGCGCCGCGAGATCTCTCGGAGGCTGTTCGTCAAGGAATCGAACTCCTGCGGTAGAGGAATATTATAGTGCAAAGTGTGCGCAAGTAACATTCGCCCGCTGATGAAGAGGCAGAATGCGAACTGGGGGTTTGTGAGGGAGATGGAGTCTTGCAGATATTTTTCCGCGATAATGGAGACCTCCATAGCAGCGGCTAGGCATGTTTCGGCGCTTGAGGTGGATGGGAGCCGAATGGACCTCGCTTGCCACTCTGGCGATGGATAGGCGATTCCCTGGTGCAGGAGCCCAACGGCTGTGTTGTGAGTTATGTGAGCCAAGGTCAAGTTCGGATCGAGGACACCATCGGCATTTAATGCACACGCTTCTCGCCATTTTTCGGGTAAAAACAACCTCCATCTAAAACGATATTAGTGTATATTCGCAGTATTCAAACCAACTGGAAGCCAATCGCCAAAAGAAACTTACTGGACGAGCCTTAAGTCTAGCTCCTTGAAGCGCATCAACCACATCTGTACGTCCTGATCATTGGACATATTCACAGCTTGTCGCAAGAAAAAGGTTGTTACAAGACTCAGGCTCTCTGACGCCTCGATGCAATAAGCAAAACCGCCAATTAGGCGTTGGTCTTCAAGTTCGGGCCTCCAAGATGGCAGAGCTCCACCAGCGGTTTTATCTGCAACTCCGAAATACGGCGTCGGGGATTTAAGAGGCCTGCCTTCCTCCCACAATGCTCCTTCGCATGGAAGACGCCTTTTGGCATCGGCACTTGTTAATGAGAAGTTCCACCCAGTGGCTATACTGCAGAATCGATCCATCAAGAAAACATTCCAGAATACGCGCCGACGCTCCTCTCTCTCTATCCAACTATTACACGGAGGGAGGAAAGCCATACGCTTGATGAGAAATTCTTCAGCAGACTGAGATTGATCCTCTTCTTCTACGCTTAGTTGTAGCTGCTCAACGGTCCTCGTCATACTTCCAACAATAGACCAGGCCGAGGGCCCACGGCCGCTGCCAATCTAGAACATAGTTAGCAAATATCCTCACATGTGACAGCTGGGAGTGCCTTACGGTGTCGAAAGCACAAATGACGAGAGCCTGCAGATTCTCAACAGAGAAGGATTCCATACTCTGCAGAATTACTATCTGCCTGCTCTTCGTGGAATATTTCATTCTCACTTCGGCGCTGCTGACCCTCGGGTCATTGGAGAATCGAATGCACAGAGACACAATAGCGTGGAATATCGTAGTTAATTTTTGACGCTGGGCGGGATTGGCCATTCGCTCACGAAATTGCTTCACATGAAGAATCGGAATCCAGGGATGTATACTACGAAAATAAATATCGACCAAGGCGTCGATCAAATCATCTGGGGGGAGGCAATATTCCTTGTCCTCTAACATTGACTGTGGTGCTGGCTGTGGCCTCTGTTGTTGCTCTTCTTCTCCTGTGCTGTAGGCGCGTCGACGCTTTAATGGGCTGGTTATGCTACCATCAGATGGATCGAAGTCGGCCGAAAGATGCGATAGGGTAGACTTAAGTCGACTTGTGTATACTTTCAGTGTCTCGCCGGCATTTGTGGCGGAGTCCAAGGATGTGGGTGTTTGAGCCTGGATGGAATTCAGGCAATTCCAGACCTGCTGCCACAGGACCCCTTGCCCAAGAAACATATTTTCCAGGGTCGCTTTAAATGTTGTTAGCGGCTACATATCAAATATAACTGCTAACTAAGGAAGGCAATAGCATGGCCATGATGTGTTCAGTTGTCTCGCAAGATTAGACTGATGGAACGAGCTTCATGCTTACTTTCCAATAGAAGGCAACGAGAGCGCAGGGAATATAGAAATTGAATATTCGCGACGCAGAACAACAAGGGGAACGGCCCAAACATACCGACCCTTTGGTTGAGTTTCTCGACTACGCCTGTCCGTAACCCCGGCTTCATCTTTCGGTCGTCATACACACAATCAACATCTTAAAAGATATTAGAATAACCCAGTAATAGCTTTTAAATATTGCAGCTTACTGAATCTCACACAATGTGAACAGGGTTGCTTCCTCGAGCATCTTGCTTTCTTCTTGCGGCATGGCTGGCAACTAGATATATCATCAGTCTGGCTGGTTCCCTTTCCTCTCAGGGAAGACCATGCAACTCACGCTGGGCCATCATCCTCTGCTCCTCCTTTGTGTCCCTTGCCACTGCCGGTATTCGACTCTTGTACGTGTAAATCATCATCGCTCACCGCATTCTCGGCAACGTTATTGCGCATGTTTCGATGTAGGCGCGAAAGTTTCGCACATTTCATTTAAACATTTCATTCGCAAAGGCTCTACAAACATAAATAAATGGTGCTGAACAGCCCAGAGGTGCGGAGAAGGCTCGTGCTCCTCGCACATAAGCACGCTACAGGGGTATATACCAAGGTAGCGTGCGGGGTACCGATCTGTTGGAGGGATTTAAGAATTTACACTACCTACAGATCATGTGATTTCAGACCTTCCTCCTTTTTATTTTTGCTCTCTGCAGCAGCTAATATCTGCACGCATCGCAGACTCATAATTCCACAGGTCAGACCGGCTCTTACAGTGGAAATGCCATCCGTTGAATATAGCTAGGTTGCTAGGTATACCGGGCCCCCTCTAGTCCTCTTAGTCATCTCCTAACGTACTATCAGAGCGGAGGAAGTGTCGGAGTTTTCTCCGGCACAACACACCCCCCTCGTAACTGTTTCCCCACATCTACTTCGCTGTCCTAAATCTGCGGGGCCCCATACGGGGTGAAGCGGAGAGAGTGGAGCCGCTGAGTCCTAGTATCCATCTCTTCTCCGCGCCGGCCAATGCGATTAAATGTCTTAGCTATATATCTTGCATGCATCCATTTCAACTCTCATAACGCTCATTACGCTGATTCTCTCTATCACCCAAAACCAAAATAGCAACAGACAATATTGCGCAGCTAGCAGCATGGTCCAGCAAGAGAAACCCTCGGAGGTTCGCCATGACGAGATAGCTCCCTGCACCCAGCCCGCTGAGGAAAACTATCACCAAACAAATGAAGATCAGGAGGTTTGTTCCTAATCTCATATCATACCGATGTTCGTTTACTAACTTACCCTGACTGGAAGACCGCTAAGTACGTGGGTGGAAATACTACCTTCGTCGACGAGGAGACTAGTAACGCGCTTTTCTGGACAGTCAACAAGAGAATCCTAGCATGTATGCTCGGAACTTATTTTTGCCAATCTTTAGACAAAGGCACCCTTGGCTTCGCCTCGATTATGGGTATCCAAGATGATGCTCACCTCGTTGGCCAAGATTATAGGTTTGTTCTCTTCGACTCGATTTACTAAAGGGGTACACCCCAGGTCTAACCTCGATCTCAGTTGGCTTGGCACAATATTATACATGGGAGTGCTTGTCGGAGAGTATCCCACCAACCTCCTGCTACAAAAACTTCCTGTTGCAAAATATGTCGCAGCCAACGTTTTTCTATGGGGCATTGTCATTGCTTGTTCAGCAGCTGCCAAAGACTTTAAGTCCTTAATGGTAGTCCGATTCCTGCTTGGCATGTTTGAATCCTGCATACAACCCGCATTTATCATCATGTACGCTCATCTGCTCCTTTAAATTCCCTGAAAAACAAAACTGACATACATCAGGACAAGCATGTGGGCAAGTCAACATATCCCAAAATCTAACTCGCAAGCACCATCTAACACACCTATTTCAGTATACGAAACGCGAACAGACCGTCCTAACTTCGCTCTGGTATTGTATGACTGGAGTACAATTAATGGTAATTTCTATGACTCCCTAATAAAATCCATTAACCAACCTCGACATAGGTCGGAGGTATCATTGCGTGGGGTGCAAGCCACTACGTCGGGCACTCTATCTATTCCTGGCAACTCCTATTTCTCGTTCTAGGATGCGTGACGTGCGGCTGGGCAGTTTTTATCGGCTGGTGGCTGCCTGATTCTCCACTGAAGGCGAAGTGCTTCACCGAGGACCAGAAGCGAATGATGGTTGAGCGTGTCCGATCTAATGACACTGGGATTCAAAACAAGACTTACAAGGTCTACCAGGCTCTTGAGACGATTAAAGACCCTGTTATCTGGTGCTATATCATGCTGCAGATTACTTCAACTCTTGTCATCGGTGGCCTCGGCGTGTTTTCGAATATAATCATCAAGTCCTTCGGATTCACTCTTCTACAGACCCAGCTCTTGAATATAGCACAGGGCGCTGTGACGATTTTGATTATGGTTGGTGGTGCCACCTTAGGTCAGACAACCGGCCAGACTATTTTGGTTATGCATGTGAGTCTCCTCCTATTCCATCCTCAAAGTATAATCTAACAAAATAAATAGACATGGACAATGTGAATTTCCTCAGAATCTAACCCTAGTATTGTATTCCAGCTAATACTACACAGCCCTCCCATAATCGGAACCGCGGTTATCTACTCCATTACACCCACCCCCCAAACCCGCGTCGGTCTCCTGATCGCCTTCTACTGTACCCAATTCCACCTTGCACAAGGGAATCTCATCTTTTCTCTGATCTCCCGCAACATCGCTGGCCAAACCAAGAAATCTACCGCCCTGGCCATGACCTTTGTGGCCTGGGCCGCCGGGAACATGACCGCCCCCCAGATCTTCCAGAAGAGCGATGCTCCTCGCTACAAGAATGGCTTCATAGCGCACTTCTGCCTCTACGTCCTCTTTAACATCTTCCTAGTGGTCTTGCGACTTTTGCTTACGCGCCGCAACAAGGCGAAGCAGATCACAACAGCGACCGCACTGGCTCTCGAGGGGACGACGGACTTGAAGCAGGTGGATGGAAAAATCACGCACGCGCGGGCGTTTGATGATTTGACGGATAAGGAGAATCCGGATTTTAGGTATGTGTTTTAGGGGAGTGGGAGGATAGTTCCTGTTGCTTGAGGCGACTCCGCGGTTGGGAGATTGGGCTGCTATGTGTATACAATGAAACCAGTCGTGAGATGCAGACACACTCTTGCGCACCGATATTCCCCTCAGAAATGAAGCAAAAGATACCTCTTTCGTAATTGCCGTTCAAGATTTTATCTATCCTTGTGCAGCTATGCCTCGTGAAATATTTAATAAGTATTACAGATGTGATTATATAAGTTGTGATGAATTCTTAGCTACCATGTTTTGACAGTTTAAACTCATTACGGATTAACGACCCTTCGGCCATCCGTCTGGCCATCGCTTACGTCGTACCAACTGATGTTGTCAAAATACAACGTTCTGGTTCCATCATTGTAATTCTCAATATCTACAAGAAAGGTTACTAAAAAATTATTTGTGATATACTCGGAAATGTTTAAAAGGGAGGGGACGAGCGGGGGGGGAATTATATGTGTGTGTACATATATATATATATTGGGACCACCTACCATAAGCATACTGGCCATTTTTGAAATAGAATCCACTGGCGAGCGCATCATCGGACCAACTGTCACCAAAACCGACGTTAATGTTTTTTGAACTGTACACATTGTCGCCATTGTACCACACCTCCTACGCGCCCTTTTCTGCTGCGGAGACCTTGAAGCGGACGATGACACTGTTCCAAGTATCCCGCGCAGTGGAGCTCACGATGACATGCTGTGTAGGATTTTCGCAGGATGAACGATGATCGACGACCAGCTGATTGCTCGTGATGGTAAGAGTTCCACACCAGCTCGAGCACCCCCCCGGGCAGAACTGCTGGGCAACAACTGTTGACTTGTCGGTTGGGAAGGAGGAGCTGGGAACATAGAGGGCAAATCCCTGACAGCCTTCATTCTTCAGAATCTCGTTGGTTTTGCCAGAATCGAAATGGCAAATCTCGGCCCCCTTGTCGTCTCGCGTCCCATCGTAGTTGCTCTCATCAAAATACACCTCGAGCTTGCCGGAGCCAGCGTAGACCGGCGACTTGCTCGCTGCTTGGGCGTAAGAGGGCGACTTCTGGTTGCACGCAGAGAATGGGCCTAAAGACCCTTCGAATCCACTAGCCTTCAGCGTTGATGGGCATCCCTCCGAGTTGTCATAGTAATAAACACCTACTCTCCATAGTTCTATTGCGATCACCGTGCGTAGAAACTTCAGTCTATATTCTGGAGGTTTGCGTTCTTGCGATACGCAAGGGTTACGTGCGGGGTACGGGGTAAGGAGCCCCGGGTTTGGTGTCGTCTGTTCCTATGATCTTCACTTGAAGCGATCGTGATGTCTGTCTTGGGCGGAACGTGGCCCGAACGCGGCCACAGCAATAGTTACTTCAATTCCACGATACTAATCGCACTTATAATTGGTGATTGACCGCCGTACTATATATGGGTAAGCAACCTCGAACTATAGTCTCAATGCTGTCGAGAGGCATAGCAAATCGAAACCGTCAAATCCTCGCTTGCAAATAAGGTATGGCGCTCCTTCATGCATCTGTGCCCAATGCTCAGCCTCGTGTCGTGCATGCATCTATCCTTCAGTCCATTCTCTCCGTTCCAACGACGAAAGTTATGCCTATAAAGTTAGACGACAAGTGATTGATTCCGGTACTGTTGATCGCATTGGCACGATTGTGCTTGCTAGTCAAAGCTTGGGCGCCCTGTAAATCAGCTGGACTCGAGCTACCACTCTGGGCATTACAAACATGGCAGACCCAGTTGGGGCCGGCGCCGGGATTGTTGGCGTCATTGGTCTAGCCATCCAAGTCACGCAGGTTGTGGTCCAATTTGGTATGGACTGGAAAAATGCGCCAGATGATGTTAAGGCATTCATGGCCGAATTAGGGGCTCTGAAGACCGTGTTGTCAGAAACAAATACCAATATCCTCCTCAATGCAGACTTTGAAGCGGCCTTTCAGGACCAACCGTCGGTACTATTATCTCAATTGGGGCCTAATGCTCCGTCAACAACAGACACAAAGCGGTTGCTAGAGATCTGCAAGAAAGAGCTGGAATCGTTGCTTAAAGAGCTGAAAAAGAGGGGAGAAGGCCATCAATTAGGTTGGGGGAGATTCAAAAGTGCCTTTTTGGCTCAAGATACTCGAGATTCGGTTGAAAATCTATGCCGACAATGTCAGCTGTTGAACAGCATGCTCTCGATCGACGCGGCTGTGCTGGGAGCAACCACGTATAAAGAAGTCAAGGAGGCACGGAAAGAGCAACAGGAATGGCACGAGGCCGAAGAAAAGATTTCCATGGCTATAAGAGGTGGCGTAGACGAGTCTAACTCGCGACAAGAGAATCAAATACGGAAGCACCAGGACCAAGCAATTCTCGACTGGCTTACCCCTATCGATTACGCTCCTCAACAGAGCGATTTTATCAGTCGGCGACAAACAGGGACTGGACAGTGGCTTCTCGATTCGACAGAGTTCCAGTCATGGCTTATGACAGAAAAACAGACGTTGTTATGTCCGGGAATTCCAGGTTCAGGGAAGACAATTCTTACGTCAATTGTGATAGAAGAGCTTATCATGCAATTTGGCAATGATAAAAACATAGGCATCGCATATCTCTATTGCAACTTCCGGCGCCGAGATGAGCAGAAGATTAACGACTTATTACAAAGTCTTCTCAAACAGTTAGCTCAAGGTTTAAATCCTCTACCAGACGCTGCAAAATCTCTCTACGCTAAACATATTAATATCCGAACGCGGCCAACATTAGATGAGCTCTCACAGGCTCTACATGCAGTTGCTGCTTTGTATACAAAGGTCTTTATCATTGTTGACGCCCTCGATGAATGTCTAATGACAGGTAGCCACCGATCGAATTTTCTATCGAGGATCTTTGATGTCCAAGAAAAAAGTGGATCAAACCTGTTTATGACATCAAGACATATACCAGAAATCATTGAAATATTTAGCGGGCATACATTGTTGGAGATTCGTGCATTAGAAAGTGATGTACGGAAGTATGTGGATGGCAACATATCAAATCTGCCGTCTTTCGTTAGGCGCAGTCCCGAGTTACAAGAGGAAGTTAAGACTGGGATCGTGGAAGCTGTTGATGGCATGTATGTAATATATACTCAAGCCCTTTCAAAACACTAATTATTCATATAGGTTCTTGCTCGCGCACCTTCATCTAGATTCTTTAATTGGAAAAAGATCACCGAAGGCTGTCCGAACTGCATTGAAATCGCTCCCCTCTGGATCCAACGCATACGACGAAGCCTATAAGGATGCAATGATTCGAATTGAGGGACAACTGTTGGATCAAAAAGGCCTTGCTTGGCAGGTACTATCATGGATCACTTGTGCGAAAAGACCTTTGACAATGGTTGAACTCCAGCATGCACTTGCGATAGAACTAGGCGAATCTAGCCTCGACGAAGATAACCTCCCACAAATTGAGGATATGGTCTCAGTTTGTGCCGGATTAGTCACTGTCGACGAGGAAAGTGAAATCATTCGACTGGTTCATTATACAACACAGGAGTACTTTGAGCGAACGAAGGAAACATGGTTTCCAAATCTGGAGGCTGAAATTACGAAAATCTGCGTCACATATCTCTCATTTGATACGTTTAAAGGTGGAGTCTGCCAGAACGACAAGGAGTTTGAAGAACGACAACAGTCAAACCAACTTTACAATTACGCCTCATTTAATTGGGGTCACCACGCGCGCGAAGCTTATACATCTATCCCAGAAGTCCACAGCTTTCTCGAAACAGATGGTCAACTTCAGGGATCTATCCAAGTACTACTAGTCAAGAAGACGCATTACTTGGGCGAGTCACAGTATAGCCGAGTCTTTCAAAATGGGTTGATAGGAATACACTTAGCAGCATATTTCGGAGTTGAAAAAACAGTACAATATTTCCTCGGCACTTATATCTCAGATGTGAAAGATAAATCTGACCGAACGCCACTGTCGTGGGCTGCAGCGAATGGACACGAAGCTGTAGCTAAACTGCTGTTAGCGAACAACGCTGATATAACCTAAAGGATACACGCTGGGGTCAGACGCCACTGTCGTGGGCTGCGGAGAATGGCCAGGAAGCTATGGTTAAGCTGCTGGTAGCGAACAACGCCGATATTGAATTGAAGTGTACAAGATATGGCTGGACGCCACTGGTGTGGGCCGTGGTAAATGGGCGCGAAGCTGTAGTAAAGTTTCTACTAGAGAGCGGTGCTGAGTTCAACTCACAAGATAACTCCAACCAGACGCCGCTGTCATGGGCTGCAGTGAAAGGGCATGAAGCTATATTCAAGCTGCTGTTGGAGAAAGGCGCTGATATCGATTTAAAGGATGACAAAACCCGAGCACCACTATCGTATGCTGCAGAGTACGGACACGAAGCTATACTCAAGCTACTGCTCGTAGATAGTGCCGAGGTTAACTTGAAGTCTACATATTTGAGCAGGACGCCGCTGGTGTGGGCCGCACCGAATGGACATGTAGCTGTAGTCAAGTTACTGCTACAACACAATGCAGAGGTCGACGCAGAGGACAACCATAACCGGACGGCCTTATCGCATGCGGCAGAGCGCGGGCACGAAGCTTTAGTTAAACTGCTGCTCGCGTACAATGCTAAGGTCAACGTAGAGGACGGCTCGGAACGAACGCCGCTGCTGTATGCTGTACGGGGTAATCACGAAGCTATAGTCAAGATGCTGTTGGAGAAACACGCTAAAATCGACTTGAAGGATACCACCCATGAGCACACGGCGTCATCGTTGGCGGAAATGAAAGAGGATGAGGCTGTGATAAAGTTGCTAGAGATACACAAGCAGGAACAGTGTGTAGTCTGTTAATTCAACCTACAAAGAATCACCAAGAACTATGTCAACATTCGCTGTTTTTGCTTGTGTAAATGTATTATTTGCTCTTCTAACACTACAAACCCCTCGCAGTGGCACCCCATCAAGACCCTGTAGCCTCTCCTCCGCATATCTGTCGGCATCACTCATTACCAGCCGTCGACAATCCAATGAAAAGCCAGGCAACTCCTCGAACAAAATAAGGAAACCCTCCTCTAACTCCTGTACCTCGTCTATATCCATGCCATCCCTTCATAAACACACAGTATGAGTACATCGTAACCTCGAGATCATAGTCCCAGGAAGCCATCCAACTATAAACGACGAGCAACAGAAACCTAAATCTCCATCGCCTCACCACGTAACCATCTCCTCCGAAGCCTCTGGTTTACAAACAAGACAAGCCACCCAGTTATGCGGATTCGCCTCGTCAGGAAACCAGCCAGACTCACAATTCCCACAACCCTGCACAAACGGTTGAGAAGCGCCCGCGGCAGCCGGCTGTTCGGCCACCTCTGTCGATTCTGCAGCCTGCAATCTCGAATTCCTCGCCGTAATCCTCGATCTCTCACACATCTGATTACACTTCCCACCACACTTCCACCCCGCCTCCGTCTGATTCCTCTTCAAGCACTTTGAGCATCTCCACCAGGCCATTACGACGTTCCTGTCTTGGAGCCACTGCACGACATCCCGATGCGTCTTCTTCACGAGGTCTTCGCGGTGGTACTCCCGGTAGTGCTCGCGGCAGTGGTCCTTTCGGTCAAAGGCCTCTTTGTGCTTGCACTTTGAGTAGTCGCAGAAGTGGCGCTCGGTGTTGCCCTTGCCGTGCACGGTGGTGAAGTGGCGCTCGAGGTCGAAGGGGCGCTTGACGGGCTTGGAGATGCATTTGGGAACGTAGCATTTGTGGACTAGGTTTCCTTTCTCGCTGGTTTGGGTTAGATGGGGGGTTCGGAAATGGGATGGGTGGGAGTATATGGGACTTACTCGTATACTTTGTCTGAGAGGCGCCTCGCGGGAAACTTTTCGGATTCTAGATATCCTGGCTGAAGAGTGTGATATGCTCCTTCTTTGTCGACGTGGAAGTCATAATACATCCACCATGAAATATTTGGGTCGCCGTCTCTCTCGATATCGAACAATGGTTTTGACATGACTTGATCTTGGAAAGAGGGAAGTGGAAAGTTGTACAAATTTGCTGAACCAGTGACTGAGTGGACAGGTGAATAGCCCTGATGAAGAGAATAACCGCCAGACGTCGTATGCGGAGGTGCTTGAGAAGTGAAGCTCCCGTAGGATGAGAACGAGCTGTTGCTGTCAAGTGATTCGAACGTGTCGGTGGTATTATTACTTGAGTATGAGTTGAAGCTGGATCCGGAGTCGTCACGTTCCATATACGGCGCGAAGTGATGTTGATCAGACTGTTGCCCTTCATATATGACGCTGTTACTGGCATCCGGGACTTCTATATTCCACCAGGGCATGAAGTCGTCTGGAATATCACAATCCATGTTCATAATCTATACGTCTTCGGTTTGGTGTTTGATTGGTTGTAGATGGGGGGGAGTGTGGAGGATCAACGTTCAGATGAGATTGAGTTCCGTATTTTGATCAGGAACGTCAGCATATGACTAGAATCTAGCCCTTGGAGAAATGTCAAGTGGGTCAAAAAACAAGAATTTGAAACCGGGGCTGAAGAATGGACCAATATATAGGTGTTGAGAATACGTAGAATGTGAGATATAAGCCATTTTATCTTTAATGGGCAAAGCTCCCGTAATTCACGCTACAAAATGTGAAAGCTAGAAACAGAGGTATGGAGATAGGTAGGAAGTATGCACTTTTGCCGCCCTGAATGGGTGATAGACAGTCGAGTATGAGGATGACGACAGCCAGTGAATTTTTGTAAGGCGAACGAGGCCACACCGAGCAATGTGAGAAGAGCTTACTACCGTATAGGAGCCTTGGCAGCTCGTGCCTGGGTATTAAGGGACGGAACGCTAAGTTATTGGGATGAACCTACTCGTGACCGCATTGAAAAAGACTCGTGGGGGAAGGCTGAATCCAAGATGAATTGCTTCGTTGCACCTAACGGCTAAGGCTGGGGGTTGAAGGCAGAGATGCTGACGCGACGGCGAGATCCTGAAGTTCCACAAAGGTCCGAAATAGCGCTACATTGATAATAGCGGGTGGCGACTAGCTCCATGAGCTTCAGGGATCGGGAGGGGCCGTGTGTCGCCTCACTTTGAGCCTTAACACCGATGTTGGACAGGGAATGCTGATCTAGGGCTTGTAGAACATTTCACGATAGTCGCCCGTTCCCTCAATAGTTCACCGACCCGAGAAACGTACTCCGTGCTTGGCTTCAGTTCGAAAACTCGCGTCCAGCCCGTCGATTTCGATGATGGAGTCGTATGTATCGAAGCCTTCTCGTGCTCAAACAGCGCGATCCATCGCGATCTCTTTTGTGACACGGACTCAACAGGGTAATGGGTAGTGCCAGCCTCGCGCCAAGGGTGGGCACGGCTCATACTACAGTATGCTGCTATATCGCTCAGCTGGGCTGGATTTCTCTCGATGCGCGATCAGCGACACACTTCAGAGTACCAACACAGCGTGAATTCGACATCGCGACTAAACCAACAATCATGGGACGAACAAGCGGTGAAAGTGTCGTTTCTGGATGATTGAACAATCCATTGGAAGTACTCCCCGCTATCCCGCGCGAAATGCCCCGTAGAAAGCCTGGGTCCACCGTTTGTATCGCGGGTAAAAAACGAGGCTGTCTAGTCTCCTCCAACATAAACGAGGCTCGTCGTTGGATGAGCCATTTCGGGCCTTCGCTAACATGGTGGGGGGCCACCCTAATGATGTTTCCAGCAAGCGGCAAAGCGTCCAGGACGGGGAGAATGTCGCACGGAATGTGATTCTGGGAATTCGCATCGCGTTGGAGTTCTAACAGGATATATGTCGGGGCTTCATAGATATATTCTAATATATTGTCAGAGCAATGCAAAAAGAGCTGATCGGGAGGTACATGACGTGAATGTTGTCGTTGCCATAGCCAATCATCGCCTGAGAATCGCCTCAAATCGATCGCGGCATTCCATTGGTCAATCTCCCGTAAATCCCCTAAACACGCCCAAACTGGGACTATATCCGTTTGAATATAAGAGTCATAATTCAGTAAACAAAAAGTGTTTCAATATCTCCTTCACGAGAGGTGTCAGTAAATATTTTCCCAAGTTCGACTTTGGGATACCAGCGCTTTATATTTGTCCTGTAACTCAGGTCGCTGTCATCCCTCCCCTCCGCAATATTGGGCATAACTGCATGACGCATGAAGCGAGGACCCGACTCACAAATTCCACGACAGGAGGCAACATTGGCTGGATAGCAAACGTCCCGGGTCTAATATATACGACCACCTGGTGCGTTGTCAGACAGTTTTGAGTCCTGCGACCTATTGCGCAGCCAGACGATTTTGCCGCATTCTAGTTGCCGCATCAGCACATACGTTGCGGCGTAGCAAAGTTCGCAATTGGAAGGCGAAGCGCCGCGCTGTATAACAGGGACTTACCCGTCACCTCCTTTGTTTGCATCGGTATCATTCCGCCTACAGTACAGCGGCGAGAGGCTCATAGGAGGCTCTTCTAAGACTAATTCCATACCCTCGGAACCCAGTCATCCATCCCCAAAAATGTCCGCTCCCGAACCAACCTTCGACCTATTCACCTCCCTCCGCTACGACCCCCTCCTCCTCACCTGCGCCGCCAACACAACCCTCAGCCCCTCCCCATCCCCCTTCTACATGCTCTCCCACCACCGCGACCGCATCCTCTCCGCAGCACAGCACTTCAACTGGCCCTTAGCCATCGCGCGGCTATCCGGTCCCTCCGGACTAGACCATTTCCTCGCCGCCCTCAAGGATGCGGTAGATACTACATCTACCGCTCCTAGACGAGTTCGAGCAGTTGTTGATAGAGAGGGCGGGATTAGCGTGGATAGTTTTGAAATCCCGAAACGCCCACTCAGAAACCTTTTTCCCACGCGATTACCGCCGCCGGGGACAGGGCCGCCGAGAGTTAACCCGTTGACGGGGGGCGCGTTGACTCTAGGCGATGATGACTCAACTGTGCAGCAGGGACCCGGATACGGCGAGCCCTCGCGTGAGCAAGCATGGTCCGTCATGCTGGACCCGGTAGACACATCCCCCTCCCCCCTCACCTCCTACAAGACCACCAGCCGAGACATGTACAACTCCGCCCGCACACGGGTAGGTATAGAATCCATGTCCGACCCGAAGGAGGTGTTGATATGCAGCACGAAAGAGGGGGAGATCATGGAGGGGAGTCTAACGACGGTGTTGTTTTGGAGGGGGGGAACGTGGGTGACGCCGCCGGTGGAGAGTGGAGGGCAGGTTGGGACGACGAGGAGGTGGGCGTTGGAGAATGGGTTGTGTGTAGAGGAGGTGGTGAGGAGGGGGGAGGTGGTGGATGGGGAGGAGTGTTGGGTTAGTAATGGGGTGAGGGGGTTTATTGCTGGGGTGATAAAGCTGTAGTAGAAGGGGTGTAATGTTACAAATAAATAGAAATAGAAATAGAGGCAACTTATTGATAGGGCATATATCTGCAGCAGCAGCAGCAAACAAACATCACTCCCTACAAGTCTCGGGCATTTCCGGCTCACTCATGCGTCACGGGAAGTCTGCAGTAGCACAAGCTAAAACTAAACGCAAGGGGTCAAAAAATCTCCATTTCGGCGACCTCATTCAATCACCAAACGGATGCCTCCTGACCCTCATCCCTATGAGCATACAAAGAGTTCCAGTAGTTACCTGCTATAATTCACACAGCCATGTAGAAGTATATTGCCCTGCGCCCCTTCCTTCCCTGTCCCCCTTCCCAAAGCAAGCACCTCCCAGCGTACATCATACAAAGCGTTTGATGCCCCTCTCGATCGATAATCTATACATCGTCCTCGAGGAACTTATACGCGAATTTAAAATCTGCTTTCCGGCGGTTCATCCTAGAGAGGGGTTATGTTAGCTGCCGTTCTTGTGGCAAGTGCGCGTCTGTGCGTGGAACAACGATGTGAGATGGGCCTCCGGTTTGGGGAAAGGAAAGAGCTGCTTGTATCCGGGAGTTCCAAAGGGGGTTCCAAAGAGATATGCAGGGATCCGAAAGACATCGGAGTTGACTTTTTGTAACCATCCAGTACTAACTGAATGCCCGAAAGGCCAGTTCCCGATGAAACTTCATTATATGCACAGGGCTCCAGGGTCCCAGCAGAGAGCATTGATTGAGGCACGCTAAACGACACAGGCCAAAATAACGTTCCGTTCTCGTGCTGTTGTAAATCCCTTGTACGACGCAAAACGAGGCACTAGCAAATATACCGTATGGTTTTCTGAAACTTTCCAGTGAGACACTAGTCTTCACCGTGGTATAGCAAGGTGCAGCTGATTAGGAATTGCTGCGTTGCGCATGTCGCATGGGGGAAAGAGGATTCGCTGCTGGTTTCTCGACATGACCGTCATGCCGGACCCAAACACTTCTACATAACAACGGCATACGCACCAGGTGCTTTCGTAATCGAAGAATCGATACGTTCCCTGCTCAAACTCCTCGGTGATTGTCTTGGGCTCCTCGTGTCGTTGGAACCACGTTTGGTACTGCTTGTGGAAGCGCCAGCTTTGATCCTTTAACGACTTTGCCGCTAGGTATTGTTGGTAGGTCCCTTGCTTGTAGTAGAAGACGTAGAACAGCGTATCGGGGTCGATGCGAGAGTATAACCTTGGATCATCAAATATCGGTAACGGCTCTTGGGGGTAGTATGAAGGCGTGTTGAAGCGGTATTTGGGCTTGTAGTATCGCGGTTGCTCGGCATCCAAACCGTCGGGGAACGAAGCATTGGAAGCGGCCAACATCCGTAGCGATGACGGCGAGGGTGTTATCGTCGCGCGCTTTTGTGTTACCTTGAAAGACTGGATGAGGTCCTGTAGATCAGACGGAAGGTGGAATATCGACTCGTCCTGCTCCAACAGGCTCGCGCCAAGCACGTTCGTGGGTCCTTTGGGAAGGCCTGCCTCTGACACATCTGCGGCGGCTCCCTTGTCTGCAGCGCGTGACGCTCTACCGGACTTTGCACTCTCGACCTTGCTTGTAGCCGGCGTCGGTGGGATACTGCCCGCAGCTTGCGAACTGGGCGCCGGGGATTTGCTCTGCCGCGAAACGGATCGTGCCTCGTGAGCAAGTGTCGTTACGGGTATGCTTGGTCTCTGGGCGGGTGTATGAGCAGCACTAGCAGGTTGTGAAGGTGCTGCGATTGGAGATTCCTTTGCGACATGTGACGCCGGTAGAGATGCGAGAGGAGTGTTGGAGGTAGACGGTGGAGTTGCCCCCGGTGGCGGTGGTAAAGGTGCGATTCCCACAGTATTCGCTGCGGCGGCGGCTGCGGATGCATACTTTAACGTCTCTCCCGGCGGCCTCGTCGGCACCGTGGCTGGCTTCATGGCCCCGGTCGCCGATCCATTTGTCAGATTTGAAAGTGGACTATGCAATGTCGCCAAAGCAGGGAGTGGACTTCGCAATTGCGTCGACGGTCGCCTCGCAGCTGCAAGCGGAGGTTCCGGCGCTGAAGGTTTTTGTTTCGAACTGGGTATGTGATCTGTCTTTGTATGTGACTCCGGCTCGTCTTGTATCGATTGTGTGTCTTGAGACGATACTCGGTCGTTGTCGTTGTTCATGCCATAGACATCCTCTTCCTCTTGTAGATTAAGCTCATCGTACATCTCATCATCCTCCATAAAGTCCTCGTTCATCCCGTCGGAGACGTAGTACTTGATGCTCTCCTCTAGATCGGTAACCTGGTCCGTCTCTACCGCACCGTTCTCTAACGAGCGTTTTATCAGTTCCAGCTTCCCTTGATGCCACTTATGTCGTTCTGTTATACGCTCAATTTCGGCCATTCGATCCGCCTTGCTGCTTTGGTTTTTTCCCTTCTTCATTGTCGCTTGTATCGATTCGCCTTCGGCTTCTAGGGTCTCTATTTGCCTCTCCAGCTCCTCGACGGTGCCACTAAGGAATTCGCAGGCTTCCAGCTTCGCCCTCTCTTTCGGATCTAATTTCGCTGCCGCTGATAAACCCTCTTTCGAGTATGCCTTTGTCTTCATCGCCTTCTCGACCGCCTTGAACTTCTCCATTTGCTACGTGGCCGTCAGTACCCATTACGTCAATCCGCATGATGCCCATGTCTCTCGGGCTCAACCTACGGTCTCGATAAGCTTCCTGTGATCTAGCAGCGGACCCTTGTCCTTGATATCATTGCTGGCCGCCCATGTCTTGATCTGATCTCTCAGCCGTTGCAGCTTCTTGATCTCGCGCTTGAGGTTGTCCTCGAGTTTCTCCTTTTGGGCGGCGTTGGTGGACTGCTCGATCTTCTCGTATATCGACTCGAACTCAGCGACCCCTTCCGACACTTTCTTGAAGCATTTATCCACTTCCTGCTGAAGTTTGCGTGCGGCCATGGTGAGTGTCTGGGGAGGGTTGTGGCGGTGGTGACCTGTTTAGTTGCTGTCGTGATCTCGGGGCTAGCTTTATTTGCCAATCCGAGCCCATATGTGGGACAATGATGAGGGTGAATTTGGTGCGACACGACAAGGATGCGTGTGACAAGGTGGTTTGGGGGGTTGTTGCCACTTTGATGTTGTTGATTCTTGCGGCTCTGTAATGCTGAAGTAGCGATACAGGACAAACGGGTTAAGGATGTCAAGCGTGGCGCGCCAAATGCCAAATACAGCCAAGGTCATGTCGCTTACTGTGGTAGGTTTACTCCAGCCTTGTGGGGTACATGACAGACACGATTGCCGGGATCAGAGAATTGTTGGTCTGGGGAGAAATGAACAACAGAACTATTTGTTGGACATATATTTATTTTTAAAAGCGAGTTTGAATTATTTCACGTTCATTGATATATTGGTATTTGCCCATTATTTAGAGATCTCTTTTATGAATGGCGTGTTAGAGACTGTCGAATTTAGATTGGGTCAAAGTATCACCAGCAACTCCTCGTCTTAGTTGAGTCTCCAGGATGAAAGGTAAGTGCTTTCAAGGTCCCAGGTTCCTCTCACGTGCTCATAATTTCTGTCAGCTATATTACAAAGGGTTATTTCTGCCTCTGTCACTGTTGACAAGCAAGTTGTTTCTTCTATTGGAAAGGGCATTCTGATTCTTGCTGCCGTTGCTCCAGGAGACACAGAGAAGGAAGTTGATGCTCTAGCCGCCAAAGTTATCAAAATGAAGCTATGGGACGACGAAGAGATGGGTGGCAGATGGAAGCACAGTGTGCAAGATATATCTGGGGATGTCCTTTGCGGTATTTTACTATCCTCAGTCCCTGTTGTGTCTCTAGCTGATCTCTGAAGTCTCCCAATTTACACTCTTGGCAAACACAAAAAAGGGTTCAAAACCTGACTTCCATGGCGCAATGGGTGGGGAACAAGCTAAAGAACTCTACCAGCGGTTTGTGACGAAGGTAGGGGAGGGATATGACCCCGAAAAGGTTAAGGACGGCGTATTCCAAGCTATGATGGAAGTGGCTTTGATCAATGATGGACCTGTAAGTAGAGTTGATTAGATGCTGAGCGTTGCTGACAAAATACAGGTTACCTTTGAAATGTCTGTCGAGCCTAAGCCTGTTGAGCATAAGAAGTCTGCTGAGCCTAAGAAGCCTTGAGGCATGCTCTGAAATCCGGATCCTATCTGTTTGTTTACATAGCATGGTTTTGGCGGCGTTCGCGTTGCATATAGACATCGGGCTCAGTAGAGATCAATAGCACATAGCCCCATCAAATAAGTCCAACTGCAACAACAATTCATCGCAGTGTTTATGATCTTTATTCAGACATCTATTCTACAGTCGCAACATAGTGCTAAACTCCGTGGCCGCCGCCTCATGCTTCCCTTTATATTGTACAGGATCAATGAAAATTCGAGTCCGCGTAGCCCTCTCACCACGCCCTGAGCACGAAACTTCTCCATGCCCCTTTTATCGACCCATCTCGCCCGAGCCGCGGAAACCTGCTTATTTATACATCCGTAGCAAATCCTCGTCGTCGGCCCCCTTATTCGTCGCGGTACGCAGCCTCTCTGCGCTTGACCCTATCCTCCCTGGCCATCCTCCTCTTCGGACCCCAGCGCTCCTTCACCGCCTCAAGCTTTGCCTTCTCGAGAGCAACCTTCTCGGCGGTTGCCTCGCAGCATATGCCGATGAAAAGGGAGGTGCAGTTGAATTTTCTCGCCAGCTTCAGTCGCGTCCACGTCTCCGGATCCGACGATCTCAACCTTCTGATCTCAGCAACATCCTCTTGCGTGAGATGGTACCTCTGGTATCCCGCGTTTTGCTTCAGGATCGCCGGGGGGAGTTTGGCCTCTTCGTCGATGCCGAGTGTCGAATTTTTCGCAACGCTGTAGAGCTGTCGGCGTTTGTCCTCTTTAGGGAGAAACTTCAAGGGAGTGTGTAGGACCGAAGGAGCGGATGATGGCGGATTGAAGATGATGTGGTCGGTGGAAGGAGAGTCTTTCGAAAAGCCAAAGGAGGCGTCGGGCTTGACATTTAACTTCTTCTTCATCCGGCGATAGCTGGACTCATTGCGGCGACTCGATACAGTGCCAGAGAGGAGACATTGGCCTCGCCCCGCCAGGAGGTCAAATATGGGGCGGCGTAGTACCCGGAGATCCATTGTGTTGGTCTTGGATCGAGGTCGTCGTCGATGTGCTATATATTTCCCTTGGAGGATTTTGGGGACCTGTCAAATAATGTGGTCACGTGTGGTAATATAATATACGCTAGAGCTACTTTGGGGTTGGTGGCAATTCGTCTCTGATTGCCAGCTTCGCGCATCTAAGTTATTCCGGTGCCGAGTGATCTACCGAACGGAGTCAAGCACTTACTTAATACGGTTACGGTACAGACCGACGACCCGAACGCACGGACCAGGCCGCATCACAAGATCAAGTCTCCTTTTGGCTGGTGGTTGGCTGGTGGGATGAATGCAGCTTGGGTGGCATCGACCATCTTGTCCAAGTTACAGTTCCGAGTACTGTCCTGGGTGTGTACATACCTTCAACTGACTGTTAAACCTGCCCAACACCATAAGATAGACACCATCCAGTCCATCTTTCCATCCAGCACACCTCTTTAATATCGATTCCCTATCCATATCCCCATACTCTTTCCCCCCAAGTATGACTTCATTGACTTGTTGAGGCATCTCGTATTATTGTCTCTTGTCTCCCGCAGTCTCATCGAACACGGCGGCTCAGCTTGCTTCGCAGGTATCTACCCTGCTCCTCCCGTTATTTATCCACGGTTTCCCCGCGAGTCTCTTACGTCGTACCCAAGGGCGGCTATCCATTCATTCTACCCTGTGCCATTTGACTTAGGACCCTTTTCCCTGAACGAAGCACTTGTCACTGACTGCGTCGCAAGGTTCGATAGAACGCATTGAGGCCTTTATATAACTTCATGAGACCGCAATAACCGCAACAGTACAATGGCTTCAACGGAAGTCCCTGGTGCCCAGGCTGGTGAGGATAAGCCGAATCAGCAAGCGACGAACACAAGCACGAATCCAGTACTCTATCTGGACGAAGCGCAGGATATATCTCCGATTACTTCACCAGAGTCGGCCGAATCTAGTGAGGAGGAGGGTGAAGACACACCGACTGGGAGTGAACCCAAGATAGCGAAGCGGCGGCTCTTTGGCTTTGGCAAGAAGAGGAAGGATGACAAGGGAAAGAGGAAGGATGTAGCCTCGAACGAGTCAAATACACCGAGATCTACTCCTGCGAATCTCACTTTCGTCCCCACTACGCACCCATACATTTCACAATCACCAACAATCCGAAATCTACATTCGCCGTCCTCCAGAGTTGTTTCACCGGCCGGATCTCAAATCTTCGAACGTGATGTACAGGAAGCTGCCTCACAAGTGCCGAACTCGCCAGCAATTCCAGCCCATATACAGACCGAAGATCACATTCCTGCAGTACTAGATGCCTCCTCGGAAGCCATTACAGACAATGCGCTAGACCCAGACACGGTTGAAATCATAATGCACTCGTCGCACCAGCCAGCCGCAAAGAATGTAACAGGGATCGGTGGCAGCGAGGCTGCTGGCACGAACTGGTCAGAAGACTTGCTGGCACACCCTGATAAGGACGATGCGGCGTCGAATTATGGTGCGTTGGATAGCGCAGACGTGAGGCGTCTGAGCTTCATCTCCTTTGCAGACGTTGTGCAATCAGAGCAAACCGAACACATGAACAACAGGGACCCGATACATATTGCAGGCCTTACCACGTTATCGTCCGGGCATCGCTCGCCCTCGCCAATTAGATCCACGGTATCGTCGCAGGGGGTGGGAACTTCACCGCCAACCAGCAAGTCTGCATCTATCAAGGGCCTTGACCTATCACCCACCCGCGCCGGGAAGCCGCTGGCGAGTCCTACCTTGAGCTTCCCTTCACCGACAACAGGCTCGGAGCTGACGATTGAATCCATGAGCCAGGCGTTGAGGAAGACGGCGAGCGGCGATTTGACTGGGACACGTAGCCAGCCCTTGAGCCCTATTAGTAGTATTGAGCCTCGATTTCCATAGCTTCCTTTGGATACTTTTTGAGAGAGACAACTTGGGGAGTTTTTGGATATTTTGCTTCGGATTGGCGAGCCGTACTTGGCAATGGTAGGACGGTTTGTTGCTTATAGCCTTGACCTTTTTATTTTCAACCCTGCGGAGATATACCTGGGTGGCACTTGAACACTTGATACATTTGAGGGACATGGAGTCTGGCAAGTTCGTTTCTGGCAAATGAATTATGATTGTCTGGCACAACACACAGCAGCCTTGTGGGGCAGCGGTGACACGCGAAATGGGAATTTGACCATCTATAATAAATCCTTTCTTTGTGAATTTCCCTAGTAAAATTATATCAGATTCCAGTCAGATTCTAGTCAGCTTTCCAGTTCCTGTTCATGTCCGGCAGTGGGTCAGTGTATATCGAATGTTTCAATAATAAAACAATAAAATAAGATGCGTCTGATTAGCACAGGGCCTTGCTCAATTTCTCCGCACCCGATCCTACCTTATCCTAGACCGTATGACGATAATAGATATATGCTCGGTGAGCGCGCTTCTTTGCATGTGTAATGTACCTGTGTCCAAAATTGATTCGAGGAGCTTGCATATACTTTAAACATATCCAAGATGGTAATTTTATGATTTTATTAGAGTGCGATGCGACATAAATATTGGAGTCGGTGTGTCTTAGTTTAGATGGTTTAGTCTCAGTGATGTACATATATGCGCCGTCCAGAACATACACACGTTAAACCTATCCTATGTGTCGTGCCGACGACAGCTCCGCACTTTGTTCCCTATTAACCGTTTTAGTCAAGACGCTACTATTGAACACATCAACGCCGCAATAATACTCTACGATTTCATGAGACGACGACCATTTACACTTACAAAGTCATACGCTGGAATCCTTTAACAGACTGAACATATCTCACTATCCATTGCAAGGCCAGGAAGCCCGTTCCTGCGCACTATCACCTGCGACTCAACTTATATGCATGGTAGCTTCCCCATGATCGCGAGACGTCAAGCACCCGCTCATGCTCAGGTATGATGACGAGCTCCTTACAATTGCGACACGATCAGGGAAGACAGAAGGCACTGCTGCCACAGGGCGACTGGTTATAACGAACCATACACACCGTCCTACTCTTTGTTGCAAATTTTTTTTTGGCAAGAGGGTTCATTGTAAGTTACCCCAGATTACCAATTGACCCCGCGCACCTCGGTGACATTTCAACTGATCAACCACAGACACACCGCGCAACCACCGCGCCCACGTTTCCGTGGCCATTGCCACTCCTACAATACCCATTAGGCGCACACTGCTACACCAGTACACATGAACGCCCGCTAGCCTGACCAGCTCCCACCCCCCCGACAAAGACTGCGCACGCAGCGCATCCTATATCTGGCTATGGACAAGGCGGCCCAGCAGCACGACGGCCCAGCAGCAGGCAGCACCGTGCCACCACTGGCGCCGAAACTCGGAGCGAACCTAATACTACTACAACACGAGCAGGAGGCCGGGACCGCGTCCGCCGCTTCGGAGGCGCCGCCGCCGCAGCGACGCAAAGATGACAGCATCAGGGTGGTTACGCCAGAACCGACACACACGCCCGCCGGTGGAACAGGGGCAGGGGCGCCTGACGTGGACGTGGCGTCACAGGCATCGCCGCGCTCGATACGGGGATTGGAGAAGCCGTGGGAGAGACGCCGGGGGCTAGTCTTTGAGGATGCGTTTGAGACGGGTGAATCAGGCGGGCTGCAGCATACCACATCGAATGAGAGCGATGTAGACGATGTGTCGAATCTGCCAAGGACGAGGCCGAGGAACCGGACGATTGATGGGGCGCAGCAGCAGAGGCGACCGTCGGGGCAGCTGCCGCTGAGGAGACATCGAACTGGGTCGACCTACTCGGGATTGGGCAGCTCGGACGAAAATATACCGAAAGAGGACCCGAAATATCTAGCGCACCCTTCGACTGCGTTCCGCTCTGCTCAGTCGCAACGAGCTGACTCGGTTAAGAAGAAACCTCCGGTGGCGGCAGGGAGGTTGTATAGACAGTCGAATGCGAGTTCGCGGTCAGGATCTCCGATTCCATTTCCGGCATATGTCGATACGCTGCCTGTGCCGATCGCTACTCGCGATGCTATCAAGGTTCTCAAACTCATGAATGGTCTCAATGGGCGCATGAAGGGAGAGGTCGAATACCAGACCTCGGGGCATGGTTCATGGGCTGGGGGAGTTTGTTATATTGACGATAAGGGGACTTTTCTATTTGAGGGTACTGAGAGTGGGCCTAATCACCAGACTATTGTCCCAGACCTGAGGGGGTGCCGAGTGAAGCCACCCATAGAAGAAAACGAGGAAAATATCCTGGACGTTAGCATCGCGTCTGGAATGCGGCTACGGCTGCGGCCACTTGATACCTCGCAGTATGAATATTGGCTGGCAGCATTATTATCGTGGCAACAGAACCAAGACGGATCAAGCGCCTCCAGTTCTGAGGCAGGGGAATTGAGATCGGTTAGTCGGCGGCCCAGCTTCAGCCAGGCTAAGGACATAAATATCATCAAGGTTGGAAGGGTGTACTTGTGGGATAAAGGCACGTCTCAGGCAGCTGCTGGAGGTCGTCAACGCGCTGATCGAGCGTGGCGGCAAGTCTCGTGCATATTGCAAGATAATGGAGAGTTGAAGCTCATGACGGAGAATGACGTCTCACTACTGGCTACGATTCAGTTATCACAGTTGTCAAGATGCGGCATTCAGGAGCTGGATAAGACGGTTTTGAACCAAGAATACTGCGTTGCGATTCTCCCTCAGTACACGGCGGCAGCGACCTCAATATCTATTGTGTCGCCGGTATTTATTTCCCTGGAATCTCGGGTACTCTTCGAAGTGTGGTATGTCCTGCTACGGACGTTTACTGTGCCGGATATGTACGGGTCTCAAATTTCCGCAGATGGCTCAGATGATCCAGACTCCCTCGTCATCCCTACACCAGATGACCTCTTTCGAATTGAAAAAACCCTCTCTATCCGGACCGTCGAGGCCAAACTACGACCAACGGGCAAGAAACCCGAGCAACCCGTGGACGGGCGGCGGGGACATAAAGCCGAGCCCGACCCATCTGTGGGAGATTACTTTGCAGAAGTTGTTCTTGACGGAGAAGTTCGTTCAAGGACGACGACAAAGTTTGGGACGAACAAACCTTTCTGGCGCGAAGAGAGCGAGTTTGGCGGGCTGCCTGCTGCGCTCCCGGAGATTTCGATTGCTCTCAAGAGGATGAAATCGAAGCCTCAGCCTCATCCTCAGGTTCATGGGTCGAAATCTTCTGTTAGCGTTCACACCCCGGAAATTGTATGGGAAGTCCTATGCGGCATCGTCCACATACGCATGGATCAACTGGATCGCGGCAAGGATGTGGAGAATTGGTGGCCGGTATTGAATGAGAAGAAGGAAGCAATTGGCGAGATGCTGATACGGGTGCGCCATGACGAGCTCGTTGTGTTACTGTTGAAGGAGTACAAGGCTCTATCGGATCTCTTGCATAAGTTTACCTTGGGATTGACGCTGCAGATGTCCCAATATGTGCCATCCAAGCTCCGCTTCCTGGCAGAGACATTGTTGGACGTGTTCCAAGTCTCTGGGCAGGCTCAGCAGTGGCTGGTATCTTTGGTCGAGGACGAGATTGACGGCATCAGCAAAGAAACGCCGGTTCAGCGCTTACGGTTCAGTCGACGCATGGGCTCGAACGATTCATTTGATTCAGTCAGCGACAGAGAGGTCCAACTCCGTGACATGAACAAGTCCCTCACAGGCGAAGCCAATCTCCTCTTCCGCGGCAACTCCCTCCTCACCCAAGCATTAGACTTCCACATGCGCCGTCTCGGGAAAGAATACCTCGAAGACCTCCTCGGCGACAAAGTCCGCGAAATCAACGCCATGAACCCAGACTGCGAAGTCGATCCCTCCCGCGTCGGAGCCAGCGAAGACCTAAGCAGGAACTGGGCCACCCTCAACGCGCTCACCAGCGATATCTGGGCCCACATCTCCGCCTCGCACAACCAATGTCCCGCGGAACTGCGACAGATCCTAAAGTACGTCCGCACCGTCGCCGAGGACCGATACGGCAACTTCCTCCGCACCGCACCTTACACCTCTGTCTCGGGCTTCCTCTTCCTCCGCTTCTTCTGCCCCTCCCTCTTGAACCCTAAACTCTTTGGCCTCCTGCGCGACCACCCCCACCCGCGCGCCCAACGCACCCTAACACTCATCGCCAAATCCCTCCAGGTCCTCGCCAACCTCTCCACCTTCGGGCAGAAGGAAGCCTGGATGGAGCCCATGAACCGCTTCCTCGCCCAGAACCGCCAGACTGTAAAAGCATTCATCGACAACATCTGCTCCATCCCCGCCGACCGCACGCGCATCCCCCCACCAGCATCCTACTCCACGCCCCTCGCAATCCTCAAACGCCTCCCCATGACCTCCCGCGAAGGCTTCCCCTCCCTCCCCTACCTCATCGACGAAGCGCGCACCTACGCCGCCCTGGTCCGCTTCTGGCTCGAATCCGTAGCGGGGGACACCGCGCGCGTCGCCGAGTTCTCCGGCGACCTCCTCGCCTTCCACAACGAGTGCGTCGCGCTCCAGAAGCGGGCAGATGAGTGTCTCCGCCGCGCCGAGGCGGAGGCGAAGGTCGAGGAGCCGCCGGAGCTGAAGTGGACTGATATCTTGAGGAGTTTGGAACGCAGTAGTGCGCTGGATCAGAGGACGTTTACGGAGAATGATATTGTGCCCCATGCGGCGAATTCGTACCCGCTTGCGACGCCGAGGGAGGCCGCGAGGTGGAATAGGAACGATGATGGTAGTATACCTGTGCCCGGGTCGGCGGGCTCGGAGACGGGGAGTAGAGAACGCAGAGAGCGTCAGACGTTTTGGGAGAGTACATTTGGGAAGGAGAGTTTGCGCATGCCCCGCCCTCTAGCTGCGGATGTGTTTGGCGGCTCCCTGGATATTGGGGCGATGGGTGCGTCGCCGCCTACGGAGCGGGGGTTGAGTAGGGAGGGGAAGGGCGGGAAGGGGTTTTTGAGCGGTGTTAGTGGGGTGTTGAGGAAGAAGGGGGGAGGAGAGAAGGAGAGGGAGAAGGAACAGGAGAAACAGCGCGCTAAGGCGGAGAAGGAGGCTGTTAAGGAGGGAGAGAGGGAGAAGGAACGGGAGAAGGAGAGGGAGAGGAAGGAACGGAATAAAATTACCCGCGAGAGGAACGGGCAGGGGGAGGAGAAGGGGAGGGAGAAGGAGAAGGGGAAGGGTGCTGCTGAGTGAGTGGAGTGGGTGGTGGGGGGTTAGAGCGATTTTGAGCATTTGTTGATTTACCCTCCGCTTTTTGTAGGGTGTTGAGAGGAGCGGGACGAGCGAATGAATGGGATGATTGGATTGAGAGACACAAAGCAAGCATTGCACACTCTGCCGCGAATCGGGCATGATTTATTGGTAGTTTTTAATGGTCTGCAAAACTCGGGAATGAGATCTTTTTTGGTGTCTAGTTTTGGAGAGCGGGGGGTGGCTTCGATTTGTTTGGGGGGGGGGGATTGTGGTGGTGGCACTCGTTTTATTTGTTGTGAGGAATTCTGATGTTTGCACACATCTTTGGTGGGAGGGGAGGGTTGACTATAGACATAGAGAGGTGTAAAATCTTGTGTTTTTTGTCTATTTTTGTAGGGGAGGGAGAGGGTAGAAGACGGAGTGAATTAACGTTAAAATATCCATTTATCTACTTCATATACTTCGTTTTGTGAGGCGCTGTAATTATTAATTTGTCCCCTTTATCTACTTGTTCGTGAGGCGTTCTAACTATTCCCTTCTTGGCAGCCCTCTTTCCCAAAGAGGCATTTCTAATGTTGGTCCAATTTCTGCCAGCCTCGTCCCCCCTGCATGCGCCTCATCTCTAGACGCGCGCAGCGACTGTGCGCGCGCCTTCAATTTAGATTTTGCAATTCCATCTTCCAATTCTATCGCGCTGGGCCAATTTTGCGCGACGGAGTAGAAAGGTGTTTTATGCTACGCTCCTAACCCTAGGAGTGAGAACGGCTTTCTCACACGAGAGACGACATGGCGGTAGCCGTAGCGATGGATTCTTCTGTTGACAAGCTGCCTGGGGTGGATAAGGAGGTCAAGAGGCTCTGGATCACGAAATTGAGTCTACGCTGCATCGCGGCGGTTCTCAGTCTCGTCGTCGTCGGGTGCTGCGCTGGGACTTATTTCGGGAACCCCGTGTTACTGGGTCCAGTAACTCATCCCCCCATATCATGAACTGGGGTAGCACTTCTTTCTAACCACCTTCACACAGGCAGCCGCCGCGCTGCTATGGAGTATCGCTGAGGCAATCACTCTGTTTGTCCGTCGGCAGACGTACAAGGGAATCCACCCCGGTGCCTGCGTCGGCGTCGATCTAATTCTCTGGCTTGTGCTGGGGACGATGGCGGGGTTGCAGGCGTTTGTGTTATTCGATGGGAATGTTATATCTGGGCCGCTTGATTTGCTCTATACCATTGCTGCAGTCTTTGGGTTGGTTGTAACGTATGATACTACTATGGGGAGACATGTGGGATATAGAGACTAACCTGTCCTTGATAGAGCTTTACTCATCGCACTCTTCATCATAGCTTGCATCGAGACGCATCGCCGGCGGAAGGGAGGTGTGCCACTTGCTCCAGTTCCTTACTACCCAGACCAGCAGCAGGGCGCATTCAACCAGCATCAACCCGTCTTGAACCCAAATCAGCAGCCTGGAGCATTCAACCCTAATACGCCCTTCAACCCAAACCAGCAGCCCGGAGCATTCAACCCTCACCAACCTCACCCCCCCTTCAACCCAACCCAACAGCAGCCCAACCAACAGCCAGGCGCCTTCATCCCCAACTCCCAACCAACAACATTCACCGCAAACCCGTACCCCACAACTTTCCCCCCTACGTCCCCCTTCCCCGCCCACTACGCGCAACCACAGACACAAACGCCCTCCCCCCAATCCACCACCACCCAGCCATTCGGACAAGGCACATTAGCGCCATCGCAGCCTCCCCAATGGGTTGGAAATTCGACGCCTCAGGGGCAGTATGAGATGTCTAGTTCTCCGGCGCCTCAGGCAGCTAGAATCTTCAATGGCGGACCTCCTCATGCAACAGGGGGATTTAACAACGGACAGCAGCAGGCGCAGCACGAGTTAGCAGGAGGCACCCCGGCGCCGGGGGGGTTCACCCAGATTGCTCCGCAGCAGATGTCACAGTATGCCAACAAAGTGGGGAGTCCGCCACCATTGTATGAGATGTACGTGCGCCCTACCGGTGCCGAACGTGGCGGGGGGGTGTCGCATGAGATGGGGGGTGCGAGGTAGGAAAATGGGGACAAGAGAGGGTCAAGGGCGGGGGACAGAAGGGGGAAAGGAGGAGGAAAAGGCGGGCTGGAGTATAATATGATACCCTAAGAAATTGTAGGCGGCCGAGATATGTGTATTCGATTTTTGTCTAGCCGCGGAATGGCTGTGTGTGTATATTTTTGTAGTAAGGGTTTCTGCTCAGCAATAAAAATACACAGGTTATTTTCTCAAGTAGAGAAAAAGAAAATCTACACAAATCTCAGCTGAAACGGGTGTAATTAGCAGTGCAATACCTCAGTAACCAATCTTACCTCGTCCATCTGGCTTCACCTCACAGCGAGGCTTCAGCGCCTCGCCTATACTCCCCAAACTACACATCCCCAAACTTCTCCGGCTGTCTCTCCTCCCTATAACACTGATTATCGCACAGCCTCGCCATAACCTGCGGCATCACCTTCGGCGTCTGTACCCCTGCATATTCCCCCCACCAAGAATTCTCTTCATCAGGCATGTATTCGTCCATCCGCATGTACCGCTGCTCCTTCGGCACAGGAGGCTTCCACACCAATGCAGGATTTGTGTCCCCAAAACTCTCGGGCTGATCCTTCTGTATCCGCTTCCAAGCGGCGACCTGGAGAAGCCATCTGATTTTCTTCTCCCACGAGAGCACGGCTGCGTGGAATTCCCCGCTGAGGATGACGTTGAAGAGCTTTTCCACATGGGGCTCTGCTTCCTTCAAGGTAGGATCTGAGTTGTACAACTTGTAGAATTGACGTAAGCGAGGTACGTCGTCAAAGTCGACGGTTTGCACCAAGGCATCGCCTAGTAAGCCAAAGAGACCAGATGCTAGAGCGGCTGCTTTGTCGACATGCAGCGAGATGGCTACTAGAGTCAGGTATATGGTTTGATCCTCGGCAAAAGCCACGATGTGATAGATATCCTCTGCCCTTTCGTCTTGCACTTCGGTAATGGGTATGCTTGGGGTTGCCGATGCCACGGGCTCGGAGTCAGATGGTGGTGAGTTATTAGTAGTGGTGGCAGTATCTATCATCAACTCTCCCACATCGAAGGGATGGATTACATCTCCAACGAGGGATATCCGCATGCCATAATCCCAGCGTGCCCTATAGATGAGCATCACCAGCGGGGTCTCATCATAACCAGGAACATAAGCATCATAGACCTGGTAAAACGCGTGATTCCTCCTCCGCGTCCAGTTAAGGTGAAGTGCCAAATCAATCTTGGGCTGGAGCCATATCGTCTCTAGACTAGTATCGTCCTGTGACTTTTGGTGCTGGCCCCATTCGAAGACCGTCTGGCGTGCTTCACGGCTGACCGCGGCAACGTAGGGCACCCGGGCGTTTTTAAAAGTGGTCCGGTTGGGCCAGCAGGCTTGACGAGAGCGTTTGCCGTCGAGGAGGGTGTAGGGGATGTCTTCTTCTGCGATGCGGCGGGGGAGACAGTGGAACCAGATGAGACAACGGAGTTCGAGAGGGAGACGGCTGAATTGAGGAAACGAGTCGCGAGTGCTCATGCTGAACTTACCGTGAGGCCAGTTGAGATAGAAGGGATTGACGATGTAAAAGATGAGAGGTAGACTGCCTTTGCACCGTCTTGGTGGGTATGGGGTTCCGAATGACTCAGCGGCTGAACTAACGATCCTTGTTCTTCGCCATGACATGCATCTTCCAACGGCACTGAACTCAAGGAAAAGCTGCGCTCATGCTATATGCGCTCACATCCCCAATGATGCTCCTAGTCAATCTATCATGCCGTAGGTGACACGAAGCCTCTACGCGAGGTTTGTGTCTACCAGCTAAGTGTAGCGCGCCTACGGCGCCGGTTTTGAGACGCACTTTAGTAGCACGTGGCTATAAGTTGGACAGGGATACAGTGTAATAGACACATACACTTAAGAAGCATACAAGACTGTTAGAGCATTCGCGTTAATCCATCCGTTATGCTTAATAAGGCTAGATACAGGTTTTCCTAGTCCCACGATAAAGTTATAGAGGTCCTCCGTGAACATAGGCCAGACGCGGGCGCTAGCTCTAAGCCCTCCATTATTATAGAACTCGCACAACAGCAAGCTTCCCGTGTCGAGCGTCTCCTGGTCAGCAAGGAAGACACCCGAGTTCCAGTAGTGGAACACCACCGTGCCTATCGACGTCATGGCCATATTCTCAAATACAGTCGGCTCAACGTAGCTCCAGGTACTAAAACCTTCGACGGTCACAGGGTTGGACCAGCACAATTAGGTCGGACTATAGCAGTAGATGTGTCGCCTCCAAATAGAGTGCCCCGTGGGCCGTCAAAGTGATACAACATAAGCACTATCTTCGTCCAAAGGGCGCGGTTCCGCGGACTGATCGGCTCCGGGACGATGAGACTGCACCAATCAGACTGTTGGATGTTCTGGCCGGTACTAGCCAGTTCTGCTGGAAACCACCCATCGCTAGGACGTAATTGTGCCCTTTACTAGTAGGAGTCACGGGTATCCTGGCTCATGGTGGCCCATTCTTTAACGAGCTGACGCCGCCTGGTTATTCTAGAGGTCTGTTCCTGGCTACTGCCGTCACAGGGCGTCGCGTTTTCCTAGACACACGAGTTAGGTCTATGATTCATTTCACTCTTGGCCTTGTAGAAAGTAGAGTTTCAAACCTCAAGAAACAGTTGCCAGCCCTTCACCTCCTCTTTAAAGGCATCTATACCGAGGACTGGATTATCTTGACATCGAATATGTAAAGGAATACCACCAGGCCAGCATTTCTCAGGGTCTGTCATTTTCTACAGAGGGTTCAATAGACTCTGAGTTTGCTTGTAAAAAGTTGACATGAGAGTCCTTTGTATTAAACATGTGGGTGGAGTTGGCTAGGCACTAATTAATGATAGGGGTCACGCTACTGTCGGTCGCGGCGGCTAGATCTAGAAGGTCATCCTTCGCCCTCTACGTACAATTATGGAGTAATTAAAGCTGCGGCTAGAGGCAGCACGATGGTCCCAGTGTTCGGCGGGTATGTATCCGGGTAGTATCCGTGAAGCTCACGGGTAGGGTAGGGTATATACCCGGATACATGAGGCTGAATATGGTATATAAAAATAGAATAGAGTATATAAAAACAGCTAATATCATAAATGGGCCTCTTTTTAATTCAAAAATCATAAATAGGCCTCTTTTTATATATAATATCATAAGTAGGCCTCTTTTTATTACAATATCAGGAATGGGCCTCTTTTTTTCTTATCGCGCACGTGCCTAATTATTCTGCTAGTCATATGACCAAGCATTAGCTGACTTTGATTTCCCGCTCTAATTGAAGTTACAAATTTAATTTACATAGCAGACGACAAAGGGTATTATGATGTCCTAGCCATTCCTATGCTCCTAGACTCCTAGACTCCCAATCCTCCATAAGTTCATCATTTCAATCTTCCCGGATATTCATATCTAGTCATATGCAGGCGCATGCAACAGACAAGCTGCATGTCCTTTGCTTAGATGGTGACACGCTTAGCGTAAATGGCAGCTAGGTTAGTCACTAGATTGTTTACTATAATGTTTACTATACCTTAAATTCACAGTGTGGTATATCTTCCTCCCCTTCTTCTTAGTCTTTAACAGTCTTGCATTTCAAGACAAATCTCATTAGCTTTAAGGTCTCGGTCTAGTACGATTGCCCGTTGTCTTTAAGAGCAGCTGTAATAGATAGCTTGGCTTCTTTCATTGAAGGGAAAACATTGCTAGAGTAGACATTGTACGAGTAAGGATATAGTAATATACAGCTAGGAATACTCAAATATAAAATGTAAATAGAGGCAGTCAGAGTTTTCACTCGCGTAATATGTTGTAGGCGGTGAGCGATAAGAAAAAAAGAGGCCCATTCCTGATATTGTATTAAAAAGAGGCCTACTTATGATATTATATATAAAAAGAGGCCTATTTATGATTTTTGAATTAAAAAGAGGCCCATTTATGATATTAGCTGATATAAAAATGAAGCTATTGATAATAATATAACGCCCTAACGCCCTAACCCCCTATATTTCTTCGTCTGCCTCATCATTAGCATCATCGCCGTCACTCTCTGCCTCCTGTATCCGACCCCAATTCCGTAAGCAAAGTAAATATCTAATCGTTAGCGGTAATAACCTGTTCCGCTTCTTTGTGATAATATCACTTCCATTACTAAATACCCGCTTAGAAGCTGCAGAGGTTGCTGGAATTACAAGATGATCTCGAGTAATACAGGCGATAACTAGATATTGGTATTGCTTTGCGCACCAATATTTAAGGATATCAGTATGCTCACTAGGCCGTGGTTTAAGCATCCACCGCCTCCATTCTGGTTCCTAGAATGCTAAGCCCTCTAAAGCAAATAGATCCTCGTTAGAGTTAGGCTTAGGCTCTGCTCTATTTAGAGCACTGTCTATAAGAGCCGTCTCACGGGTAATACGCTCTATATTAATATAATACTCTCGCCTTTAATACGTCTAGTAAACGTCTTCAAATTAAGCTCTAGCTCGTAGTCTTTGTGAATTGTCTATAGTATTTAGATATAGCTTCTTAAATACTGTATAATTCATCTGTAGGTCGCAAATCGTAGCAACAGCTAAGTGCTTGCATTATAGATTCGTTATGAGAGTATAATATATATTAAGCTTTTAAAGCGTAGCTTCGTAAGCAAGTCTAATAGTAGAGCTATTACTAAGCTCGTCTTAAATTAACGTAACCTTATTTATCATCTTTAAGTAAAGAGGGATCGTAAAGTTAAGGGTTAGAAACGAATCGCTTTGTAGCCGTCTTAACGGCTTTAGGAATACTAGGAATAATCGTTCGAGAGCTTCAATAATAGCCTAATCGTCTATAGTTAACGATATATCCTTTATACTAAGATTAAGCTTCTACGTAGAACACACTATAGTAATTGGTATTCGAAGCTTTAAAGCAGTCTTAAGCATATAGTACGTTAAGTTCTAACGTACTAGCATATTAAGTGATAATTGCCGTGGCTTCTGCCCTGCAGCTTAGATCTGCTTCTGTAAAGCATCCTTCTAAGCTCGACGGTTCCGAAATATATAAATATGCTAGCGTAGCTTTATAAGGGCTGTTAATACGTCGCTTCCTATATGCTGTAGTATCTAAGTAAGACCTTGCTTACACTAGTATGCTTCTACTTCTGTATCTAGGCTGGCTTTTAAGCTCTTAAAAGCAGCTTAGACTGTAATATTGATAATATATGCAATACATCAGACGTCTCCTTCCTTTACTGTAAATTTCCACGGCTGTTAAATAGTAGGCTAACCCTTACTAGCTAGCTTCTCATATTCTGCAAGCATAACTGTATTCGTAGAGGCATTATCCTGTGTATAAGTGAAGATAGCGCCTGTGATTTCTAAGCTATCTGTTACAGCTGCTAATTCCTCAGCGAGATATTCGCTGCTATGGATTGGTTCTCGAAGGTAGATTACGTTGAGTAATACACACTAATGCTACCACTTCTCGTTGATCTAATGACCTGTAACTACAGCGTACTTAGTATAGTTCTGTGTAGTCTATGTATCTATCGTTATGGATATCCGGCCTCCACTTATAATATGAGACTGTAGTTCAATTTGTAATAGGCCTTGGTGATATGATAATTGCCGCTGTAGTTCTTAGTGTAGCGTTCAGGATGAGACTAATAACATAGATGGGCTTAAAAATTAAACTAATTAATAGAACGAATGGCTCTTAATAAGCCGTAAGGAGAGGTTATTTAATATAACAAATGAGAGTAGTAACTCTCGGTATTTCGCTCTACTATTCGACGATTGAATAGAAATAGGCTTAGGCTTCTAGCTCCGTGGCTTAAAGAACGACGACGCACTACTTAATAGGCTTAATCTTAATGGTATATTCGTCTAATTCTTCGTTGTATATGCTATCGTTAGATGCTTCTAAGAATAGTGCTTCTATAGATTACTAGTTGACGTCTGATTTATCACTTGCGGAGTAGGCGAATATCCACAGTCTAGTTGCAAGTAGGTTATCTTAACCGTAGGAGGCATAGTATCAAGTATCATTCGGGAGTATAATAGCTTAGTGAATAGTATCGACGTCGTTAGCGGCAGCATTGGTCCTAGAGGCTGAAGCCGGAGCGGCGGTGTAGGAATATGAGAATTATCAGGTTGAATAGGGGTAGGCAGGGTTGGTAAAGTGGGCTCGTTATAAGTATCATAACTCTCATAACCGCCCTCGAGCTCAGAGAGCGAAGAGTCACTCATTATGAGGATATTTCAGCATTACTACAGGTCTCACGATATACGACGACGTCATGAAATGAAGCCTTAGCAACAGCTTGGCTATTCTTGGCATGTATCCGGGTATATACCCGGATACACCGGATACTCTACAAATATCGACGGGTAGGTATATACTCGGGTATATACCCGGATACCAAGGGTATATTGGTATCCGTGCCTAACACTGGATGGTCCTCAATATGCGAAGACGTCAGTTTTTGCGTTTTGGTGAGGGTCATATTAGACTTACATTTTAAGCTAGTTATATATGTTCCGGCCCAACCACCAACTATTCTGGTTGGCCAACTAGTCGGTCAGTTGGCCAACTGGCCGGCCGAACCACCAACTTTTAGGTTGGTCGTTCGGCCGGCCCAACCGCCAACTCAAAGTAGCTTTGCACTATAATTTATATGTAAAGATACTTTGAGTTGGTGGTTGGGCCGGAACATATATATATGGTCGTACGATTGGTTTACTAATAACGGAACCTATCTCCCTTGCAACTAAGGGTGGCAGGATGGTTTCTTAGACCGTAATTACACTTTAACTCCTCTCATGGCGTACTTGGTCTAATAGCGTACTTGACCTTCAAATGCCGATCAAACATTTCAAGCACCTCAGCGTACTCCGCGTTGTTCCCAGAATCAGCCTCCTGCATCCTCAACTCTGCATAATCCCGCGCAGTCATGTTAGTCCCGAACTCTTCTATACTATCATCCGCAGCATTCTTAAGTAGCCATTCCACGGCCTTTGTAGCTGCATGATCAGCGGCCCAGTGCAAAGGCGTCCTCCCGGCCTTATTTCGTGCGTTTATATCAGAGACTTTGACTAGTAGCTCCAAGCACTCTGGGCTGTTCCAGCTAGCTGCAGTGTGAATTGGCAAGCTGCCGTTTAAAAACGACAATAAAGGGTCCGCTTTAAGCTCTAGTAAAAGTACTTCTACGATATCTCGTCTGCCGCCCTTGGCCGCCTTGTGCAATGCTGTCTCACCTCCTTCACACTGCTCATTGACGTCTGCACCGTACTTCTCAAGGAGACGGATCACGTCGACGCTGCCGCAACGGGCGGCGGTATGGATAGGCGGTTCGTTGTTCTCGCGGAAGTCGCTATACTTTCGTACATCCGCGCCAGCCTTCAGCATCGACTCGACTACTGATGCATCCTGTCCCGAGCAAGCCTCTGCAAGAATCGTAGCATCCCCTCCCACAATTGTGTGACATGGAGCGTTGGGATCTGCACCTGCATCTAATAGTCGATTTACCACCATCAGAAACCCCCCTCTCACGGCCCAGAACAACGCTGGCCCTGAATCTAAGCCTTCTTCTAGGGCCTTTACGTCAGCACCAGCGTCTAGCAGTCGGTTCACTAAGTCTAGGTTGCCGTTCTTAGCAGCCATCGAGAGCGGAGCCATCATCCCTTTCCGGCCGTTTACGTTCCTCCACAGATTGGGGTCTGCACCGTGTCCTAAAAGGAAGTTGGCCATGGGAATATTTGAGCAAAACACGGCGGCTTGAATTGGGCTGCCAGAGAGGGCCACATCGCTTATATATTCTGTTGATAATCCAGCCATCATGTTGACATTCGTTCCGGCAGCGAGAACGATTTTCAATATGTCGATGTGGTCGCCAAGCACTGCTGCTTGCACAGGGCCGCCATAAATGCCAGTGCTGTCCTCTAGCGAAGCACCATGATCGATGAGAATCTGGACAATATCTTTATATCCTTCGTAGGCCGCAATTTGCAATGCTGGTCCGTCGTCACCACCCGCATTCACATTAGCACCGTGGGTAAGGAGCAGCTTTACCATTTCAGGGTTGCATGCCCTCGTGGCCATTGTCAGCGCAACAGAACTCCCTCCCCAGCCTTTGCCCTCCCCAGCCTTTGCATTGATATCAGCGCCTTTATCAATCAACTGTTTTGCTATCCCAAGGTGTCCATTTGCACAAGCCTGAACTAGGGCAGACTGTGACAAATCTTCCGGCCCCCAGGATCTTCTAATTGTGGTCTTTGTTTCCGACTTAGCACCTGTATCAAGCAAGTCTTCAACGAGATCCTTGTAACCAAGAGCGGCGGCGTAATTTAAAACATCGTCGGGAATGAACTCGACGAATATCTTCAGCATATCACGGTCTGTTGTTGCTCTGCTAGCTACTTCTAACCCACCTCGCGCAGTCATCCGACTTGCTTTCGGCAACATCAAGGCCACGCAGTCTTTGTAGCCTCGCGATGAAGCCGCTTCGATCGGATTCACATCAAATAACTTAAAGGAGTATTGGTTAGGACTAGCGCCGCCATTAATTAGCACTCGCACAACTTCAACATAATTCCGTCGAGAAGCTTCAGTTAACGCCGTGACAGGGAACGAATAATTTGCATGTGCGCCATGTTCGAGTAATACCTCCACAATTTCAGCATGTCCTGAGGCCGATGCAGCGATGATAGGGACACGATAGAGCCCACCGCCACCATTCACATCTGCTCCTGCCTTAAGCAAAGCACGGACGATACCAATATGACCGTTGCATGCTGCTGCCTGGAGGCCGGTTTTGTGAATTTCCCCCACCGCGTTACAGTCTGCACCGGCTTTTAGAAGTGCTAAAACGAGGGGCTCAAGGCCCTCCGAACTCGCATAGTATAGCGGGGATGGACACGTCTTGCGCTGGAGATCGGGCTGTCTCCATGGTTTGCTCGGGTCAAATAACTTACACCAGTTCCTGTATGGTTCAGTCTGTCCATTGTCTCGGAGAAGCTGCAAAACAAGGAGTTCTAGGCTCGTCTCCTTTGACGCCTCTTGGTAATGATACAGCCATACTTCTGCAGCGTGCCTCGATAGCGGACGATCTTTTTGTAGCTCTTCAGTGAGGGCCTCCTGTATGCTTAGGATATATGCCAATGAGGTTCTAGCTACGAAAGCGTGCACCTGGGGCTTGTTTACAAACAGAGTCGTATGGCGCATCCGCAAGAAGAATTCTTCTGATAGCAGATATTCCCTCACAGTGTAGTGTGCTAAACGGAGTTCAATACCCTTTTCAAGGGTACCATTACGACTCCGTAAGCAAGTTGTAGTTGTCGCGACAAGTGATGTGCACATTGCCGGAATCTCTATGGTTGGATCTAGAACCCGCAGATCCTCGTCATAGACTGGTCCACCCTCGGCTTCTAAGTCAACGGCGAGGACTTCCGCAGCTTCGCCGATCTCGAGAGGCTTTGGAGAGATAGCAAGCCACATTAGAATCTTAACGGCATACTCCCAGTGATCCTCATCAATACCGTCGATAGTTAATGCGTAGGTCTCTGAGAGCGATTTCGGTAGCGCTTTGAGTGCTTTTCTTATGTTTTTGATTGTAATGCACTTTCCAAGTATTCCGAGCTGGCAATGGACCCATCGGAACATACCACCGGCGCCACTGATAAGAGAATCTTGTATTTCCATTCGTAGACTGGCGGGCCATTTGGAGAGCTTAGGGTGGGTTTTCAATTGCTCTTGGACGAAACTGTAAATATCACCGCCCACGTCTTCACTTCTAGCTTCAACGGTATATGTAACCTTCGAGTCAAGAACTGCGCCAATATCTCCACTACGTCTACTTGCCAGAAATATGCGCAAGCCATCTTCTTGGAAGGATAGGATGTCATTAAGGATTTCAAGTAACTCTCCTTGATCTAGACACTCGTCGAGCCCATCTACCACAAGATAAGTATCATCATACTCTTCCGCAATACCTCGCAAGATCTCAACAAGGTCCTGTGTCGTAGGCTGAGAAATCCCATCTCGATAAACCGCCAACTCATCGCCATCGCCACAGTGAGACGTGGTCCTGAAATGTTTTCGAGCGCAACGTGATAGTGCTTTGGGCGGTTTTCCTCGCCACATCGAAAGTTGCGACACTAGTGAGCGAAGCATGACTTCCGATTTGCAAGTACTCTCATTGCTGAAATCAAAGTAGAAGTATGCTAACGCCACGTCGTGATTTCGGATATTGTGGGACTTGATGTGCTCTATGACAACTGAGCTGAGGACGCTCTTCCCACACCCCGGTATCCCATGGAGCCAAAAAGATGCCGTGGGGGCCTTGTGCCATACTCCGTACTCGCTTCCATCAAGGAGCCAAAGCCCACTATCCTTCGCTCGCTTCTTGCAGACGTCGTTGTGCCGGACGGAAGGATCGGGGGATCCTAGCCACTCCAGCATCACCTGCAGGTGTTCCTGTTCGGATATGTGGAAATTCGAGCGCCGATAGTCAAGTATCCTGTCCTTCAGCTCTCTCGTGTTCCTTTGGATCTCCACAATGGCCGCCGTAGAATCCGCGACAAGACCAAATTCTATAATGCCCTTCATGCGGTGTATGCTCCCAAGCGCCTCCTTGACATCGCGTTCTCGCAGTGGCCAGAGTAACTGTTCACCTAGCCGCTTCCACTTGGTGACTGGTTTGCGCAGCCGATCCTCGAGTTTCCGAAGGTCGCTTTGGAATTCAGAGATTGGCCCGTCGTTGACGCTCATATTCTTCAAGGAAGGCAGATTTACCTCGCTCCCGGCATCGTTGTTGTCGTCGACCAAATGGATAAGTTGCTCAATGACATTACGCAGGGACTGTGTTTCCCGAAAGATCTGCAGGACCTCTTTCTGCGCTCCCTGGAACCCGCGACGATAGTCATAACAGAGGGAGATGATACTACCACTGACCTGCGCGATTGCTATTAAACTCGCTGCTACACTTAGGGGGTCCGCCATGCTTGTTCGTGTGCGGCAAAGATACAGCTCTAGGAAAAGCGACTTCGAGCTTTGAGCGAGAGAATTGGGGGGTTCAGTTTGTGGTCATGGTGCAAGAATGGATGCGTATGCGGTGGTTGAGGCTGTGCGCTCCTTCGCAATGCCAAGGTTAGAAGTGCAGCTTAAGTTGGGGTAAGATTTATTAATAGCCACAATCTCTCAAGGGCATCTAGTACCACAGCCCATAACCCACGAACCCGGAGGATAGGGTGGTAACGATCAAAAAATAAGGGACAAGGGCAGCGAGGCTCACCTACTAGGCTAGAAGTCACCGATTTAACTATTATCCATATGTTTGCTTAAGATCACTAGATCAGTAGCTAGGTAGGTAACCACCAGCAAATACCCACTGTTATATGTTTTTGCCATTTTATTTTAGCTTGTTTTAGGCTAGAAATGTTATAATTATACAAACGTTAAAACGTGGAGAGAGAGAGGGGTATATGAGAGAGATGATATGGGGGTTTGTTCCTGGTGTATGCGTGGCGATTCGCCAGGGGGATGGAAAGGATAGTTGATCAAAGACCCTTTATTTAACTCCTACTCCTAATCCTATCTACATCCACAACCCGGCCTGCAACGCATACCCATGCCATACACCAACCCCATCCCATCCCATCTCGTGCACAACCCCCCAACCACGCATCAATCCATTCATACACCTCCTAATGCAGCACCACCCCACCACATTCTACACCCTGCAAAGCCGAAAAAAAAAACACCGACACCGCCAATGTCCTGTATCCCATGTGTGTTCTGTATGCCACATGTATGATATATGCCCCAATGATGCCAGTGGTGATAGTATACAGTCTACAAGACCCGATCCATCTCTTTCGTCATACCCCCTATCACAAGATAGCACACGGTAGCCGGGGGTAGAGAAGGCCCATACATCTCCATACCGCTCGCTGTGGAGGAGTGCCTAACCTCAGATGATGGTGATACGCGGGGTCCTAGCACGCGCGCGCCAAAGACGCTGAATATGCGCACAAAGGGCGGGTACGTGCATATGTGCATGTGTATCCAAAAGCCCTTCTCGTATTGGGACAAGGACGGACGGAGGCAGACGGACGGACAGGACAGGACAGGAAGGGACGCAGAACCGCAGAGCAGCTTACAGACCATGCTCGGTCATCTTGTGGTACGTCTCGTACGGTGTGCAAGTCCCCAGCGCGCGACGCATGTGCACATTGCAGATCTGCATTCCGTAGACGTAGCTGGCGTTTACCCATCCGAAGCTGTGTTGTTCGTTAGCTTCATTCTCACTTGACAAAAGAAAAAGAGACGAAAGAATAAAAAACTCACCCCTCCTTAGCAACCCCCTTAAAATCCAACCCCTGATTCCCATACTCGGCATCCACCCTATGCGGATCCACCGGGCGCGTAACATCATACTTCTCCACCACCACACCGTTATAATCCACAAACGCCTTCGTAATCATGTACAACCACTTATACGCCAGTCTCTCGGCAACATCCTGGTGTCCATATCTCTGCAGTCCCGTCCACGCCAACATCTGCTGCGGCGCCCATCCATACGGATAATCCCACTGCCGATTCGGTCTCTCGAGGCCGATCTCGCCACGACTGTGGCGGGTACCAGATAATAGTCCTCCAGCGGCCTCGAGGATCGGAATCGCCTGCGCGACCATCTGCTCGCCCTGTTTCGGCGACGCGAGACCAGCCCACATGGCCCAGAAGGTGGTAGCGGACTCGTAAGTCTGCTGCTGCTGCGACACGGTGTTGTAGTCGAAGAACATACCCTTCTCCTCGTTCCAGAGGTACTTGTTAATCGCCTTCTTGCGCGCGCGCGACGCGCGGTCCCACAGCGCCGACGTCTCGAGCTGGCCCGCTACCATGTTACCCGTGCAGAACTCGGCGGGGACGGCGAGCTTGTCATCGAAGTGGACGCGGATGATGCGCGCGATGTCGACTTCGTATTTGTACAACAAGGAGTTTAGATCGATGGTAGCGAGGTCAGCGCACGTGCGCTCGAGGCGGTAGGACGTGTCGTGCCCGGACTCGCGGACCGCGCGGTCGTGCATGAAGTACTCGTCGAGTTCTGGCTCGAGGATCTCGCGGTTGTTGAAGGCCTCGACGAATTGGTCAAAGGTAAGGTTGTGCTTCTTCGCGTACGGCTCGAGGATGTGGATGAAGTGCGAGGCTTCGGTTTCCGGGGGGACGCCGAGGCCCTCGGGACGGTAGCGCGAGAGGCCTGTGATGGGGTCGTGGCGGGGCTCAGCGGTCCAGACGCTGCGGTATTCTTTGATGGCGGCGAGGGTGGCAAGGCGGAGGAACTCGCGCGAGCCCTTTTCGTGCTGGATCTTGTCGTAGACGCGGGAGGCCATGTCGGTGAGGAAGGGTGGCTGCGAGCGGCACAGGTAGTAGGAGCGGTTCGCGTTGAGGATCTTGCCGTAGTGCTTGATGCAGAAGCAGAAGTTGATGACCATGGCCTTGGCTAAGTCGACCCGGCCGTTGACAATGAGACCGAGAGACTCCATGTAGCTATCCCATCCGTACAGCTCGTTGAAGCGACCTCCAGGCACGACGAAAGGCACACCTCTCAGCGTCATCTTCTGGGTGCTAGGATCGCGGAACTCCTCCATTGCCAGAGCGAGAAGCCCTGGTTTCGCGTTCATATCGCGGACACTTTCAGGGGTGATCTTCTCCGGCAGCCACTGGACATCCAACCGGACTTCCGGTCTGTCCTTGGCCACCTGGGTGTAGTACTCGAACTGCTCAGGTGCGCCTCTCGGGATATAAATCCTGGGTCTCGGGTCATCCGTCCAGTCCTTGGGGTCCCTGCCAGCAATCTCAATGACGTGTCCATCAATGCGCCTGGTTAACCTATCCCAGAAAGTGTCCTTAATGAGGCGGGTCAGGCGATTCACTGGGTTCTCATTCAGCCTCGACTCGTCCAGGACGATCATATGACGACCGGCCTCCTTGGCCAGTGACAGTTCCTGGAGGAGATTGGAGAGCATGTATGTGCCGCGGATATCATGGCGTCGGAAGCCATTGGAAGTGACGGTTCCGAGGGAGATGACCTGAAAATAATGTTAACCTCCGTAGTCGGAGCTGGTATAGAGCGGGTTGGAGCTACCTTCGGGCCATTGTCCTCGATGGTGATTTGGAAGTTATTGTCGGTGTCTTCCTGCTTCTGCAGGTTCTCGAGTGTGCTGTCGACGTTGATCAGGAACTTGAGTTGTCCGAGAGTGCTCTCATCTGTAGTTGGTGAGCAGGTAGTCAGGGTGGCGGTATACAGGCAACTTACCATGGCTACCACGGCGAGCTGGCAGTTCGGACAGCGTGTCCTCGCGGACTCGTGAAGCAGCGTAGTTCTAGATCTCGAATCAGCTACTACCCTCATCACACAGTATATCCCACAAATACGCACGGTAGAAAAGGTCGACTGTCTCCGCGGGTTCTGGTGAGCGGTGTTCTTCAGACCGTAGTAGGCGTCGGCAGGGGCGTATTCGCCGATCTCGATTGAAACACGCCTGGGCTCGTTTGGTGATCCGTTACCGTTTGACTCGTTTGGTTTATTCCCATCTGTCGTGCTCATCGTGAGGGGGATTGTTGGGGGTGAGGACTGTGGCGATGCCGGAGGCGTTGGTTTCGTCTTTTTTGATGTTGGTGGTCTCGGGTGTGGAAGACGTCACAGGCAGGACCGGCGAGCGGCAGTGTTCAATTAAGCAATGGGGGGAAGAAATACAATGCTCTGTTGATGTCGATATGAGGTGGAAAAGAGAGTGGCGTGGAGTAAAAGAGTTTATCTGGGGGATGTAGTCAGAAGATAAGAGGAGGGAAGAAAGAAAGAAGGGAAGTCTTTCATGGGTAAGCTATGGGGTGGTTATGGGCTGGTGTGATTTTATTTTGGGAGGTGTGACAGTCACTGGGTGGGTGGTGGAGGGTGGTTGTGGGAGACAGGAAGCTAAAAAAGCAAGGGTCTATGGTCAAAGTACCTGGAGGGTACTTTGAGTGCAGTACAGATAAGTAGCAATAGGGACAGTCACTCCGAGGTCACCCAGTCACCCCCATTCTTCACATCGTCTCTCACCGTCATACTGTGGATATTCATACTAATCATACCGCTATTAGAGCAATGTACCCCCATACTATAAAGTAGCACTAGAGTACATTGGTGTTAAATCCGTTAAATCCCCACTTGGCGGGTCTGAAAGGGAAGGGCTACTAGGACAAAGAGGACTTTACTATGCTACTAAGAAAGACCGACTGCGGGCTTGTCAGTGGTAAGTGAGTGAGTGGTATGTGGTATAAGTGGTATAAATGCAATAATTTTGTGGCAAGACGGCGGTAAGTCAGTGACCATTTCCAGTGATCATTTTTGCATCTTGGCGGCTGAACAAAGTGGTAACTGTTAGTGGTAGCTATTAGTGGTGGATATTAGCCATTGCTGTTGTTAGCTGCTGCTCAGACACTCTCTCAACAGTAAAACTCATTAAACTCGAGTGGCGTTGCTAACGGGTCTCACTTTGAGACAAAGAGAGACCGGTCGATGTGGTACAGTGTTTGTTGTAGTATGCAATTCACAGAATATGCTTTGTGTGTATGGAATGTGACTTGCAGCTTATCGTGAGATGCATGTTTTGTACATATGGGATTAGTCAGCTGAGCATACTGCGCTTCCTTTGTACAGTACAGATATTATACTATACTAGGGCTCATGCTACTAACTTGCAGTAAATATAGTTATATCATCTTCTAAGCAGCAACTCAGCCTTAGCATCAGCATTAGCATCAGCCTCAGTTAAATTTACTTTTGTACGTACAGCACAGTTCAGCACACCATAAAAGAAGCATCCTCCCTACCCCGTCCCTGCCTCCTTCCCCTGTCTCATCCCCGGCCACCTTCCCTGCCTCCCTGCTCCCTGCCTCCTTACATGTACCCTATCCCGCCTCCACGGATCCCATCCCATCCCATCCCATCCAGTGGTGTGGCGTGGCGTGGGGGTTCCTCTCCAAGAATCACGTCGCGTGCCCATATGAAATTTCTCAGTGGGAGTGGGGGAAAGGAGTTCATTTGTCCAGCGCTTGACTCAGTAGTAACCTCCCTTTCGAGTAGCAGACGGCACTGTGCTGGTGGTAGTAACTTACCAAACACCCGTTTGATAAGCTCAAGAATAAGGAAATATAAGTGAATATACCAATTATCTTCCGAAATTACATCATATCAACAAAACAGCCGCTCCTAACCCACCGCGGATCCCCTAATCCATGCTCCGCGCGGCTACATTCTCCATACCCAAACTCCCCATCCATCGGAACTAATCCGTCCACCCACCCCCGCTATGATGCCAAGACCCCGCATCAGGTACCCTGCCGGATATTGATTGATCCATCCCCCCGCCGCCGCCCTCCAGCCTTCCATCATTCCAGTAACTTACCAGCCACAAGTCCAGATCGTCGCCAGGCAAAAAGGCTAATGGGTCTATCGAGACGTCCACTCTCTCACTCTGTCGCCAGCAACTCCGCCTGCTTCTGCACCCTGTAACCCACTCCCCACTCCTGAAAAGGCCCAGACCACAGTCCATTGATCAACCCCACCATGGCCGTCTTCGTCGAGCTCCCCGACGACGACACCGCGCCCCAAGACGCCGCCGATGCGCGTTACGCCGCTGAATGCCAAGCGCGCGCCGCCTTCGAGACGGGCGGACTAAACTCCCTCTCCGTCGCTGATCAACCCGTCGTCGAGGTCATAAATGCAAACCGCAACTCCATCACCGAAGTCTTCGCATGTTACCCGTTCGCCCCCCTCCCCCCTTCCTCTACCCAACAACACATCAGACACTAAACAAAGCTAACACCTCCCAGCGCAGCAACAATAATAACCACCCACATCGACCTCAACACCCTCGACAGCCTGGCCCGCACCTGCCGTCAGATCCGCGAGAACCTCCTCCAATTCCGGTCCCAGCTCATCAGCCGCACGCTGCGCTGTAGCAACGATGCCGTGGCGCTGGATAAGAACCATACACTGCGCTACCGGGCGAGGGCAACGAACTGGTATTTCGTGGAGGAGGATGGGGTGAATACAGAGGGGAAGGTGGGGGAGTGCGCGAGGGATTTGGTGGGGGGGTGTAGGAGGTGTGGGGTTGTTGTTTGTAGGGTACGTCTCATTTATTTCCTCTTCTATTTCCCCCACCCCCCCTTCTCCAAAACCAAATCTTCGTCACCAAACCAGTTCGTTTCAGAGTATGGAAAATATAACTTACTCCCCGGACAGAACTGCGCAATCAAACCCCCCGCCCCAATCCTCCTCCACCACCGCCACCGCCGCCTCTGTCCAACCTGCCTCTCCCTCCCCCTCCCCTCCCTCCTCTCCCCCCCCCTCCCCGTCCCCGTCCCCCTCACCCCCGTCACAACCTCCACCATCTCCCGCTCCGTCTGCCAGTGCGCCTCCGCGGGCGTCTGGCTCTGCCAACCCTGCGGCCGTGGTCTCAAAAGCGCAGATAGCACGTATGACTCCATATGGCGGTGGCGCATGCAGTATTCCCCCACGCTGGCGGAGGGGAGTAGACGGTGTGGGAGGGCGGGGGAGTGTGGGGCCGCGGCGGTGGTGGAGGAGGAGGTGGATTGCGATGCGATGGATTTGAGGGAGGGTGGGGATGCGGTCGTGGATGCAGCCGGTGGAAGGGAGGGGGGTGTAGTTAGTCCCACGCCGAGTGAGGGGAGTGCTGGAGGAAGTGGGAGGAGTGTTAGTAGTGGGAGGAGGGGCGCGGGGTACGCGAGGCATGAGATTGAGGGGATTGGGGGCGTGGTGAAGAGGAAGCTGATTAGGAGGGCGAGGGTGGGGGCGTGTGTTGAGGAGTGGGAGGATGAGAGGGGGGTGGGGAGGTTTATGATTAGGGAGAAGGAGGGGGTGAGGAGTTGGTGTGGGTGGTGTTGGAGGGTTGTGCCGGGGGATGAGGAGAGGGGGGAGTGGGGGATTTAAAGGGGAAGTGGGCTGGGTTGGTACAGTCGTAGATGGCTTGTACGTTGGTAGCAGGGGGGGTTGTGGGATAGCTTCAGAGTGGCTGGATTGTCGGTAATGAAAACATGAAATAGAAGAGAAATTAGGTATAACTAAAGATAATAAACTATTAGAAGATACAACTGCCATATATTCTCAAGCTATTTGACTTTCTAGTAAGATCTTGCAATCTCGTATGTCCCAAGTATAAGTTCCTGAGTTGGGGTCGCACAGAACCCCTCCCCCGCAATCGCGGCTAATAAATAATCCGGCCCCAACATGGAAGCTTCAAGAAACTAAGCACTGAAGCTCTTAAACCCCCACCACCACCACAAACAAACACCTCGATCTTCAGCCTCACCAAAAACCACACCTTTCGAAAAACCTACCAATCCTCAACCCACCTCTCACCTCACCTCAATTCACCTCCCAGATACCCCCCACCAAACCGCAACCATGTCCAGCCCCCTCGTCTACTTCGACATCTCCATCGGCTCCAAGCCAATGGGCCGCATAATCTTCACCCTCTACAACTCCATCGTCCCCCTCACCGCCGCGAACTTCCGCTCCCTCTGCACCGGCGACAAAGGGATCGGCAAATCCGGCAAACCCCTATCCTACGCCGGCTCCACCTTCCACCGCGTGATCAAGCAATTCATGATCCAAGGCGGCGACTTCACCGCCGGCAACGGCACGGGCGGCGAGTCCATCTACGGCGAGAAATTCGCCGACGAGAACTTCGAGATCAAGCACACCAAGCCCTTCTTGCTGTCCATGGCGAACGCGGGGCCCGGGACGAACGGGAGCCAGTTCTTCATCACCACGGTCCCGACGCCGCATCTAGATGATAAACATGTCGTCTTCGGCGAGGTCGTGGCGGGGAAGTCGATCGTGAGACAGATTGAGAATCTGCCTACCCAGGGCTCGGATAAGCCGGCGCAGGACGTCACGATCACGGCGTGTGGGGAGTTGCCGGCGGATTATGAGGTCGGGGATGCGAAGAAGGCGGATGCGACTGGGGATGCGTTTGAGGATTTCCCCGAGGATGCGAAGACGGCGGATAAGGAGTTTGAGGCTGCTGAGATTGTGAAGATCGCTTCTGCGCTCAAGGAATACGGGAACACGGCTTTCAAGTCGGGAAACCTCCAGTTGGGCCTCGATAAATACCAGAAGGGACTGCGCTACCTCAACGAGGACCCAGACCTAGACGCCGCCTCCGCTGACGACAAGGCTGCCCTCCGCCAACTCCGATTCACCCTCCACTCCAACTCGGCCTTGCTATCTAACAAACTCTCCCTCTTCCCCGACGCCGCCAAGTCCGCTACTTTCGCTTTGGAGGTCCCCTCTATCACCGACATCGAGAAGGCCAAGGCGCTGTACCGTCGCGCGCTCGCGAGCGTGGGCATGAAGGATGATGAGGCTGCGCTGAAGGATCTTGAGGCTGCGAAGGCGCTGGTGCCGGGCGATGCAGCGGTGGTGAAGGAGTTGGGTGCTGTGAAGACGAGGGCGGCGGAGCGGGCGAGGAAGGAGAAGGCGGCTTATGGGAAGTTCTTTGATTAGATGGTGTGGGGAGTTGGATTGATATGGGTGTTTTATGGGGTTGGAGGGATGGATGGGGGAGTCTGATTTAGGGATTGAGCGTGGGGGTGATTTTTTTAAAAAGAGAAAAAGAATGGGGGAGATGGATGGTTATGTTGGTGGTGGAGAGAGGGCGTGAGGGAGCAAGAGGAATAGCTATGACATCTCATGAACGAGAAATGAGGGTAGATAGACGAATGAACATTCCCAATTTTCGAACCCCATGCACAAGCATGTACGTTAAACGTGTAACAAGTATTTCATTCCGATGAATCTTCACGACTCCAGGCCGCCACCAGCAGTGTAGCGGGTCAATAATCAACACGGCGGTGTAACTCCACAACAAAACAGACACCAAAACACATCATCTCCATCGAACAGTGTTTTTTACATGCCAAAGAATTAGCTCACCATAAACACTGGCGCAAATATACACAAAAGCGAAATAGCGCAGTCATAGGGTATCTTATTGCACTCCCCCTTTTCCCTCACCCCTTCCCCTCCCCGGCTCACCTACCTCTTACTCCTACCTCGCATACCAAAAACCAAATCCCCACACATAACCATTCCATCGCATCACCTCTCTCCATGTTTCAGCGTTTTGGCATTCCCACTTCTAGGCCAAAGGGGCAAAATAAAAAATAAATGGCAAAAAACATACAACAGTGGGTATTCGCTGGTGGTCACCCACCCAACTACTAATCCACCGATCTCAAGCAATCCTCTGGCAGATTGTTAAATAGGTGCCATCTGGCCTAGTAGGTGAGCCTCGCTGCCCTTACCCTTATTTTGTGATCGCGACTATCTCGACTACATTGACCACCCAAAAGTAGGTCTATTTTTTACAACACGTTGTATTACAACAGTAGACGCCTATAGGTGAGTGGGTAAGTATGCTAAGGAAGGTGAGTAAGGTGAGCAGGGTGAGCAGGGTGAGCAGGGTAAGCTAGATGGGCGAGAAAGGTGAGTACAGCCAAACTAAGAAAATAGTATAAAGGGCCTGCTACCTGCTTCATATTCTACAGTCTCTATCTGCATTATATATTTCCTTTCAAAGTATCTGGTACTATAGGACACCCAGTCTATACTCCTAAGGAGAGAGCTGCTATATCACAGGGGCAAGGTTTTATTATACAGACTACACTGAACAGAAGTCTGTTCAGTCGTGCCTTCCTGATTACCAGAACGGGTAATCACCGAAGGCAAGAAAGTTGGGGCTACCGGGGGGTGGCAGGGGGGGCCTTGGCAATTACTACTACGGGTAATGGTCAGGCCGAAGGTCAGGCTGCTAAAACTGTCTAATGTGCAGGTGCACGGGGTGAGGAGGGAGGGAGGCCGGTGGTGGATAGATCGTGCACGAGTGTTACGTGAGAATTTAGATGATAGATGTAGATAGATATGTTTTGAAATAGACACAATGAGGTCCATACCCTTTCTGTAGTGTAACTTACTGATGGCTCTGCAACGAGTAGAAAATGGGAAGCCAAAGCGTTCTGAAGTGGGTGGTGGTGAGTTCATTCAGTGGGTGTTTCTCGCCGCCCGCTGGTACGAAGGTTAGCTGCGCTGGGGGGAAGAGTGGAGCCACTGGCGAGCTGGTCTACCAGATAATTTCCACGCACGTCAGCATCGGCAATCGATACATCGATACGGCCAGTCGCGGGTGGGAAGCTTAAATGGACAACTATGAACAGCCCTATTTAGCAATGCAGATTACAGGGAGGCGTCACTGGGAACACTCAACATCTGACCTTTCACCTTCCGACTCTCTTCTGTGCATGAGCGGGCATCACATACGACCTTGTGAGGGAAACAATACGCTACAGAGAAAGCTCACGGGGGCGGTGGGCTCACAGGAGTCGAGCCCTCCAGGGGGTGTTCTCTCAGGAGAGAGAGTCTCTGAGGAGCTTTGTCCACGGAGAAGAAACGAACTCGGAGCATACTCCTTGGATGTACGAGCGCCCAGGAGGATCCTCCCGGGAGGATCCTCCTGGAGTGCTAGTCGGTTACAACGGTTATTTGCTATTAAATAAATATTTCATCGTTATATTCTTCCCAAGTGTAGATTAGGTACATGTTCCAAATGTTCCAGTCTTATCGCAATATGTTACACAATAGTCTGTCGAAGACCCGCAATCTCCGTATATCGAACAGCAAGATCCGAAAGTTGACTTGGAACAAGTGTATCCCGTCGAGCCGCCGCAAGTCCCATCTGGGGAAACGTCGATCGTTGACGTGCTTTTTGCGCTTGACGTCGTCGGGGACGCGCTGCAAGTGCCGAAGACGCCCGTGGTATCACAATATGTCGAGCAGAAATCGGACGAAGAGCCACAGTCCCCGTAGATGGAGCAACAGGCGCCAAATGTCGACCCGGAGCACGTATACCCAGTCGAGCCCCCGCAAGTACCGTCGGGCGAGACCACGAGCGGGGAGGTACTCTTAATGCTCGAAGTTGTCGAAGTCGGAGAGCAAGTGCCGAACTGTCCTGTCGTGTCGCAGTACGTGCTGCAGTAATCGGCGCTGCTTCCGCAATCCCCGTATATGGAGCAGCATCTTCCAAAGGTCGAACCGGCGCAGGTATAGCCAATACTACCGCCACACGTTCCATCTGGGCTCACGACGAATGTCGAGGTCGAGGTCGGGCTACTAGCTGTGCCTGTGCCCGTTCCAGACGTCGTGGTCGCTGCAACGGTAGCTGGTGCCGTGTACACGATACTCGAATTGAAGGGAACAGTTGGCAAATCATTGGGGTCAACATCACACACGCGATCGTACTCGTTGATCCAGTCTGTATCATCATACATATCTTGCGTTGGACCTGTTTCGGTGATGTTGTACTCTTCCTCGACGTCGAGACAGAGCGTGTACGTTGCTAAGGCGGAGTATACAGAGGCATTGACTGCAGCAAGGGTAGTTGTTGTTGGTGTGGGCCAGGAGTAGAAGAAATGTCTGACATTTGTGAGTACAATCCGTGAAGCATGTCAGAGAAAAAGAAGCTTACGTCGTGGTTCTATTCGCAGTCGCCGTAGCGTTGCGATTGATAGTTGACGGCAGACTGGTGTAATTCGCGAGCGATGCAGCCACAGTCGAATACCCAGAGTAAGTGGCGACATTCCCAACTGCTTCAACACACTTTACTAACATGTCAGTAATTTTCTTTAATTTGGTCCAGGAAGGAGGCTCACATAGGAGTTTCCAAGCCATAGGTTCCCACAATCTGGAGCAATCTGAGGATTTAAGAAGTAGAATGTTGCGTTGGTGATGCCGAATGTGGCTTCAATGGATCCGCAGGTATCGTTGGCAATAATGGTGTACCAGTAACCACAATCCACATTTGTGGTGCCGACAGCATTGGTTGGAACGGCACTGGAGACAGTCAGTGACCGCAGTGGGGGGTTAGAGAGATACGATTGAATTGTATAGAAGAGCAAGGGACAAGCTCAAACTCTCAGCGGGGTGTAGAGAATATCCCCCACTACATCACATGGCATGAACTTACACTGCAGTTGCGGCAGGCGGGAGGTAGAGTGGCATCGGAGAACCAGGAGGGCTTGACAAAAGTTAGTGCACTGAAACATGAATCTAGAAGTCTGATTTCTAACCTGATGCAGATGTACGTGCCAACAAGAGCAGCTAGATTGGAACATTGAGAGTTGATATTTGAGTTCCACGACGCCAAGTCAGCATTGGTGATCCCTGACGAAAAGGAGGAAATGATAGATGTGCAGGTATCGTTCGTCTTGACCAGATAGACGTCGCAAGTCGTTGGCAGACACAGTTTCTCGCCTGTACTCAAATAAGAGCAACCCTGATCCAGCCCGTTCAGGGAGGTCAGAGAACCAGTTGACACATTTTGAGAAGCAGAAATGTCGATACAGGAGTCATTTGCCAAGACTGTGTACAGCGCAACACTCGGGTCCGTCTTGTTACAGCGGTCTCCAGAGGTCACTGTGGGCGTTGCAGTCGAAGTGCTCGAGCTGGATGTCGCCGTGTAGGTAGCCGAGTAACCAGTGGCTGAGCAGCTCGATACTTGCGACTCAAATTCCGAGTTGCTGATTAGAGCCTGGCCCCATTCTGAGTTGACGATGCTTTCCATATAAGTCAGGTAGCATGTGCTGCAACTGACGCCGGTCGAAGAATTGGCGAGCGCCTCCTGGAAGTAAGTATTGCAGTACTCGCCAGAGGAAGGATCAGTCAGGCATGTGGTGCTTTGTCGCCATTGCATTTCCCTTCCTAGGTCCGCTGCCGTTTGGATGGTTCCGGAGATGTTGTATGTGGCCGTTGCCCCGCATACAGAATCAACGTTGGCAACATAAGCAGAAAGAGCAGTGGTGCAGTTATTTGCGCATATAAATCCCAGAGCGCTCGAAGACCATGTTCTGCCCAAGAGGTCAAAGTCAGTATATACTTCTACCGGCTAGGATTGGAACATTCTCACGTTGTGTCAGTTACTGCCGATCTAAGGTTAGCATAGCAGCTGACATCTGCCGTAAGAGCTGAGAGGCACGAGGCTGAAGCAGAGATATTGGCAAATGCTGTGCTTGAAGAAGTGTATATGTACAGCAAGTCGACCGATGGGGTAGACATGGCGCCGAAAAGGAATGTGGTGATATGGTTGTAAAGACAGTTGGAGGGGGATTAGAAGCCTCTTGGGTCAAAAAAGGCTCCTCGAGGACTCTCCGTCGACCTCTGAACTGGGGGATGGGGTTGGCACGACCTCGAAGTCGGTTGGGCATAGGGAAGATTGAGGAGCACCATGATCGTCTTAGTGAAGATGCAAGGTTCGTTGCTGAAATCTCGATTCCCATCTCCGAAAAATCTGAAATGCAGGTACAGCACTGTAAATCGAATAAGCTCACGCAGGTGCTCACATGAAAAATTCAGAAAACCTTGTCTCCATGTAGCTACAAGCAGAATCCTTCAGAATCCTTTGAACGGAAGCAATGCCAAGCTGAGCCAAGTCTCGATCTAAAGGCTTATCCAGATCCATCTCGGCGTATTATCCTTGACAATAGCGGGTCGTGCCGCCGTGCACGTCAGCCACTCACGATGTTCCCCTGAGAGGCTCGATTCCAAATAAGCTTACCTAGGCCACACATCTCCACTGGAATGTAACCTTACATCCACGCGGGTTCTGGCAATTATGGGTCTGACTTCAATTGCAGATCTGCCGGAGTTCGCACCTTTACAGCAAGTGTCCCTCAACCCCCCACATCACCAATACCAATGTCAAACTTGCACTTTGACCTTCATTTTCAAAGCTAGGTACAGAACTGTGTCTCATTTCCGCTCTTGCAAATTCTTCATGAAATGCCCCAGTATCACAACTAAGCTTCAGCTCTACGCGTAGGATTTCAAAGGATTCCAGCTTATAGCTCAGCAAATCAGTTGCCCCTCAGTCTGTCTTTGCCGTTTGCTCCTGATCCTAATGGTAGCTATGTCTTGTCTTCCTCACCTCCAAACTTCTTGAAAGTATACCGTCTTTACCTCATTGCCGCAGCACAATGGCGTTGCTTCCAACAAAAGCATCTTGGCCTGAACGGCTTTTTACACTCTTTATACTTCTTTCTGATTTACACATTACATCTCTAGTTTCTGCTCAGACAATCACTTGCAGCAAGGCAAGTCCTTGTGTAAACAATGCTTGCTGCAGTGTCGCTGTTGGGTCTACTGAAGGAGTAAGTTTGCCCATATGGAAGATGATATCCTCAAAGAGAAATCTCACAAGGGCGTTTGCTGACCGTTCCTCCAGATCTGCGGATATGGACCTTTCTGCAACACTACTACAACCGCTACTTGTGTTAGTAACTGCGATGCAAAGGCCGAATGCGGTAAATATGCAAAGATACCTGGAGCGACATGTCCTCTTTCTACCTGTTGTTCAGAATGGGGTTTCTGGTAAGTCGTTGTCCATCACTGAAATTCAAGTATTTTGCATTGAGAGCTCTCGGGCGCTGCTCTTTGGACAGCGATTGAGCCTGCATGCTTTCCTGTAGCATCCTAAATCTACAGCGCTAATTCATTAAATAGCGGTACAACGACTGAATTTTGCGCGGATCTCTGCCAAAATAACTGCTTTGAGCCTACTGAACCATCCTGTACCTCAAATGATGTCCTGAAGAAAGTGATAGGCTATTACGAAAGTTGGTCGTCAGATCGGGCATGTGACGGCTGGGGACCAAGCGACATCTCTGCCAACGGACTCACACATGTTTTTTACTCATTTGCCTTGTTCGAAGAATATGATTCCGACTGGAACGTGTATATTCCAGCACTGGATCAAGCTCAAACCGAGGCCGAAATGCTCAAACCTTTTATGGCTCTTAAACAGAAGAACCCTGGTCTAAGTACTGTTATTTCAGTTGGTGGATGGTCAGTAAATAACGTGCCCAATGTTCCTGTGGTGCTCTTTACTAAATCTAGTCACAGGTCATTCAATGATCCACCAACAGCAGGCTATTGGTCTACGATGTCGTCGACCGCTGCTGGTAGAAACTCTTTCGCTAAGAATCTCCTTGCATTTATGGTACTCTATGGTTTCGATGGTGTCGATTTGGACTGGGAATACCCTGGGGCCTCTGATCGTGGAGGAGACACGACGTTATGGGTAGACAGCGATAACTACATAGCCCTCATCAGGGAAATTCGCATGGTTTTCGATGCTACGGGAACAGCATACACGATTTCATTCACTACGCCTGCCAGCTACTGGTATCTCCAGACATTCCGGGTCAACGAAATGCTCTCAGCCGGTGCTGATTGGACCATGATGATGACTTACGATCTACACGGTGTTTGGGACGGCGATGACCCATATATCGGTAAAATAATCGGTTCTCATACTAACTTGACAGAGATCAAAGTTGGCCTAGACTTGCTCTGGCGAACTAATGTAGATCCTTCCCAGGTTCTCATGGGCATAGGATTCTATGGCCGTTCTTTTACTTTGAGTGACATTGGCTGCCAAGATCCCGGATGTCCTTTCGATTCAGCTGGTGTTCCAGGTGTATGTACTGCCACTGCTGGAATTCTTTCTTATAAAGGTAGCGTTTGTTCTGCTCTGTTCGCTGCCAAATCTGTACTAACAAGAACAGAAATCACTGCGATCGTCACTGCTGGAGAAGGTACACCCGTGTGGAATGAAGAGGCAGCTGTCAATTATCTGACCTTTGCCGACAATCAGTAAGACTTTCCAATTATAAACTTGCGACTCTAAGTCAAACTTCCAAACAGAACAACTGACATCATTTTCTATAGATGGGTTTCATACGACAATAATGTTACCTTTAAACAGAAGGTTGATTACGCAAACCAAATCTGTCTTGGAGGGGTCGGTATCTGGGCTATAGACTTGGATACCTATGACTGGCAGGCACTGAGTGCTTTGACAGGCAAGGATATAAATGGCGGCTCCCTTCTAACCAGCGGTGGGGACCCTACCGAGCTTGCTTCAGCTTATAACGCTTACACCGGAGCTGATTGCTATGTCTCTGGATGCGTTGACTGGAACACAGGGTCGTGCAAGGCCGGGTACAGCGTGCTAGACTATGTGCACTCTGGATCCATGGGTGTGATCGAAGATCCTGACAAGAATTTGTGCCGCAGAGGTGATGTGTCTGTTGAAGAGTCTACAGATTCACAATATCGTTTGATCTGTTGTCCGACAGATGCGATGCCAGTCAGCTGTTCATGGGAAGGAGCAGGAGCAGGAGTAGGATTTGCATTGTTCCCGCAATTCTGCAAGGGTGGCGGCTCTGGCTTCTGTGGCGCCGGAAAGTTTGAATTGATTGCAGACTCCTATACCGAAAGGACAGGAAGTACTCCGTGCATCTTGAACAAGCGATCTTTGTGCTGCGCAACGGATCCGGAGCTGGAACTCTGTTCTTGGACAGCTTGTGGTGACTCCTGTCTAGAGACACAGTATAAGAACCCCAACACTTCTGTGTATGGCGGATCAAGTAAGTGTTGCCCCGAACAAAACACCAAATCTGACTAATGATGTTTCTCAGATCTCAATCAAGATTCTGAACTCTGCGCCGATGGCGCGAATCCAGCCGGCCCCTCTTCATTCTGCTGTCCCAGTAAAGGCACGCACACTCCTGATCCATGCCAATACTATCCTGCTAACTAGTTATCCAGATACGTATACTGGCTGTGCCTGGTATGGTGACGACTACTGCACGAAAAGCTGTCCGAGCGACAAGATTCTCATTACACAAAGATCGGAAATTGAGGACCTCCAAATTGAGCAAGGTTTGCCAGGTGGCTACGATGAATGTGTCACTGGATACCTGAAATACTGCTGCGATCCTCCTACAGCGACAACAGACTGGCCTGTCAGTCCGACAGATTTGTTTGAGTACCCTGATACAACACACGTGAGCTACGAGTATGTCAAAGAGGATTCATCATATGACGACTGTATGTCTATATTAACTCCTCGTATTTTTTCTCATACGAATTACTGACTGTACTATAGATGATAGAGAAGAAGATGGCCCATTCGCCTTCGTGATGATTGACGGAGATACAGCCGCTTACAGCGAGTCACTGGTGGACCAGTGGGGCTTCCTCGATGATGACTTGAACCTATCAAAGAGAAAAATAAAGAAGCGCGACATGTTCACTAAACAAAACGACACATTTGATAATGTTGTTGAGACATACACTATTAAGTGTCTTAATCTTGCCGGCTGTGAGGGTTTGTTTGAGAAAGGGGCTTCAAATACCATTGTCAAGCTGCCCGACTCCATAGGTGCAGGACCTTATGCCAGGATTATAAGTCTGGAGCCTATCGGATCGACGAAGAGGTCAAGCAATATAGTGCCACGATCAGTAGGCGATACCTACAACTTGGTCGTGGATTATGATCTCGCAGGTGCCGCTGTGGAACAGAAGGGCGATGTTAACTTCAGAATCGATTACTCCAATCTCGTGGACTACTGGGCCGACGTCACAGACACTCCTGCGAAGAACAGAAAACGATGGTTTGGAGCCTTCAAGGCCTGGTTGGCCAAAGTCACGACCATGGTCAAATCGGATACGGGATTCCTTCCCTTAGAGTACGAAGAGAACATCAAACTTTTCCATTTCGCCAAAACCTGCCCAAAGACCAATCTCAAAACGACCCTCGATTTGGACGCCAATATACATATGGGATTGTATGCCCAATACGCCTACTACTTTGAGGGCTCAATTTTGCCGACGCCAACTTTGATTGCATCTTACGGTTACTTTTCAGTGTCACCCGCCGCCGCCGTACGTCGTCAGACTCCATGCTTTATTTTATCTTTCTAACCATCTTACTAACTACTGGCAGATCTTGATGACTCTTAGAGGCGAAGCCATCATCCAAACGAACTCAGATGTTGTCAACATCTTAAGTGGAATTACCCTCCCAGGACTTTCTATCAAAGGACTCATCAGCATTGGTCCAGAGTTTGATTTGACAGGTTCTATGGATGCTTCATTGCAGGTTTCTGGCGAACTTAACGCTGGTGTTTCTGTCGCATGGCCCAAGGCCGAAGTATTTTTCCCCCAAGACAGTGATGGAACTGGGGCAACTATACCCCCAGGGACTTTGGACGATCCAAATGATCCTGACAAGCAGCAGACTTTTTCAGTAGTACCCACCTTTGACGCAAGCATCACGGCTGTTGGAAATCTTGCACGCAAGTTATAGCACATCTTTCCTCACAGGAATTTACTGACAGTGTATTAGTGACTCTTACCCCTCAAGTCAAATTCGGAATATCTGTCTTAGGCGACGCTCTCATGAGCGGATATGTCACAGCAGGCGTAGCTAATACCATTACATTAGGACTCTCTGCTGGTGCCAGTGTTAGCTCAACCACTGGAGCTACTGCTGAGTTTTGTTATTGGGCAGACTATGTCTATTCTGTCTTCCTCTCTTCTGATGTCTCGTATGTTGGCCTCTCTTAACTCTACGTTGGGCGTGAACTGATAAAAGTTACCTAGATTCGCCAATGGACTTGCTTACTGGGGTAACTCTATAGAGTTGGCATCGCCTGAAGATCCCCTGGTTCTCATTGACAAGACATGCGTTGACTACTCCTCAACCCCAGCAGACAAGCGAAAGCGAGATGATGCAAACCTTGTCCCTCTCACTACAGGAACGCCATGCTTTGGGGGTTTGATATCGTGCGAGGACACCGTTGACAACACAACTTGTGCAGTTGGAGGTCCTTCTTCCAAGCGAGACACGTCAACTTGTTACCTGCCTCCAGCACTTTTCTATAACTGCGCCTTCTTTCAACCTGGGCGTGTTGTCAACGACAATGAGAATACTCGAGCTGGTGGTGCATACGAGACATTCATTAGTAAGTGGCGCAACCTTATCTCAACTTATACCCTGCTGCGACACGTCTGCTAACATTTGACGTAACAGGTATTTGCCAAAATGTTCGAGGATATCTCCAGGACAACAATAACGGTCAGACAATTGGATCCAACTGGATGCAGCTGACTTATCTTCCCGGCGGAGGGACCAATCGAAACGACGCCTGTAAGGATGTGTCTTCGGTCTGTGCCTTCACAAAGTCGTATCTGTGGCCGACAGCTGTTTTTGAGGCAGCGTTGACAGCCAAAAAGGATGACAAGGCCTACATGAACATGGCAGGGTACTCTGATTCAATTTCTTGCGATGAATTTCCCTTCAATGCTTCCGAAGAAGGTGGTTCTGGGGCGAACGCAGCATGTGTTACAAATGACCAGCAATTTTACCAGGGCCAGATCAATAATCTTGTTTCTAACGTCTATGATCTTGAGGAGGATAGCTTATGGTCACCTCGTGCTCCTAAACCAAAGTGGAACGGTGGCAAAAGACTCTACACCATAAATCTGTTCGATGCATCTACCAATGGAAACGATCTCTCTTCACCTTACGCTGGTACATGGAAATCGTCTGCAAATACTCCAAGCGGCGGTCTTACTCAGGTTGTGGGAGGTATCAATCTACAAGGCAATCCGCAATATCAATTAGGCGTTAACGGAGACGTGCAAAACGGTATTTGTATGACGATGCCACGAACGATGACCCTTGCTGCTACTCAGAAGTTTTACAAATTGAAGGTACAGAAATGCTTTATCACCTTTGAAACGCCTGAGGATTTAACAAGGAGGGGCTTGGATCCTCAAGATCCACAGAACTGGCAGATCAAATGTGTGTACAAAGTTCCCCCCAAAGCATTATTGCTGTCAACCCTCACAAATAAATTCACACTAACACCTTGGCAGCTGTCCAACTTGAAGATGATGACGAAGAGCTAATAAAGACGGAAAATGATGGCTTTGAGATGGATATCATAGAAGAGATTACTAAGGAGATTGAGGTCTTAGATATTGCGAAAAAGTATCCAGCCGAAGCAGTGATTACACCAAGCCCGAGATTGGGACCAGGTCATGTACATGGACGTAGACATTATTAGGCTGATAAGTAATTTTGGGGAACGAATTTTCTGAATTAAGTAGCTAAGTAACTATAACAATGTACTTATATTCTTAGATGAGTTCACTGCATTTAGTTAGTTGTAGGCGTAGTTTCAATGATCTTGTATGTCGAAATAACGAAATGATATCTGGGACCCCCCAGTTGCTGGCGATTCCGCAGTCACTGTCGATTCCGCAATCACTGTTGACTATAGCTATTATATTAGCGACTATTACCGTTTATACCATAGGAAGTCACGAAAAGAGGCAGAATGAATACACAGTATCATGATCAGAAAATTGTGAAATGCGTAGAAGACCATCCTCTCATTATGGTGAGTCTTCCAACTATATACGTAGCCCTGACACGACGCTGTGATAGACTACGCGCGTTAACCCGTACATTCAGTAAACTGAGAATGATCATATTCATCCCCTTTCCCCTCAGCCTCGAGGGCAAGATATCCCGGAGCATTCTGCTCGATCAGTGCTGGCCATTCATCAGGGCCCTGTTCAAGGTGTCCTGTAGCTTTCACATCTGCAAATATCTCTAGAATTGGCTTCGAGATATCGAGACTAAAACTCAGTTAGCACATTCTAGACTAGCAATTGGTTTGCTCCAAACTTACCGCTGTCCATATTCCCCCTCATCGACATCGGCATGGACCCCATCAAACCCAGCATTTCCTCGTATCTCTGCCAACCCTTTCGCCAACCCATAGTGCATGTTATACAGGTAATTTAACTCCAGAACAGATGGCCGCATGTTCAACACCACATCTCCGTTGGATTCGATGTTTACAATCAAAAGCATGCCGTCCTCCAAAGACCGTTGGTCGGCGAAAACCCATTGATTCAAACCCTTAAAAGTAACTGTAGCATGGACAGTCATATACATCCAATTGAAATCAGCATTCTCTACAAATCCTGCCTTCATGAAATCCTTAGGCTCTACACCAGCAGTCGCTGAATGCGGCGATGCCTCAAGAACGCCGACCTCACAGATTCCATCGTTGGAATCGTAGAAGTCGTAGGAAAGAATCCGAAGCTTGGTCCACAGGGCTCGATTGCGAGGTGTATCGAGAGGCGCGATACAAGTGTACCATGATAAGCTGGATACATCGCCCCTTGGGAAGTACTGCTTCACAGCGCGGTTATTCCAGACCGGTGGCGATTCTAAAGCACGTGCGTGGAATTGATCTCGCAAAGTCTGCGGAGCTTGAATCCATTCAGAGACGAGCGCTCGTCTTTGATTGGCTTCATATTCCTGGCTTGCTTCTCCGGATGGTTTGGGTATCCATTTTTCCTACGTCGATGTTAGCATAGTAGCCTCGGAGACCGTACAGTGGAAACAATTGATCGAGGGGCAAGATTTCACCTTCACAAATAGTTTCCAGCCATTAGTCAATTCGTCGACTTTGTCATCGGCTGTAGGAACTCCGTCGAATTTGACGTACGATGGAATGCCGCCTGGCCAGTATGAGAATGGCATATTGAAGTGCCAAGAAGGGTGAGGACGGAGGACGGCTGCGAAGTCAAAATTGCGAAGTGGAGGTGGGTAATAGTAGTGCGAGTTGAGCAAGGATTCAAGCGAGGTTTCGGCGCTGATCCCTAAGTCATGAGGGCGAATAAATATATTTGAAAGAGTGTTCTGACTACGAGGTTTGATAAAAAGTCAAGGAGAATGGCCAGTCCACCGAATTTCGTAAGGTAACAGTGTGTTGTAATTGCTCTTTCGCCTGCCGTAACTCCTACTGTACCGAACATGTCACAGTACCCGTTGGACGGGCAGCCAAGTTTACTTAACATGTCCGCTGAAGCTTCGCAACTACGAACGCCCACTACTTCGCGGAATATAATGGCCAATAGTATATCATTTCAGCTGCTTGACCGGTTAGACTATTAACCATAAATGGGGTTGCAATGGTTGCAAGGAGCTGGAAGGACTGAGAAGTTTGAATATCGTTTGTTTGGTTTTAGAGGTTTGGTTCCGTCGCTAAATCACGTAAACCTCTATATTCTGAATGATCCCAAAAATAGGAGCAAAGGCGCCCTTAATATGGTACGTAAGCTCAGACGGCTAAACTTCGGTGTTGATACGAAAATGACGCCAAATTGACGCCAAACTGACACGAAAATGTTGCTTCGCCTCACTCACCCTGCTCACCCCACTCACCCTGCTCACCCCCAGGCTCACCCTTCAGGCGGCAAGGGGCCGCGATTCCACGCTATGCCTATTGGCACGATTGAGACTATTAGCAAGAGGATACGCAGGCTTGTGTATGGCAGAGCGGACGGGATGCCCAATTCTCTTGAGTCTATGGTCGTATGTGACTGTTACTCTCATATCGAGCTACAACTAACTACTACCTTGCGGGCAGGAAACCCACAAACGAAGCAAAACAAACAACAGTGAGTATTCGCTAGTGGTCCACCACCCAACTACTAATCCACCAGCCTCAAGTTAGCCTGTAGATAATAGTTAAATTGGTGCTCTCCAGCCTAGTGGGAAAGCCTAGCCGCCCTTGCCACCATTATGTGATGGCGACCACCTTAACATTCAAAAAATTGGTGATGTATTTCAGACGCGCTCTACCGCGACATTGGATGCCTACAGGTGAGCAAGGTGAGCGGGGTGAGATAAATGGGCGATGAAGGTGGGTACTGTTGAGTTAAGAAAATGGTATAAAGGGCTAGTTCCCCGCTTTCATATTTCACGGTCCTCTGTATGCAACTTTGTTTATTTTCTTTTATCTGCTACCATGACTGGAAATGCCCTGCAACATACCGAGCTGGACAGACAGTATAGCTTGGCTACCTAGGTATAGAGTCTACGTGTATCAAGGCAATTCGGCGCCAAATTCCATGATCTTCCAAATGTTTACTACGTCTCTATTCCGCGGGGATATCTTTTTAAGGCGATGGTCAGGTGGTGATTTTAACAATGTGTGGTTTGCCACTCACTCACCTAACCCGAATTCAATATACAGAGTGTTTCGTCTGCTCTAAGAGAGTTACTCCACGGAGATACTGGAGTGGTTCGGTCATAAGTGAATTGTGACGTCACCATCTCCCCTCTCTTTATAACTCACACACTATCTATATTACATTCTTCCTGTCGAGTTACCTACCATCTAACCAGCATCCATGTGTTACTAAATAGATATCAAGAAAACAGCATGCCATCAAACAAGCACTCCATCGACGTCGCCCATGTCAAAGATGGACACCCGCGCAGTGGGCAAGCTGTGCTGGTGGACCGGATCTGGCCGCGAGGCCAGCGCAAAGACGAGGCACCATGGGACGAGTGGCTCAAGGCAGTAGCACCGACAACAGAATTACGCAAGTGGTATGGGCACGACCCAGACAAGCATGATGAGTTCGTCCGCCGTTATAGCATTGAGCTTCAAGGTGACGAGCCAGCGGAGGCCTTTGAGCATTTGCGAAAGTTGCACCAGAGCGGAGACTTGACTCTGATGACCGCCACTAAGGACCTGGAGACAAGCCAGGCTAAGGTCCTTGCAGAAATGCTAGCTTAGATTGGCGGCTCAAGAGCAGTGAGAGGGTAGAGCGTGGAGCACTTGTGGCATCTTTCCTTTCTGAGCAAGTATCGTACCGTGTACATGCTTATTGAGAAGGGTAAGTTTCCCGAATCTCCACAAGCTAAGAACAGAATCCTGACCTATTCACCGTCTAGTCCATATAGCGCAAGCACTACTCTACCATGGAGCACATTGACGGCTGATGTATTATCAACTAGATAAAAATAATTGCTAGGGGTCTTAGCAAACTACACCTTTCAGCTCAATCCACTTCGTGCAATGTGGCATTGACTATGAGTAATTTTCTTAGTGTCACGAACTCTATCAAATATATATATTTTTCTTATTTTAGATAACTTTGCAGCATGTAATTTCCTGACCGAGGGAGCACAAACCTCCTTTCCCTATTTGGAAATCAAATTTCCAGTAACGCTCGTGGACCTACGAACTCGGCTCGTTCAAAATCAATCCCAGTTATTCATGGTAGATCCAAGTAGATGAGACTGATCTGGACTATCTTGCGCCTTTACGGTCTGCGAGTAAAAATTGGCAGGATCGAATCTCTCAAAGCGCTCCCACAAGTCGTAAAAAAAACAAGCGCGATCTGGAGCACAGGACGAACTAGAACGTCCCATCCAACTTACCTCGCCTTGTTACATTTGATAGGTGTGGCTCTGGTTCTGCAATAACAACTGTGCTTAGCCGTTTGATTTCATACAAATCTTAGAAGAGGAAGAAAGATTGTAATCCTCTTGCGACTAGGTGTAAGACACAGTATAGAGGCGATGGATTGCGTGGGGCTATCTAGACCTGGCGTTACAGTAGGTCCACTGTTTGTGGCTATTAGGTGATCCGCATTATCTAATAGTGCCTTAGGACATGGACATTATTAACATGAGGAGATGGATTATTCAATTTAGGGGCCAAGTCTAACGCGAAAAAAAAATGTGTGCTACATGACGCAGCGTTACAGGGGCGTGGTGAAGAGTTAGAAGAGGCACAGCGCGAGAGCGGGGATGGAGAAATATTGTTCTATACTGAAATTTAACTGAATATTCTTAATTTAAACACCTTGCACCTTATTAATGATTGCTAGCTGCAAATATTTGCTCCCCTGTTGACTGTGTTGAGAACATGCCTAGCAACTGTCATACTAGGGACAGACGCCAACTGTGGTGGTCAGTTAACGTTCATGTGCTTAAGGCTGTAGTTATCCAGTCGCGTACACCTGTTAGCAGCCTCAATGTAGCTGATCAGTTGTCTGTCAAACGACAATTGTAGCTGAGAGAGAAGAAGTATCCCATAGAGCAGGACAAGCTGCATGTAGAAGTAAGAGGCAGTCCTGCGCGTACATAAGCCGTGAATAGAGTCGTTAATGACAGGGCATAGTTCAGATATCTGCTATGAACCACGCCGTCCTCATAGCAAACAGAGGACGGAGGAGGCCATCCTAGTTATCTATAGACATTGGCAATTTTGATATATCTGATATGGTAGCTTACGGCATTACGTCTAGTGAACTTTAGGCGATGTGCTTTTAAAGATCATATGAAATTTAGGTAGATGATGATATAGTAGCTATTAAGATAGAATATAGGTAGATGATGATATAGAAGCTCTTAGGGGCTAGGAGATTAACACTATAGTTATAACGTCTATGTTTTTACTATCTTAGATTAAAAGCATAAACAGCTAAACATTATAGAACTACCTATGCTTTAAGTCTTTAAATAAGGAATGTATTAGGTTGTTTATAATTCCCTTAAGAACATATATAACTACCTCTTTCTTCTAACACTTTAAATTTTATAGCTTAGTTATTTTACACTACTAGGGACTATATATGTAGCTTTAATATTATTACTAATAGGATCTAGGATAAATGCTATATAGTAGTTAGGGTAGATATAGGCTCTTAGCCCTAGTGTACTATTATCCTTAGCACCTACTATAATAGTAGCTATATAGAAAGCATCTATAGCATCCTTATCTATATTAAACTTATTAGTAGATATAAGGGATTATAATGCTAATTCTAGCTTACCTAGTGTACTAAAAGTAATATATACTATAGATTTAGCATTACTAATAGTAATCTACTACTTAGGACACTAGCTACTAAAGCTAGTTATACTATTAGGGAAACTTACTAGCTACTTAAATTTTAAAGGCTTTAGTGTCTATATATAGAAGTTAACAACTATATAGTACTTAACTATACTAACTTTAATAAGAGTGTAAGTAATAACTATTATAGGTAGAAAGATACTATTTTCTTAGTATAAGCTAGTAATTAAGTGTTATAGAATAAAAGATGCCTACTTAAAGCTATAGTAGAGAGCTTACTTATATATTATAGGAGTAGTATCTTAATAGCTCTATTACCTCTATAAGGATACCTCTTTACTTAGGTTAGTTATAGTTATTATAAGGTAATAAGTAGACTTAGTACTATTATAGTTTATTTATAACTATAAGCCTTAGGTACATAGTATAAGGAAGCCTTAGGTAAATAGAGAGTTAGCTAAGTTAGAGGGGTTTTAGGTATTTAAGGAAATAGGAATAGAGGGTTCCCCCTTTATCTTTTTTATATCCTTTATAGTAGACCTATAGGATTATACTATAACCTATCTAACTTATACTCCTATATGCTATTTATTATAAGTAGTGTCCTATGTCCTTATATAGTATAAGTAGCTATATAACCTATAAGAGATGTTTCTTATGTATTTCTTTCTATATCTCCTTTTCCTATATCCTACCTAACCTACTATATACTCTTATATACAAACAAGCTCTACTTTAACTACTAAGAATATGACGTTAAACACTTAGGGAAGTAGCCCTAAGTTGCCTTATTACTTACACTTTATAAGAATTCCTTAAAAGGCATTATTGTATCTATTATAAGACTATTATCTAAAGAAAGTATATTTTAGTATAGGTTAGACAAGAGTATGGATCTTTAGAAGGTATTTAATTATGTAATTTAGAGTAGTAGTGCCCTTTTAGGCTTAGCTGGGCGTAATAAAACAGATAGATAGACCATAGATGAATTTGCACGCTACAGCAGCTACAAAGCTGATGACGATCTCCTGCATGGTGGGTAAGACATTAAGAGCTTCGATAAGGCCCCATTATAAGTATCAGGTATACTCTGCTTTATGTCTGCTTTAAGTGCCTCCATTCAATTGTGGTGGCAATCCCTACACGATCCCGACCACACATCGGATGATAAATATAGTCCATCAAGTGGAACAGGTGGCGGCGACGACTGAAGTCCAGTGAAGATGTCATTGGCAGACCAGTGGCCACCACCAACACTTCTCACTGCTGCCACGACCCACCGTCGACCTTTTTCACCACCGATGCCTTTCCGCTGCCTAAAACTTTTGCTACATAGCCCCAGCATACTCTTATTCCCCGTCCCAAATCGATAGATATCCGCTGTGAGCCGGGTAATCTCACCCATGTGCTGCAATCCGTGCAAGGCCCATGAGGAATAGTTCATTGCGCTTCAGCCTGTGATTTATGATACAGATGGTCTAGCTATAAACGTAGATTTCGCTGTCAACTCAGTAACATCTTCGTCGCCATCGTCGCCTTCTTCTTCATCAACGCTGTGGCGGACATCTAGGGTGATCTTTAGCTACCGTGGGCCATGAAAAAGATAAAAGTATGTAAATTTATTAAGTATACATGCAATATACACATCTCCTCCACACCTTCCAAATAACATCCAACCCGAAACGAAACATAAATGCCAAAAACGCGCTTGTATCCCAGAAGACCCATTTCCAAACGCCCTCCTACTCCATCCCGCTGTATAAAACTCAAATCCACTACTTCACATCGCTCACTTCACTGCTACCTCACATCTCCATCCTCCCAGCCGTGCTCTCACCCCCTCTCTGTCCTCCTCCTCCTTCCAACTCCTGTCTCCCTTCCATCCCCTGTTCCACTGGTCTCCTCTTCAACCCAGCCGCAGCACTCCTACTATCCAGCTCCCCTGGCAAAGCAGCCTGCGCATGCAACTCCCTATACTGCGCGGGTGGGGGGGGACTCCCATACGGCGGCAGCGGCGGCGGCGACATAGGACCCACCGGCACCGCGCTCGCCGGTACCGGGCTTTGCGTCTGCGTTTGCTGCGACTCAGCCTGGGACTGAGCCAGGCCATTCGGCGTCGCCGTGCCAGGAGCTCCCCCCTCGGCGTAGCCGGAGGATGCCAGGTTGCTGTTGGAGTAGCGACTGGAGCCGACATTTCCCATTTCCGGGCGAGCGCCGTGTGGGGAATCGTAATACGCCATCCCGGTGCTGACGTACATTGGTCTATTCTCCGGCGGCTCGATGATAGGTGGTAGGTCAAACCTCGGTGTTCCCGCTGCTTTGTTTAGCTTGTACCGTTTTACGACGCTCCAGGAGAAGAAGAGGGCGAGGATTAGGGCGATGCCGCCGATGACGATGCCGACGATTGAACGGTTGCTCAGCTTGACGCCGTGGTTGGTGGTGCTGGTGTCGTTGTTGACGGTTGTGGTGGTTGTGTTGGAGATGGCCGTCGAGGAGGAGCCGGATTGGGTGTAGGTTGGGTATTTTATGACGGTGTCAGAGACCCGAGTGGGGTTGGGCGCGCGATATGCCTACGCCCATTTGGGAGGACTGTTAGTGTTGTCAGCATTGATGTTCGCGGTCTGGGTGAGATGAGGGAAAGGGAGAGGGGAGGCGTACAGCTGTCAGGATCTCGGTGGCGGGAACCCCTTGATCGGCGACGAGACAGACCCCCGTCGCCGCTGTAGGGGGCTATAGCGACTAGTCCGGGTTCACAGCAGAAATAGCGAGGGGAGTAGGGCCAGGGATACATTTCCATTGACTGGTCCGCGCATGCTGGGAGTGTAAGAAGTTTGTTGAGGCAATCCACCGCTGCACAGTTCGTCAGTGTCCGTTATTGAGCGTAGCGCAGGAGAACGAGGAACAAACCAGTAGGGCAGCAGTACGATCCATATCACGTTCCAAAACACGTCTCTCCCGTCGGACAACAGCTGTTGTTGCTCGTGCCGCATGAGCTGGACCACGCGCCGCTGCAGATGTCGGTGGTAGACCAGGCCCAGCCGCCGATGTATTCGGCGCGAGGATTGATGCTTTGGTCGACGGGGCGGGGACGATGGGCTCCGGCGTGGGAGGTAGAGAGGAGGGAGGCGAGAGTGAGCGTCGAGGAGCGCATTGTGAGGCGGCGCGACGTGCGCCTGGTGTGTGTATACTCTGATAGGCTGTAGGGGGTTGACGACAGTTGATGGATGTAGTGCACGGCGTATTCATCGAAGAGCGGGTTGGAGAGCAACGGAGATTTGCTAGATGGAAGCTTCAGGTCTACTAGTTACTGTCAGTGCTCCATTGTTCTTCACCCGTTCTTCTCAACAAGGATTCAGTTTGCAGTGAGATAATAACCTCGATTCAAATTTCAGTGTCTTGTACACGATGCTTTGTTCTTATGCCTCAAACTTAATTGACAAAGTCCAGTGAAACAGCCTCGCCGATCATAATTCTTGAGCTCAGTTTGAATGGTTAACGCCTTTCTCACAGTGTTGCTTGTGGCTGAGCTGAAAATCCATAATAGAGAATGATAACGTTCACTGAGTGGCCATGGTTTCGCATAATGATCAGCAGCTAAGATTCACTGACTCGGGCATGGTTTCAATATATCACCGCCTTTTTTCACTCGGAGATACTGGCTGATGTCTTGTTGTTGCCTTAGATACATTGTGTGTGGTGTCATCTCGCGAGAAGGTCATTAACTTAACTTAGTTTGAGTGGCCCTCGAGCGTCTGCTGCGCCACTCCCATAACGACATCCTAGAGCCGCACCGTCCGACCCAGACACGACCTGCGTGCCGTCTGGCGAGAGGACCACTGATTGAGGCGCAGCATAGTCTTGGCTTTGCTTTATCCTTACTTTTGAACTCCTTAGCTTAAAACCTCGCGAGACTTAACCTTACTAGAACCTTATCCTGCCCTTTTAGTAGAGAGTACATCTACGGGCCTCGTGCCTTTGCCTTTTCGCATTTATCTTCCGGATCATCGAGTGCGAGCACCATGGCACACAAACGAGCCCATAACAAGTCTCGCAATGGATGCAATCAGTGCAAGGCAAGGCACGTTAAGTGCGATGAAAGAGGGCCGCCTTGTACGGTTTGTGTTTCTCGACATACCGATTGCCATTATTCGCGGCCAACTGCATCACGACGTTCCGACTCTCGGGCAATTACAAACGCCATCTCCGACTCCGCGAGTGACGGGCGTACTAGTTCCCCGATCAATATTTCCTTGACTGTAATGGACTCGACAGGCTTCAGCAATGAATCTTTGCCGCCATCGACGAGACTGAGAGAACTGGAGCTGATGCACTATTGGTGTACTAAAACATGTCACAGCTTCACAAGCAGACTCTCTGATTTGTTCCAAGGCTACGTTGTGGAAGAATCAATCAAGCATGACTTTCTCATGGAATCCATACTTGCACTTACTTGTCTTCACATCGCCAGCAAGCAAGAGGATCAAATTTCTGCAGCAAGCTATGCTAGCGAAGGGCTGCGATATCAGAACAACGCCGTCCGACCCTTCCACGCTGCTTTGCACAACGTTACTCCATCAAATTGTCATGCGATATTTGCGTGCTCGGTAGTGACTATGGCCTGCACTATTGTGTCACCACTCCTCCCAACTAGCAATCACGAGAAAGTTACATCAACAATAGAAAGCTTTCTGCCTCTTTTTGATTTCGTCAAAGGAATTTCGTCAGTTGTCTACATCAGTCGCGAATGGCTAGAAGCCGGGCCTTTAGGGGCCATGTTCCACATGAAGGCATTCGGAGCCCCTGATGACGTGGCTACAATACGGCCACCATTCCAACGCCTTAGGGCTCTCGTGATCAGCAACACAGCTACCGGCGAGATCAGTCCAATTGTACACGAAATTTATCTTCAGACAATAGACCAGCTTGAGGTTGCAACGATCAAGAACAACACTGTACCGTGGTTGGGCTTCGTAGGCAACGAGTTCATAGAAGAATTGCGGATGAGACAGCCTCTAGCATTAATCATTTTCATGTACTGGGGTGTTCTATTGAATCGGATGGAGGAGCTCTGGTGGGCAAAGTATTTAGGGAAAAGGCTCATAGAGGAGTTGTCCGAGGACTTGATTAGGCGTGGGAAGGAATGGGAGAAGGCTACTAGATGGGTTATGATTCTTGTGGATTCTGGAGCGACATTATCTAGCGAATTTGAATCAGACAAAACTAGAATATTAAGATGATATGTATATAAGAATCAGTATACAGAGGGGTGTATAGTGTAATAGAATCAATTGAACTACATAATCTATCTACGGGTTCTACGTGCCACTCATAGGCCGGCCTAAATAGCCAGCTTAGGCTTCGCTGATGCTCCGTGGAGCTGGTGCAGTTAACCAGACTTTCCGAAGTCTGGTTCAGCCCTAAGGTGAGCCTCCGAAGCCGGTTCAGCCCAGCTTCGGGCAGAGTGCCTTGGGTGGCTCTGTAGCCCCCCTGACTCGTAATACGCGGCCCGGCGTTTCACAACACACCTTAGTTGACTTGGTGTCACGTGATGAAATATACCTCATCTGGTCGTATTTTCTACTTATATCTTCTATTCTGGATAATATGTCAGTCACTAGTTATATGGCTCCGCTTCTAGATTGAAATCTAGATTTTTTTCTAGTTTTCTAAATGCCCGATATCCCGAACTAAGTAGATTCGTAGCCAATCAGCTATCGCACAGTATATTATTGACTAGTCCATTATAGTGCATCATTCCTTGATTTTCAGGCTTAGATCCCTTGTCTCTTTTAAACTCAAACGCAAGCGAGTGCGCAAACGTATGCGAGTGCGCAAACGCAAGCGAGAACGAATGCACAGAATGCCTCTAAGTTAACTAATCACAATAACAAGATGCGAAATTGCGATGTATCTGAGATTTTCGATGGCTCTTGGCATCAACATAATGTATGGATACCAATTAACTTGAATACGTCTCCAGGCGCTGATCCCATTGTTAACAGGCTCGTTCCCGTATTCTCGTTCTGGCTTTGACATCGTAGCCCACAAGCCTGATCGAATTGTAGCCTGAACGAATTGTCTGTCATCATAGAGTTCATGCATTAGTATTAGTCGCGAAAATTGCTGAGCATTCGTTCCCGTTTACTCGCACCCAGCTCTAGGAATCTATAATTGGCATCGCAGTAGCATTAACGTCTCACTGAGGCTGAGCATTTGATAGTTATAAGAATCATTCCTTCTCCTTGCAACTCCATTCTCCTATCAGTATCACCCAATATTGATTTTTTCAGACACCCTCATAATCTTTATTCAACTAGATCGCTTCCCCTCCTTGACTAATTTGCTTCATCCAATTTCATTTTTTTCAACTCAACACATTCTCCAAGCAGCTTATCGAAATGACACAGGAGTCGCGCTGGCCTTATTCCCCTTCCTTAGCTGGCGGGGCTATCATGACCGGTATCTTCGCCATCTTGACACTCCTTCACACGGTTCGCCTCTTCAGAACTAGGACCTGGTTCTGTATTCCATTTATCGTTGGTGGCATCTGTAAGTTTAGTATCCCCGATATACACTCGTTCCTCTAACTCTCTGCTGCAGTCGAAACTATCGGATATGGCGCACGCGCCGCTAGCAACTCTAATCGAGAATCCCTCCCGTTATACATTATGCAGGCGCTGCTGATTCTTCTCGCTCCAATCTTGTTCGCTGCTTCGGTATACATGATTCTAGGACGCCTGATCAGGGCAACCGGAGCTGAGTCCTATGCCATAATACGCGCCACCCGTATCACCAAGATCTTTGTCGGGGGAGATATTCTTTGTTTCTTGGTACAAGCCATGGGTGCTGGCATGCTGTCTGGTGCCGATTCCAAAAAAGGGAAGGACAGGGGCCAGAATGTCATTCTTGGTGGACTTATTCTCCAGATCATCATATTTTTGTTGTTCCTTTTGGTTGCTATAATCTTTCACAAGAGGCTGCGTAATCGCCCAACCGGCAAAACTCTCGACGCTTCTATTACCTGGGAAAGGATGTTATCCCAACTGTATATTGTTAGTGTACTCATCACTATCCGCAACTTGTTTCGTGTCATCGAATACGCTGCTGGAGGTATGTTTTCCTAAGATTCTGCATTTGTTATAATCGTTAATAAAAATTTCCAGAGGATGGCTACCTGCTGCAAAACGAATGGCCGATATATGTCTTTGACGCATTGTTAATGGCGACTGTCCTTGCCGTCTGCAATTTTTGGTATGTAGGAACGATGAGGCCTCGAGAAGACGACATTGATCTTAGCTCGGCTTAAAGAGTGAAATTCGCATTTCACTTCAAACTGAGCTCTCGTTAATGTGTACTTTCCGGGTGACTTGGCAACTAGGTACCTGAATACAGGAGTCTAGATGTCTAAGTTACCCAGCGCCGAAAAGTCAACAATCAATTAGTGACTATTTAAAAGAAGAAGATTCGAGGGTACTATGGATATTGATTCAAAGAAATTATTAAGAGTAAAATAGATTTTGTATTCTTTTTAGTATATTATTATTATAATACGATCTCACTAAAACTTTGATTTTCAAAATACATTTTTTCCGCAAGGCTGTCTGCGAGCTTACCATCTCGACAGATAAGATTATATGAAGCGGCAGATATTCTCCAGAGGAAAGGACTGAGATTGATCTAAGAAGAAGACTTACGGATGCCCGCCGGCGAACCAGCAGCTGAAACAGATAGTAGATGAAAGGTCCATATGATGTCTTCAGGGACAACTGCAACAGGTTATACGTACAATCACAGTTCTATAGTGTTTCTCTACGAGGCCGTACGTCGGCACGCACCGACTCGCGCACAGCCTGCTGCATCCACGTCAGGAGATCGCCGGGAGTCTGCTCATCGATGACTGAGATGGGCGCCTGCATGGACTTGACGGCGAGGGATTTTGCGCGCATCAAGGTCAGCCAATACACGCCCATGACGCTGGCCGTGGCAGCCGCAAGGACGAAGAGCAAGATGACGGGCCATGGAACGCGCGCCCGTGGGGCTAAGCAGCCTTGAGTGGGGTCCATGGCGGGCGCCTCGCTCATATTCCACGCCGAGCCGCCCATGGTGACGATGACATCGAGAACCTCCACCATGCCGAGCGCAGGGTCGCTCTCCTCTGGCTCCGCCCACGGCTGTGGAGAAATAATCATCTCCTTGAGCTCGTTGCACCAGCTATCGATCATCGTGTCTAGCCGCGTTTGCGCCAGAATCCCCGTGATGGAAGGTGTGTCCATGATACACTCGTACACTCTGTACGTCTGCTCAGCCTGTAGGTTGGTCCCGTTTGAAGTCTCAACCGCGGCCCGTAAATCCCACGGCCTCCCAGACGCCGCTAGCTCAGACTGAGTCCACACGACGCCTTGCCCGTAACCAGCGTTTCCGTGAACAGAGCCACAAGTGTAGGAGAAGGCAGTAAAGAAAAGCCCTCGGGCTTGTAGATCTAGAAGTACGTCCGCGGGATTCGTGCCCATAGGATATATCACGGTCTCGTTCAGGTCCTAGCACTTCCATCCCCCGACGGTGTCAGCCTCGTCAAAGTTGATATCGCTGTTAACCTTGTAGTAGATACCACCCAAACCACCATTACTCATGCTTATGAGTCGGGCAGCGCTAATCATCCTGTAAGTAGGGCCGAGGGGCGAAGGCTCGACGAAATTCAGATCAGTGTGGGCTGAAAGTTGCGTCACAGTGTACAGCCCGGTCGTGTTGAAGGCACAGCGGCCGGGGACCATGGTCGTAAGCTAGAATATAAGGCTTTACCTACTTCCTATTGTTTTCTCTATAAATAATGCTACTAATCCCTCCTCTAAGACTAGTAAGTAGCTCCTCTAGATATATAGTAGAATACTAATTAATTATTTAGATATAAAAACAATTCTAATAAACTAGTAGGTAATAAGGATATACTAGCATAGAGGTAATAACTTAGGCTAGGTTAATAGGAATTATAGATTCTTAATTTTAAAGATACTAGTGCCTATGCCTACTAGGGCCCTTATAGCTACCTTCTATATACTTTATCTATACTACCCTTAGGCTAAATCCTATAGGATCTAGTCCTATAACTACATCTAGTCCCTAGAGGAATAACGTATAAGAGGCAGTTAAGGGAAAATCTAGCTATTAGATAACCTTAGGAGACCTACTAGTAGAATTAGCAAAGTGATTTAGCTGTCTTATTCTACTTATCCTACCTAAAAATCTAATAATGTTAGAGTAAGTTATTCTTACTTAACTACTAGTAAGTCTTACTACCTTTTTAGCTAATTATGATTTAGCCTTTATTACCTTAATTAGCATTAGATTTATGTTTTTATAGATTATATTAACTTAATTCGCCTAGGTTTAGAGGAGAAAGTTATAAATCTATCTAGCGTCCTCCAATAGAGAGTAGACACTAGCCGCCCTCTATAAAGGTAACTGCTCGACATATTAACATCTAACTTATTGTTAGAGAGTAGAATTAGACCCCTAGAAGATCTAGTATAGTTCGCTAATCATCCATCTAAGTTAGACCTAGCCTAGGCGGTGACTAGCCCTTCATTTGATCAACTACACGCTAATAACCAGTTATCGCATCCCTAAAGGATCGTGACGTCAGTAGAAGGCATACGTGTAGACATTAAAAACTCTCAGTGGCAACCACCTGGGTGCTGGCCCCTCAGCATCTCTTGGAAATTCTGATGAGCAGTCCACTAGAGATATGATGGATTACTTTTCCCAGGACGGTGATTGGCGTGAACAGGGGTACACTGACGCGAAGGAGCGTGCGGACCGGCCGTGGCCGGGGGAGGAGGGGTGTGCAGAGCGCTTTAGGGCAGCGGAGGTGCGAGTGCTGGGGTGGGCGGGGGTGGATGATTGTAAAGGTGTAGGCCCAGGGTCACGCGGGAGTTCAGGGAACCAGATCAGGAGGCAGGAAGGTGAGGTTATATAGCGTAACAATAGGTCTACCTGAATACAGCGACTATTGACTGGAGTCCTCAACTGAGGCCCCAGCCCCTGATACCCTTCCATACCGTGAGCCCTAATAACCGGGCTATACCCGAATGACCGCTCCACCGTAGGGCTGCCTTCGGCGTGGTACCTCACGTGCCATCACGTGAGG